TTACACAATTTATACATAACCATAATGAAGTGATTAATATGAAGTGAAGGAGGACATTATTTTGGAGAAATATGAACAAAATACTTGTCACTACATGATCTGTGTCAAAACTAAAAAGGAATATGAAATACTGTATAGAGTGGTTGTTTGAAAAACCTTTTAAAAACTATTATCCTGCCTGATTAAGCATTTTACTTGAATTTATTTTTCTAACAAGGGGAAAAAAGTGGTCACATTCTCCTGTCCCAGGTATTTGGAAAACAAGTTTCTAGCTGGTTTAAACCACTTCTCTAGGGGGGAAAACTTTCAGTTTGGGTCACCAGTGGACTAATTAGAAAAGATAATTTTTAATGATTGTGAAAAATGTAAATATAATAATTCTGTATCATTCAGTTGGATTGAAACAAGTTCTTAAGATTTTCCTTTTATATTTTTTCTGCTTTTATCCTCCAAAATATTTTATTAATTACAATTTTTATGTAAAAAGTAAAACAGAAGAAAGTTATACATTACAGTAAATAGCAATGTTTATGGTTGTGGTTTCTAATTTCTCTACAGAATTAACCAGCCATGATGGTGTAAAGAGAATTAGGAGTAAATACCACATTCATATTTTTTGGAATACTTCAAAGTACAAAAAGCATGGTGCTAATTTTTAAGTGCAGAGAAAGCTTATAATAAAATAGACTTAAAAGTTATAAGTAAAAATCTGTATATTAAAGGTATTTTTATGGCATAGCACTGTGTAGAAAGAAAAGTGGAGAGAGGAACCATCACATCAGGTGTTACAGGTTGGGCCCATTTCAACTTGCAGGACCCTATCTGCTTTTCTCAAGGGGAGAGTTTCAGTCAGGTTGAAGAAGGCCACAGGTGTCACAAGGAGACATAGTGCTCCTTGTCCGTGTTGTGTTTATACACTAGCACCATGCTGAAGGAATAAGATGGGATTCGTAGCAACAGCCTGGGCTGCAGAGCTAGTGCTGGAGGCATAATTTTTGTTCCTGTCCTGCCAGTGAGGGTCCAGAACATGCCTCCCAGTCCCCCATGATGATGTGTTGAAGATCCAGGCCATGCTGTGCTTGCTATAGCATTCCCAGCTGCAACCAGTAGAGGAAGTTTCTGGCTGTGGATGTGGACCCAATGAGGAGTTTCCTTTTCTCATAAAACTGATCTGGAAGTCGTAGAACTGCTGTTCTGATGCCCTCATTGACATTCATGGATGCACAGGTGGGCTCCTGGCCAGACCAAGCCAGACTGGATCGACAGATTCAGGGAGGGATACCCTGTAGCTTGTGGCCACTGATGCAAGAGGTGGCTCTGTAACTATTGCTGCTGGAACTGCTCATGGACCTGTTCTCTCGGACAGTGAGTTTTGTCACAGCATCTGACTCTTTCTTTAACTTGAAATGTACAAATTCCTTTGTTCTCAGCTCTGTCACAGACTGTGTACTGTATCTTGTGGTCTCCTTAAGGGAAATTCAAGTCTTAGGGGGAGGCCTTTTAGAATAACATCAGTTAGAATGTTGTTTCCTGTGTCTCTTCATTCAGGCATCTCCCAGGACACTGAGGACTGTCAGCTTATGGGGTTTAGAAATGTATTCTTACTCGGGCACTTGATTCTAGAAAGTTCCAATTAACACAGGCTGGTTGGCTGCTCCGGGCCTTCTTGTCTCTCCCATTTCAGTGTGTATCCAAACGAGCAATCATACTCTCACTGGAGTTAAAGGAGGCAACTGAAGCACTTAAACCCTCCATTTGCTGGCATGGCAAGGGCAGGACATTGCTTTTCAGTCAGAAATGGGCAGCCACACACTGCCCACAGGGGATGCTCCCCCTTGTCAGAACAGAGAGCCCTTTCTTCTGTTTTGATTGATCTTTTGTCATAATTGTTTCATGTTGATCTGAAAAGTATAATTTGGTAACCCTGTTTTTAATTACTCTTCATTTATTTGTAATGCTGTGGAGCAAGAATCTCTTCAGTCCTCTCATTTTACTAAAAACCAAATATTTAGTGTCACTCTTTATGCCAAGCTTTGTGTTGTAAATTCAACATATACTGTCTTAGTAAGTCTGTGCAATAACTCTACTGTACAGATGAAGATTCTCAAGCTCAGAAAAGTTAGTAACTTGCCCAGTCTAACTCCAACACTTGTGTTCCTAATCATTATAATACCTTTGCCTAAATCAATGATTGTGCTGAGTACAACTCTGATTATTTTCCTTAAAGATGGCTTATGTAAGTGGAATCATTAAGTCATCAGAAGTTTTTTTAGCATTATATCTTTTTTTAAACATTTTTTAATTGAGTTATTGTCCTTTTACAATGTTGTGTCAAATTCCAGTGTAGAGCACAATTTTTCAGTTATACATGAACATACGTATTTTCATTGTCACATTTTTCCCCTGTGAGCTACCACAAGATCTTATATATATTTCCCTGTTCTATACAGTATAATTTTGTTTATCTATTCTACATATGCCTGTCAGTATCTACAGATTTTGAACTCCCAGTCTATCCCTTCCCACTCCCCTCCCACTTGGCAATCACAAGTTTGTATGCTGTGTCTATGAGTCTGTTTCTGTTTTGTATGTATGTATGTATGTATGTATTTATTTATTTATTTATGTAGATTCCACATATGAGCGATCTCATGTGGTATTTTTCTTTCTCTTTCTGGCTTACTTCTCTTAGAATGACATTCTCCAGGGACATCCATGTTGCTGCAAATGGTGTTATGTTGTCATTTTTATGGCTGAATAGTATTCCATTGTATAAATATACCACATCTTCTTTATCCAGTATTATTATATCTTTATGTGTTTATTCTTCAATGTATATTAATAAATACCTGCTTTTAGCAAGATCTGTTGCTAGAGTGCTTGAGAGCAAAAAACTGACAGACTTTCAGAAAAGAGCCAAAGATTGTTATAATCTAATAGGGAAGTTATTTTAATAAACTAACCATAATAAAATTTTTAAAGTGACAAGTACCAAAAGAGAGATATATATCTAAATACTATAGGAATTTAAAGAAGGAAGATATTACTTACAATTGTTAGTGGAATGTCTAGGATTGGAAGGATCAGAGAAGGCTTAAGAAATTAAAGTTATGCTTAATACCATTTCCTGTCAGATTTTTTTGAAAATGTTTGGAATTCTTGAGCTGAAGTAACTACCACTATTAAAGTCAAAATGTCTACATAATCTTTAGTGTACCTCTGGATACTCTTTAATTCTTAATTCCAGGTTTCTTTCCTTCCTTTCTTTAAAGAATATTTTGCAGCCTTTAGTTCTTTTGTGCTCTATTTTGGGCATCTTGAAGCTCTTGATATTTTAATTTCTACATCAGATAAATCCAAATGTAAGATGTATCTTTAGTACTCTTCAGTTTTCCATTTTGTGAATCATTCAGTTAAATATTTTGAGTAGCTCTTTTTGTGTTCATTACTATGGTGGATAAGTTCAGGGATACAAAAGAGGCATGAAAAGATTGTGTCTGTTTTTTTTAAGAAAACACATTGTAAATGAAAAACATAAGGTAGCATATAATTAAGTTCTAGTTTGTGCATGAAACAAATATTTAGTAAATTATGTCTGCAGGTACTATTTTTAAAGTCAGAAGATGTTGAAAAGCAAGTTTAAAGATAATTGAGACAGTAAGAAAATACACAAGTAAAAGTTGACTCCATGAAGTTTGGACTTGGACTACTATGGAGATTAGTAACACTATTCACAGAGACAGGGAAGTTGGGCTGGACATACTGGGAAGGTGGATAAGACGAAGTAATACCAGTGAGCAAAGTACCCTTCAAAAAGTAGCATTGGAAGAGAAATAGAAGGGTAGTAAGAGGAAAATGTGATTTTCCCCCCCCACTACGTACAAGAAACTTGTATGTCTCTGAAGAACAAGGAGAAAAAGCCAATAGGAAGAGAGAAACTGAAAATGTTGTAGAAGTAAGGAATGTGTGTTGGAAACAAGAAATGCATAAAAATGGAAGAGTTTATTGCAGGTGATTTTGTTTCTTTGACAAGTTGTAGGAGAAGCCATTTGTTGGAAGTGATAGCAGTTTGAATTTGAGGGCTTATCTAGAAAGAAGGGAATATATTTACAACAGCCATTGTGGGAAAATTTTGCCAGGAAATCATCAAGATTTTCAATAAAAGGACTGATGGGCATTGCAAAGAGCATAACTGAAAATGGATGGCAAGATCCGTAGTAGGGCTGTGTTTTGTTTTGTTTTGTTTTTTAGAGTTCTTTATCACCTTGGAGCAGGAATTAAAAAAAAAACTGATGGTAGGTAAGGAAAATGACATAATGTTTGAGTCAAACTTGATTTTGAATTCTTATTATACCTACCATTAAATGTGTGACTTTGGTTAAGCTATTTAATCTATATGCAACTGAAGTTTCCTTATGTCTAAAATAGATGTAATGCCTCTATTGCCAGTTAAGTATTGGATGAGGTCTTGGAAAATCTTCTAGCCAGGAGTTCTATAAACATTAGTTCCCTTTTCTTTTTTTTTTTTTTTTCCTAAAGAGTGAGCCATAGTCAAAGAATGGCATGGTAGTGTTAAATTAGAAAGTAAGGATGACATTTAATGGCCTAATTGTAGTTCCAGACTGAATAGGAATTCTAGAATAGCCAAGAAAAAAAGGGGAGTTGAGTGATTAAAGGTTCAGGAATAGGAATGGTGACATGAACATAATGCTGCAGTAAAGGAGGCATGCCACAAGAGAGGAATGGTTCCTTCACTGAAGAAACCTGTCTGTATTGAGTAGGGAGTGGATGTGGGGTTATAGAGAGAAAAGGAACTGGGAAGTCATGTTCTGTGGCTTATCAGGAGGCATAGTGGAATCTGTGAAAGCAGTAGTTGAACAGACCTTGATTCAGGTACTGAAATGTATTCTAAGGATAAAGAAATGAATTCTGATGTGTGGTTTAAAAAAAAAGAAGAGGAGAATTAATGATTCATTGAGGGGGTTATAAGACTTAGTGATGAGAAACAAAGTGAGCATGATAATTTCATGGTCCCAAGGTGGTAAGTAACCCCACCCATTCTTTCTGGAGTAGAAGCACAGACAGAATTGCTACCAAGGAGAATTTCTGATTGCCTGGAAAGTTTGAAAGAAAAGCTGAGAGACTGGTTCAGAATAAAGAGAGTTTTCCAATAAAAGGAATATTAGGGGAATAGAGGAATATTATTAAGTGAGTTACACGTAGGTTAAATAGCCCTTAAAGTTCAGATTTAGGATAAGTAGAAGATTTGTATCCCAAGGAGTGTCTCTGGAGTAACCAATAAAGGAAGCATTGAGATGGGAAGCAGGTTAGAACTAGATTTGTAAGAAAGAGCATAGGATGTGGAGTCAAGAGACTGGTCTGTAACCTTGGTGTTGCTACAAGCTAGTTGTGAGATCATAGACAAATCAGTCTCTGTGCCTCAGTTACCTTACCTATAGAATTAAGAGACTGAACTAAACCTCTGATGTCCTTTTAGGTCCCTCTGAGGTTTCTATTTACAATTCTAGAGAATTGTTCAGTTCTGCGTCAATAGCAAGACTGTATTTCTCCACCATCGAGTACAGTAACCAGTGGCTACGTGTGACTGGTGTGCTCTTGAAATGTGGCTTATGTGACTAAGGAACTGTATTTTTAACTTTAAAAATTTTTAATTAGCCACTTATGCTACTGGCTACTATGTTGAACAGCACAATTATAAACATATCACTCTTGAGTTAATTTCTCTACTCGGTCAACAAGTCTTTGATGCTTTTCCAACAGTTGCTATCTCTTCTACTTATTTTACCACAATTTGCTGCTTTTGTTAAAAAACTAAGAAGAAGTAAAGGTATTAAGTCTTTTTCTCATATTGTCTACTGAATAGCTTATCCATGTACTGGAACTTTAAGAAATAACAGCTAAATATTACAGAGATATTTTAATCAGTGAATTATTTTTGATATTGTAGTACAATATTGAGACTTAGTGACTAGTGTTGATGTGTTTAGTTCTCTGATATGTAAAATACTAAAAGTGATTCTGTGTTTCTTTATTTCCTTAGACTATCATAGAACTCTCTGAAGAACGGGATGGTCTTCATTTCCTACCCCATGCCTCTTCATCTGCGCAGTCACCTTGTGGTTCTCCAGGCATGAAGCGAACAGAAAGTCGACAGCATCTGTCAGTGGAACTGGCAGATGCTAAGGCGAAGATAAGAAGGCTGAGGCAGGAATTGTAAGTTGCTGATTTTCAAGGCTTACTGAATTTATGTGGTTGCAGAGGTGACCTAAACAATGTTCTTAGGTTTGTAGACTGTAGATCAGTGGTTCCCAATTGCTCAGCTGTATCAAAGTTTTCACTAGTATTTGTCAAAATGAAAAAAATAAGGAGACTAGCATAAGGTTTTCCTAATGCTAAGTCTTATCAATTTAAAGGGTGCCCTTTTTCTGTATTTATGTGCTTCCTATTTTTCTGATGTTAAAATGGCCTTTTATTCCTTGGCAAATAAAAATCTCATTAATTTTTTAATTTTTGCATTCCTTGAAATCTAAAATACTGGCAACTGCTGATACAGATCAATACATTAAGCTCTTTTAAAATTAATGTTAGAAAAAACCTGAATTGTTGACATAGATTATTACAAAAAAATAATTTTGTGTATCTTCTGCGTTGAGTAATTGAAATGCCTGAGTCATGTGCTTAGAAATGGTAAATATTCAGATTGGTTAGTGCTGATGAAATTATATTTATTTAAGTTTGAAAGATCATTACTAGAAAGTCAGTATAAATCTCACATAGGCATTTCTTGGTAAATCACACATAAAGAAATGACCAGTCTCTGCTGGAGATTTTTTTATTTTGCACTTTTAAAAGAACAAAGAAGTTGTGTCTTAGGCTTTTTTCTTTTCCTTTTTTTTTTTTTTTTTTTGGTTTGTTTTCCTGGGAATTCGGGTTTTAGAATGTAGATTTTAAACTTAAAGCCACAATACAGCAATTAAGTTTATTTACTGATTATTTAAAGCAGTTACTTTAAGGAAGGGGTTGAATGTGCAAGGTAGAAAAAATATACAGTCTATAGGGAAATCTGAAAACAAAAAAACAGCTTTCATTGTGGATGTCTGCATTATTATGTATCTATTGGTGTGAACACGCCCAGGATATTCTATAAACAGCTGCACCACGAAAATTAGGGGAGAGATTGCTGTTATTAGTTTGACTGGCAGTTAATGGATAGCCTAAACAGTGAACACTAGTTCGTTCCATGTAATTTAGCATAATCTTCCCCAGTCTTTAGATAAAGCATGTAATTAGAACTGTAGTGATGGCTGTGAATTCATTTAACATTTTGCACTATATTAGAATTTGATTTTTAAGTAAAATTACGTGGCCATAGAGTGTTATTAAAATTCTAAACAATTTAGAGAGATTGGTAAAATTTGATCTCATGTGCTGATTGGAAAATGTAAATGAATAAAGTAAGTATGCCAGATATAGCAAGTATTCCCAGTAACTAGCATTTCATCAGATACTCTGTAATATCTTTGCTGTCCTTTGAAAATATGTTCCTTCATGCATTTTTTTCTATTAACATTTGTTCTAAGTGTTTTTGTTGGGACAAATATTTACTAAAGTGATTAAGTATGGACTCACGGTGGATAAAAATAGTTCAGGTTGCCTTATACCTAATGGAAATAGATAATTTTCGTAAGAACATGCAAATTACCTAATAGCATACTTACTTGTGGGTAGTGCATTATAATATAATTGCTTTTGATTTTTTTTTCTGTCTTTTTTTTAACATTTTTTTATTGATTTATAATCATTTTACAATGTTGTGTCAAATTCCAGTGTTCAGCTAATTGCTTTTGATTTATTAACTTACAGAGTAAAAGTATAATTTACAATTTGCATGGAAGATGTAATTCCTTATAAATTTTACTTTTATGCAGTAATTAACACTATTGAAGACTTCCTTTAATAATTCTTTCTCCATGGATGCCATGTTTTCAAAGAATTTTTCCTCTCATACAAATTATTCTTTTAGAAAAACAGCTTTATTGAGATACAATTCATATATTGGAAAATTCATTCTTTTAAAGTATATAATTCAGTGATTCTTAGTATATTCCTAGAGTTTTGCAACTATCACATGCTCTCTAATTCGAAGACATTTTCACCACCTCAGAAGGAAACTCCATGTCCATTAACAGTCAGTCTTATGCTCCTTTGCCCTTTGCTTCCTGAAACCACTAATACACTTTCTGTTTCCATGGATTTGACTATTTTGAACATTTCATATAAAGGAATCATACATTATGTAGCCTTTTGTGACTGGCTTCTTTCACTTAGTATATTGTTGTCAAGGTTCATCCACATTGTAGCATATGTCATTACTTTATTTTTATGGTTCAGTAATGTTCTTTTATGGATATACCACATTTTGGTTATCCATTTATGAGTTGATGGACATTTGGATTGTGTCTACTTCTTGGCTATTATGAATAATGCTCTTACGAACATTTATGTGTACATTTTTGTGAGGATGTATGTTTTCATTTCTTTTGAGTATATACAGAGGAGTGGAAATGCTGGGTCATGTGGTAGTTTTATGTTTATCCTTTTGAAGAACTGTCAAATTATTTGACTGCACCATTTTACATTCCCACCAGCAATGTATGAGGGCTCCAGTTTCTCTGTATCCTCACCAATATCTGTTATTATATACCTTTTTGATTATAGCCAACATAGCAGGTGTGAAGTGTTATTTCATTGTGATTTTGACTTGCATTTCCCTAATGACTATTAATGTTGAGCATCTTTGCACTGCTATTGGCCATTTGTATATCTTATTTGGAGAAATGTTTATTCAGATCCTTTGCCCATTTTTAAATTGAGTTGTGAGATAAACTTTTAAATAAATGAGTGAAAGAACATGAAACTAGAGGTATATTAGAAGTCTATATAGCCTCAAATGAGTTTAGGTCATTTTTAACTTGGGAGAGAAAAGGGAGTGGTGTCAGTAACATTTTACCTGATGTTAGGCATTAACTAGGTTGAAAGGCTCAAATGGGTATTATAAGCAGAAGAAACTGCAACAATAAGATATAAAGAGGGACATGGCACGAAATGAAGTTGAAAATGATGGAGTTGATAAGTAGAATGTAATGTATGCAGTACTCAGGTTTGGACAGTAAACAGTGGGGACCAATTAAGATTTTTTGCATAAGAGAGTATAGCACAATCAGATTTATATTTTAATAAAGAGATACTAGCCTTGTAGCTGACTCACAGTGAATATTCAAATTGGAAAAATAAATTCTGGTGATAGTATGAAGGTAGATTAAAGGACAGTCCAGTCAAGAAATGATGTGGGCCTGATCTAAGGTTTTAACAATGAGGTTGGAGAGGAGTTAAGGGAGAAGGCAGGGTCTTGGATATAATTCCTACTTTCCTATAAACAGTGTCCGTTTTTTTTAAATTTTCTCTTTGTTTGGTTTCTTTTGGAGGGGGAGGTAATTATGTTCACTTATTTATTTTTTAGAGGAGGTACCAGGGATTGAACCCAGAACTTTGTGCATGCTAAGGATGCGCTCTACCACTTGAGCTATACCCTCCTCCCAAAAACTGAATTATAGGCATTCTTTTTTTTTAAATTACTTTGTGTATTTATTTATTTTATTCTCTTTTTCTGGCAGGGAGGTAATTAGGTTTATTTATTTTATTGGATGTACTGGTGATTGAACCCAGGACCTTGTGCATCCTAGGCACACATTCTAGCACTGAGCTATACCCTCCACCTAGCAGTGTCCATTTGGATGGTGATGCCATTCATTGAGACAGGGAACATGAGAGAGGAATAATGTTAAGGTAAAAGACAAGTTTAGTTTTTGACATATTTTAGTTTGAGGTGCCATTATCTCTATGGAGATAATCAGTTAGATGATTGGCTGTCTGGTCCACAATGCAGAATAGAGATTTAGGATCATTAGCATACTCACTCAGAATAATATGCAGATGTAAATAGTAGTGGAAACCTTTGGAGTGGGTGAGACTGCCTAGGAAAAACATGAAGAATGAGAAAGATGTAATTTGAACACAAACATTAAAGAATGTGTTTTAGTGGTTAAGGGAAGACTTCACCATTTATTACCCATGTTACTCAGTTTCTTCATACAAAAAATGAGACTTCTAGTAATATGTACTCTAGAGAGATACGGCATATGATCCAGTGCATGAACTTTAGAGGCATTCTGCCTGTGAATCCTGGCTTAACACGTCCTAACTGACTGTGGCCAAGTTACTTAAGCTCTCTAAGGCTGCTTAGCTTCTAGCCTAAGTAAGAATAATAATTGTGTCAACTGTAGGATTGTTATATGAGGTAAATATGTAAGTAAATAGTGTGTAGTACATAAGTGCTCAATAAATGTAAGCTGTCACTGGCTACTGCTTCTTTAGATAGCTCTCGAGGATGTTTGGCAAAGTGTGAAGTGCTTAGCAAAAGTGCCTGGCACAGGTAATGAGAACTTGATCATTGTTAGCTGAAAGACAGAGACAAAACATGAAGTCAGCAGAAGAGTCAGAGAAGTACTATATAGAGAAGTAGAAAAACCTAAGTGTGTGCAGTCATATAAGCCGAAGAAGAGAGAATGTTAAGAAGAATGGCATGAACTGTGTTAAATTCCTCAAAGATCTGAAAATAACCCAGCAGTATGAAGGTAATTGACTCTGAAAAACAGTGTCAGTGGAGACGTATGAATGGAAGCCTCATTGCTATAGATAGAATGGTCAAATGGGTGCAAAAAGGAATTATTTTATTAGTAGGTCTTGAACTCCTGGATAACTCTTTTAGAAATTCCAGTGTTTAAATTCATGCTTCGCATACTTCAAAGTGAATTTCAGATGGACTAAAGAGCTAAATGTAAAAAACAAAATAATGATGAAAGAACCCAAAAGAAATATAGATGAGTCTTCCCTAGTTGGGGAGGAGCTTTGCACAGAAATGGTTGCTCTCCTTATATAAAAAATGTTAAATATGTAGACATCCAGAAAAAAAATAAAATTAGAAGTATTAGAATATTTCTCATAAAGTTGAACATAGAATTTATATGACCTAACAATTCCACTCATAGGTATATCCTACCAAAATTGAACACAAGAACTCAAACAGATACTGGTATGCCAGTGTTCATTGCAGCATTATTCCTGGTAGCCAAAAGATGGAAACAACTCAAATGTTCATGAACAGATGGATAACTAAACAAAATGTGCTGTAGGCAAACAATGGAATATTATTCAGCCATAAAAAGATGAAATTCTCATACCTGCTTCAATGTGGATGAGCCATGGAAACAATTTGCCAAGTGACATAAGCCAGATATGAAGGACAAATATTATATGATTCTACTTAAATGAAATGTCTTTAATAGGCAAATTCAGAGATTGAAAGTAGATTGGAGAGTTCTTGCTTAATGAGTGCAGAATTTCTGTTTGAGGTGATGAAAAAGTTTTGGGAGTAGGTAGTAGTGATAGTTTAACAACACTGTAAATGCAATTAATGTCACTGAACTGTACACTTAAAGTGGTTAAAATTGCAATTTTATGTTGTATATATTACCACAATAAAAAATAGGGGTTTTTTGCTATTTTTAGAATTTATTTTATTATTGGATGTTTAGCATCCAAATTCCAGAAACTGACTTTTTTGTTAAAGTTTAAAAAAATTTTTTTGGAACTACAGTCAGTTACAGTCTATAAAGAAATAATTGTACAAATATCTTAAAATCACAAAAAGAAATAGCTTTTCTTTTTTCTTTTAAAATTTTTTATTGAAGTATAATTGCTATACAGTATTATAAGTTATAGGTGTACAGTATAGTGATTCACAATTTTTAAAGGTTATATTCCATTTATAGTTATTATGAAATATTGGCTTTATTCCCCATGTTTTATAATATATCCTTCTGGCTTATTTTATACTTAATAGTGTGTACCTCTTACTCTCCTCCTTCTATATTGCCCCTCCCCCATTCCCTCTTCCTGCTGGTAACCACTAGTTTGTGAGTCTGCTTTTTTCTTTTTTGTTACATTCACTAGTTTGTTGTATTTTTTTTTAATTGAAGTATAGTCAGTTTACAATGTGGTGTCAATTTTTGGTGTACAGCATAATGCTTCAGTCATACATATACATACATATATTCGTTTTCATATTCTTTATCATTATAGGTTACTGTAGGATATTGAATATAGTTCCCTGTGCTTGTTTATACTATATATATGTGTGTGTATGTGTGTGTGTATATATATATGTGTGTGTGTATGTATATATACATATATATGTGTGTGTGTACGTGTGTGTGTGTATATATATATATACACACACACATACATACACACCGTATCTTTATCTATTATCTGTTGATGGGCGCTTAGGTTGCTTCCATATCTTGGCCATTGTAAATTATGGTGTTGTGAACTTTGGGGTGTGTGTATCTTTTTGAATTAGTATTTTTGTATTTTTCAGATGTATACTCGGAAATGGAATTGTTAGGTCATATAGTAGTTCTATTTTTAGTTTTTTGAGGAACCTCCATACTGTTTGCCATGGTGACTGCACCAATTTACATTCCCTCCAACAGCATACATCTCTTTAATCCACATCCTTGCCAACATTTGTTACTTGTGTTCTTTTTGATGATAGTCATTCTGATAGGTGTGAGGTAATATCTCATTGTGGTTTTGATTTGCATTTCCTTGATGATTAGTGATGTTGAACATCTTTTAGCTTCACATCTAGTGATGATGTAAACGGGTATGAGATGTTACAAACAGATTGCTTTAAACAATGAACATTTACCTTTTATTATTAAAGAATGGAAGATGGAAAAGTAGATAGTGAGTGGAGACTTGCTTTGAGGAGTTTGGCTCTGAAAAGGAGATAGAAAGTGGGAGTTAGTAGTAAAATAGTATAAAAAGAAAAAAGTGTGTATAGGAGAAATACAAAGATGTCTAGACTACAGGGACAAAACCAATAGAGAGATAAAGATTTTAGATATCTGTGTGGCAATTTATCATTTCCTTTAGGTCCTTGTAAATGTTGAAAATAGTTTGGAGACCCTTATAAGTCTCAGACCCAGACAGTATTATTGCCTTGCATAAAAACTCTTCCAGCTATAGTCTTTGACTATGCAGAAAGGTAGAAAGGGAGAGAGAGAGGAGAGTGGAAATTGGGGGATGGCAGGAAAGATGAAGAGGAACTGCCTTATGACTAGGAGGATGTTAGTCATTGAAGGTTATTAGCCTTTAGAGAACTTTAGAGTCTGTTGACATTCAGCCATATAAATTCCTAATACCAGTTTCTTTGTCTATTTTCCTCAGTTGGGGTTATGGCTAACACTGTGTTAAACTAGATATTTAGTCATGATAATACATTTGTATTAATGCAGATGATGATCATAGTTTTTGAAAGCACTAAGTTTATTATTTAATAAATATTTTTTGCTTATAAGGGAGGAAAAGACTGAACAGTTGTTGGACTGTAAACAAGAACTTGAGCAAATGGAAATAGAATTAAAAAGGCTGCAACAAGAGGTTTGTACCTGGAACTTTCATTATAAAGGATCACTAAGTAATTTGAAATTGATTTTTTCTCTTTATAATTTATAACATTTACTTTCCTGCTTTATAAGTTTACTGAGTCTTAATGAGATCCAATGACTTTTTCAGTATTCCTGTCTTCAAAAATGCCAGAGCCAAAACTAGACAATTAGGATCTTTATAGAGTTTTCCTATTTCTCTGTGAGTGCTACTCAGACTTTGCTAAGATCCCAAGGAGCCTCTTAGGACGGGGGCAGTTCCAAGTTTCTCTTTTTTATGTATTGGTTTTTGTGGGTTTGGAAGCTGGAATACCTCTGTTGCTGAACTGTGCTGCTTATGTGTATCTTTCTAGGTCTTTACTCTCTGATGGTGCTTTATGCTAATTTATATATTTATGTTAATTTATATTAATTTTTCACTCATTAAATATGATAAACACATTTTACTTTTTAAAACATTTTTATTTTACTACAGCTTAGTGTTTTTTCATCTTGAACCAAGATTGTTTAAGAATTCACTTCTTTTTATTTTACTCTCTAATATTTCATTTTCAATTGGAGGTATTACAAGAGGTCTTCTTAACCCATAAATGGTAAGGACTGGGGCAAGGCTGGACAATTATTCTTTCTCCTTACTTCCTCTAACCTGCCGTTTTAAATTCAGGTAACACTTCACTTGTGGGATCATAAACTGGGACCTTTCTAGATACGTGAGACTGGGAATCATAATCTTTAGTTCTAGATATGCTATGACTGCTATCTCACTTCTTGATAGCAGAGTTTTTTGTATGTGTGTTTTATCTAAAATAGTGATTCTTGGTCTTTTTGGTCACAAGACCATTTTCTGCTCTTAAAAATTAATGAGAATTGTTGAATGTGGATTCTCTTTACTGGAATTTACTATATTTGAAATAAAGACTAAGAATTTTAAAAATACTAATTCATTTAAAATACTTAACCCATTACATATTAACATAAAAGTTATATAGGAACTAAATAACCATTATTTTCCGAAGCAAAAAAAATCAGAAGGGTTGTCTTTTACTTTTTTGCAAATCTCTTTATTTAATGCCTAGCTTAATTGAAGACTACCAGATTTTCATATATGCTTCTGCATTCAGTCTATTAAGATATCACATGCCATGTATGTAGCCTCTGGAAAACTCCACTACTCCCTCAGGAGAGAATGAGAGTGAAAAAAGCAAGTAGTATCCTACTATTATTATGAAAATAGTTTTGACCTCATGAATTCCCTGGAAGGGTTTCAGGGACCCACAGATGTCCCTGGATCATACTTTGATAACTGCTGTTCTAAAGGATTACAAGTGGGCTTTTTAAAGACTGAATTTTAGTATTTATCTCAAATGGCATTAAGATATGCACTAATCATATGCAACTAATCATTCACTTGGAAGTATTTAAAAACCTCAGCTAGATTTTAGTAACATACCTGGATAGAAACATTATTTCTCTAAAGTAACTAATGATCAACTTTTGTAATAGTTTGCTTTTTCTGTGTTTTTACTATCTTGTAGCTGTATTATTATCCTGTATTACAGTTAAGTTTTCACCTTAAAATAATTGCAAATGGTTATGTTAAGGAGGGATTACTTATTTTAAAATATCCTGAATGTTTTTATATTCCTTAAAGAGAACATTATATAAAAATTTGTGTATAAGTTTGTGTATTTGTATAGAAACATGTATTTTGAAAATACTTCTTATTCTTGGTTTAAAAAAGCTTTATATCCCCAATTTTAAAAAACAACTTAATTAAGGTGTGATTTATATACCATGAAATTCACACTTTTAAAGTACACAAGTCATTGATTTTTTTTAGTAAATTCATCATATTGTACAACCCAAGGATTATCCATTTGAATTTAGAAAATAATATTTAAAATTTCAATATGTATTTATATTTAGAACATGAATTTGCTTTCTGATGCTCGTTCTGCAAGAATGTACCGAGATGAATTAGATGCACTTCGGGAAAAGGCAATCAGAGTTGATAAGCTTGAAAGTGAAGTCAGCAGATATAAAGAGAGGCTACATGATATTGAATTTTATAAGGCAAGAGTTGAGGTATGTTGCATAATTTAAACTATTCATAGTTTTTTCTTTAATAGTGTTACGAGTTTTCAAAATGCATTAAAAATTCACTTAATAAATATAAAGAACTCTTGAAATGTTGAGCAAACTGTAAATACCATCAAGTGTTTATTTTATGCTAGATCAGCATATTGTTTAGACCTGTTAATAGGAATTTTTGGACATTATTAATTTTGTTGAATTCTTTGGAATTCTTCTTTCATTCCTTTATTTAGCGTTGTAGATAGGGAAGACTTTTGAAGTCCTTCCCCCATTGTCCAAATAAACTATATCTCTAATAATGTCAAATTTGTTCTTAGAAATAACTGCAAAACATATTTCTGATTGCTGCTCAAGTCTGAATACTAAATTAGGATCAATGAAGGCAAAATCTCTTTCTTTCTTTGTATACATATGAACAAATTAGAAAAAAACAATTTTTCATACTCAATGGTTGCAGTTCAGTGTTATATGAAGTTGAGTTTGACAGCAAAAATTAGAAAATCCTTGCTGCCTGTATTTTTTTTTTCTTTCTCAGTTAATTTCTTCATTGTCTTTAGACAGAAAAGATTTTGGTCAGTTTCAATATGGGGATAAGAAGGAAGGAGTATGCAAAATCAAGAAGTGAAATATTACAAGAGAAAGTTAGAACTTAGCCTGAATGTTTCCAGAAAATAGGCCCAATAGAGTACAAATGTATATTAATTTTTTGTTAATTATTTAAATGAGCATATGCATGACACTATTAAGGGATTCTCATGGATGCCACTGTTTTAATATACTTTCTCTTGACTTTATAAACTGCAGCCATATAACTTAGAAATGTAGATTTGTGAACATATTTTCAAAACATATGTTAAAAATTTTAAAATATATAAAATATTTGCTGTTAAAGCATTGGTTTATGATTTATGTGAGTCTTAGTTCAAGTCTTGGTATTTTACTCAAAAACCCCAAACCCTTCACTTTCAAGTAGAAAGAAACCTTTGAATCTATTTCAGTAAATAAATTAAGCCCTGATTCTATGGAGATTAGTGTCTTAAATATCTGGAAGACTACTTAGTTCCTTGGATCTCTGTGACTAAGGAATTTAAGTGTACCCTGACAACTTCATGTGAAATTATGGCAGTAAGTGCTGAGCATTTTGTATGCATAATAACTTAAATTTGGGGGACTGAAATGAAACCAACTGTATTTCTATTACTCAGTAGTTTTACTCTTGCATAGAACTGCTGATAAAGACAGCTTATTGTTTTATTTCACAATAAAGAATTTTTATGCTTCAGAGCTTTAAAAAACTTAACATATTCGTGATAATTAAAGCCTACTTGAAATGTTTATAGGAATTAAAAGAAGATAATCAAGTTTTACTAGAAACAAAAACCATGTTGGAAGACCAATTAGAAGGAACTCGAGCTCGTTCTGATAAATTACATGAATTAGAAAAAGAGAATTTACAGCTGAAGGCTAAACTGCATGATATGGAAATGGTAAGTATTGGAAGTTAGATCATATATATAGCCTCTAAGAAAAAATGCACAGCATTATCTGATTTCCCTTTAGTGACAAGAATGGCTAGTATCCTTAAGGCTTTAACAGAGAAGAGATAGCTAAATAAATTAGATTCCTCCCATTTTATATAAATTCAGGAGAAGTAAAAATTTCTGCTTTTGTTACAGAGCAGTATTTATTAACTTTGACTTCAACTTTTCAGAAAACCTAATAAACTATTGTGTAAACATTTCTTTTAAAATACAGAAATACAGCTATTTGCTAAAATTTAGCATTAGGTCAGATCATTTGTTACATCACTAAAACAATATAATAACTATGAGGAGCAGTTTTCAGTGTCCCCAAAGATCATTTTAAAAGGATGTCTGACACCTAATCAGTTTAGTGACCAATAGTAATAATTATAACTGATTATTAACTTTAAACTGTGAAAATTTTAAGGAACTCACAATTTATCATCTTATTATTCAGTTTCTGCTAAATGAAAGTTACAAGTAATAAAATATTACTTGAAATTGTACTGTTTCTTGGCTTTCTTTTCCCCCCCTCATCCCTGGCAATAAAAAAGGAACGTGATATGGATAGAAAAAAGATTGAAGAATTAATGGAAGAAAATATGACTTTGGAAATGGCACAGAAACAAAGTATGGACGAATCATTACATCTTGGCTGGGAGCTGGAACAAATATCCAGAACTAGTGAACTTTCTGAAGGTATTTTTAATAGTTTTATTTAAATGGATGAATGAATAAATGAAGTTGTATTTATGCTTACATTTCTGGATATTTTATTGCTATTCTTTATTTTCCCTGGCTGGAGATGTCTCAGAAGGCCAAATATCTCCCTAGATAGGATTTCACAGAGTAATATGTTAATTTCCACATTCCTGGGTCTGGTCCTTACCTTTGCATGTCTTACAAATCAACTTTATGAATGTAGTAACAGATTTAATCAGCTGTTTAGGCACTATTTTATGTTAATATCACAAGAAACTGGGACACCAGCTTATTAGTTTATTTTGAAAAATAGAGTCGTCTACTAAACAGAACAAAAAAGTTGTATGATCTGGTCAGCTTGTTATGTTCTTTCTGTATAGGCAAACCTAAATAGAAAGTCCATGTATTAGGAATATTCTTCAGTGAGTATGTAGCCCGAATAAAGTGAGTTAAGGATCTTCACGGCTACTTTTATCAATACATGTAATCTCCATTAAGATTATACTTACCAACAACTCCAGCCCAGTTGTACCCTGGAGGTAATGAAAGACCCCAGATCAGTTTTTTACTTTTGGCTCTTTTTCCCTTGTCTCCACATTAGCTTGTCCGCTGTATTACAGCTGGGCACATACATACAATGTGGTTTTTTGGGTTGAAGTTTGAGTTTGCTAGTACTGATATACTTTATTGAAATTATACCCAGGTCACATTTATTTGAATTAGAATGGTTCTCTAATTCCTCAGTTACCCAGTACTAAGATTATTCTACCTATTTTTCTTCCTTCAGCAGATATAAGCACCTACCATGTGTAAAATATTATACCAGGCCCTGAGGATATGGTGGTCAAGTAAACATAAGGTCTGAAAGAGCTTATAGTCTGGTGTTTATAGAATAATTACTTCTTCAGATGACTCATCGTATTTATTACTGTTAGTCTTTTCCTAATTTTACACTTGAGAACCTAATTCCAAATTCTGGGATCCGATGTAAATTGACTACATAACAAATAAAGATATTCAGTCACTGAACTTACTGAGATGTGTTAAAATATTTGTGGGACCTTTTTAATTGTATTCCATGTGAGTTGTGTTACAAAGGAAACAATTCAAACTTAAATGTTTTCTACTACTAAAGTAGTTAAAATTACAGTATTAAAAGAGTTTTCTCATCTGTTAAGTGGAGACAAGGATATTAAGTACTACCTTGTAGGGTGGTTGTGTGGATTGGATTTGTTAATACTTACGAAGCTCCTTAGAAGAGTGCCTGGTAAATGGTAAACATTTGAGTGGTTTTTACTGTTCTTACCATCATCATCATCATCATCATCATGTCACAGTTGTTTTGCAGTAGATCTCAGCTGGGATCATAGACCAGAATATTCATTTCAGTCTGGTGTATTTTGAGGGTTGTTTTTTTTTTAACTATACAAGGGATTTTCTTTCTAGAAAATTAAAAAAATGTAGAAAAATATAAAGAAGAAATAAAAGTCACTAATAATTTTTGACTCACTTTTACATTTCACAAAATTTGCTTCTAAAATTTTTCTACACATACACAGATATTTTAGGTATCGTCAGATAAATATGTATATACAATTAGGTTTCCTTTTTTCAGTTAAGATTATAACTAGACATTTCCCATGTTAAAAATGTATTGTAAGCATTCTTTTTAATTCTTTATAATCTGACCTGAAGCTTCTTTATAACACATAGTATTGAAAATTTTCCTAAGGTATATCATGTCTTGTAGCCTAATCTTATTTGACTGAAATGCTTGACCTCAAATCATGAAATAGAGTTTTACTATAGAAGACTTGGACAGCTAATGGAATTTAAAAAGCCAATGACTATCTAATATACCAGCTTTTAATAAAAGAGTAGCAATGTACTGACTAGAACAAAAGCATGGAATAAGAATTGAGGCTTTCTTTACTTAAAGTCTAGGGAATATTTTACTCTACCTAATGTTTCAAAGAATGCACGCTTGTGGGGATGTATGTTGTATGTGTGTATGTGTGTCTTTGCTTTTTATGATGGGGAATTTCAAACATACACAAAAGTAGACAGACCTAGAAACACCCTCCTGTACTTCTGTTTACTTCCCTTCCTTTTGTTCAAGTAACCTAAGATTCATTGAGATTAAAGTGGCTTGGGCATTGTCAAGTAGTTAACTTCTCATAACTGAACTGAAATTCTAGTCGCTTCTGTCTAAATTTTGTACAATTTTTTTCAATAGAATGCTTACAGATACATTACAAATTTAAGATTTACCTGTATTTTATCTCGCCATTATTTTTTTCATAGTGCCTACCTTGTATAACTTCATAATTTTTTTATAAGGTTAAGGACCAGGTGATGTATTTACACTAAATATTTTAAATAGTGAAGAGTAAACATAGGTTTACCAATGATGTATTTTTCTCTGTTACAGCACCACAAAAATCCTTGGGCCATGAGGTAAATGAATTGACATCAAGTAGGTTATTGAAGTTGGAGATGGAAAATCAGAGTTTGACAAAAACTGTAGAGGAGCTTCGGAGTTCTATGGATTCTACAGAGGGCAGCACTTCCAAACTCCTGAAAATTGAAAAAGAAAATCAAAGACTAAGTAAAAAGGTAAATAAAAATTAATGTTTAATATAATGTTAAAAATATATGTAAGAGTATAAAAGAATAGCACTGAGGTAGAACACTTACTTGGTAGTTTTTAATATTATTTTAACTTATGGAAAATTTCAAACATATATAAATGTAAAGTGAATGAACGCTTACATTTATTCAACTTCAACAATTCCTGACTTATAGTCAGCCTTATTTCTACCTCTGCCTACTCTCCCCACAAACACTAGATGATTTTGAAGTAAACCTTAGACATGGTACTACTTCAGAATATCTCAGTAAATATCTCAGTATAAATCTTTAAAAAGTAAGGAATTTTAAAAAAAAGAACAGTGATATTATCACACTTAAAAAATTAATAGTTTTGGTCAGCATTTCAATTTCTCCAAATCTATTATGATTTTTTTTCACATTTTGTTCGATTTTGAATCCAAATAAGAGCAACACATTCGATCAGTTGGTGTGTTGAAGAAAACAGGTTGTTTGTCTAACAGTTTTCCCACAATCTAGATTTTGCTGAATGAGTCTTTAGCCCTTCCTTTGTCCTCCTCTGTATGACTTGTTTTATCTGTAGGCTTAATCAGGTTCAAGTTGAGTTCTTAGTAAGAATACTCATAAGCAGTATATTTCAATCAGGAGGCACATGTCTGGTTGTCTCTCTTTCTGTGATGTTAGTTGTCATGGAAAATCATTTGCTTAGATCCTTTCTTTAATCAGAGTTTAAAAAATCCTGCTATTATATCATCCTTTCTTAACTTGGTAGCTAGAGTATTTCTATAGGAAAAACTTTGTTTTAAAAACTATTGGTTTAAAAAAAACAATCACCTTCAGTTACTCTGAGAAATAACTCTTAGGGGTAAAGTAGGAGGAATGTTTGATTCTTTACCTTTACTTACCAGTTTCCTAGTAGTGAATTGGTTCCCTCAAATCCTCCTGAGACAATGAGTGAGTTTGTTTGTTTCAGTATCATTGTGAACTCATGGGTTTAAAAATATTTGAAGCATTTCAATGCACTGTATTTATTTCTTACTGTCCCAACTCTTTAAGTTGCTTCCTGAATCCTTTTAACATGACCTTAGAACTTCTGGAGAGCTTCTTTGCTTTCTGCCATGACAAAGTGTTCTAGGTTCCTCTTAAACATTTTCTGCCTCAAACCTCGAAACAGCCATTTCTTTAAAATGCCCTTGTTCCTTTTAGTAAGAAATTATATTTAGAGACTACAACTTAGACATTATGAAATCTGAATTTTAATTAGACCTTGATTGAACAGAAATATAAGCATATTTTATTTTATTGCATTTCACTTTATTGCACTTCACAGATATTGCATTTTTTACAACTTGAAGGTTTGTGCGAACCCTGCTTCAAACAAGTCCATCAGCACCATTTTTCTAACAATATTTGCTTTACTTCGTGTCTCTGTGTCACATTTTGGTAATTCTCACAGTATTTCAAGCTCTTACATTGTTACTTGTTATGGTGATCTGTGGTCAATGATCTTTGAAGTTATTATTATAAATGTTTTGGGGTGCCACAGACTACACCCACATAAGACAGTTAACTTAATTGATAAATGGTGTGTGTGTTTTGATGACTCCACCAATTGATGATTCCCCTGTCTCTCTTCTTCTCCTTGGACCTCCCTATTCCCTCAGACACAGCAATACTGACATTAGGCCAGTGAATAACCCTACAATGGCCTCTGTGTGTTCAAGTGAAAAGAAGGGTCACATGTCTCACTTTAAATTAAAACCTAGTAATGATCAAGCTTAGTGAGGAAGGCATGTTGAAAGCTGAGATAAGCTGAAAGCTAGGCCTCTTGTAACCAAATAGTGAGCCAAGATATGAATGCAAAGGAAAAGTTCTTGAAGAGAATTAGAAGTGCTACTCCACTAAATGCCTGAGTGATAAGAAACTGAAACAGCATTATTGCTGATATGGAGAAAGTTTTAGTGGTCTGCATAGAAGACTTCTCAGCCACAATATTTCCTTAAATCAAAATCTAGTCCAGAGCAAGATGAGGCAGCAAGTGCTAATGTAGAAGCTGTGGCAAGTTATCCAGAAGATCTAGTTACGATAATTAATGAATGGTGCAAAACTAAACAATAGATTTTCAATGTAGATGAAACAGCCTTCTCTTGGAAGAAGATACCATCTAGGACTTTAATAGCTACAGAGGATAAGTCTGTACCTATGTTTGAAGCTCCAAAGAACAGTCTGACTCTCTTCTTAGGAGCTAACACAGCTGGTGACTTGAAGTTGAAGCCCATGCTCGTTTACCATTCTGAAAATCATAGAGCCCTCAAGAATTATGCTAAATCTACTCTGCTTGTACCTTACTAATGAAACAACAAAGCCTGGATGACCAAACTAACGAAACAACAAAGCCCAGATGACTGAACATCTGTTTACAGCATGGTTTACTGAATATTTTAAGCCCACTGTTGTGACCTATTCCTCAGGAAAAAAAAGATTCCTTTCAAAAATAGTACCGCTCATTGACAGTACACCTGGTCACCCAAGAACTCTGGTGGAGACATATGGTGAGATTAATATTTTCATGTCTGCTAACACTAGATCCATTCTGCACACCATGGATCAAGGAGTAATTTCAACTTTCAAATCTTGTTCTTTAAGAAATACATTTTTGTAAGGCTTCTAGCTACCATAGATAGTGATTCCTCTAAGGGATCTGGGCAAAGTCACTTGAAAATCTTCTAGAAAGAATTCACCATCTAGATGCAATTAGGAACATTCGTGATTCATGGGAACATGTCAAAATACCAACATTAACAGGAGTTTGGAAGATGTTGATTCCAACCCTTAGAGGCGACTTGGAGAGGGGTTCAAGATTCCAGTGGAATAAAGTAACTGCAGATTTGATGGAAGCAGCCAGAGAATCAGAATTAGAAGTGGAGCCTGAAGATGTGACTGAATTGCTGCAATCTCATGATAAAAAATTAATGAATGAGGAATTTTTTCTTATGGATGGGCAAAAAAGAGGATTTTTGAAATGCAGTTTACTCCTGGGGAAGATGATGTGAGGATTGTTGAAATGACAACAAAGGATTTAGAGTATTATATAAATTTAGTTTGTAAAGCCGCAATCAGGTTTGAGAAGATTGACTATAGTTTTGAAAGAAGTTCTGCTGTAGGTAAAATGCTGTTAAGCAGCGTTCCATGCTACATAGAGATTGTTCATGAAAAGAAGAGTCAATTGATCCAGCAAACCTTATTGTTTTATTTTAAGAAATTGCCATAGCCAGCCCAGCCTTCAGCAACCACCACCCTGGTCAGCAAACAACACTGAGACAAGACCCTCCACCGGCAAAAAGATTGAGCTGTTGAAAGCTCAGATGAGAGCATTTTTTAGCAATGAAGTATTTTTAATTAGGTGTGCAATTGATGTTTTTAAGTGTAGTGCCATTATTGCATACTTAATAGACTATAGTGTAATGTAAACATAGCTTTTACATGCACTGGGAAACCCAAAAATTCATGTGACTTGTTTGATTGTGATACTCACTTTATTGCGGTGGTCTGGACCCAGACTCGCGTAATATCTCTGAGGTATTCTGTATTCCAATTGTGGGGCAGTTAGTCCAGGTAATTTATTTTTGCATATCTTTCTGCATACATACACACACACACACACACACACATAAATAGAAATCATATAAAAACATACATGATGTATTTATCATGAACACTTCCCATCACATATACTCCCCCAAATGTGCTTTCACTTTTGTTTCCAGTTCTTGGTCACTGTAAACAATACTGTAAAAAATATTTTTGTACATATGTCCTTATGAATTAGTTTTTATTTCTATATATAGTCAGCCATGTCTAGTTTTTCTTTTGATAGATTCTGTGTTTCTGGACTCGGTTATAAAATCTCCCTAACTTTTAGACCAGTAGTTTTGAACAGGTATTGCATCAGAATCACCTTCAAGACTTGCTAAAATATATATTGCTGAGCCCCATGCCCAGAGTTTCTAATTTAGTAGGTCTGGGCAGGGCGCTAAGAAATCTCATTTCTGAAAGTTCCTAGGTGATACTTAACCTGCTGTTTTAGAGCCGTGCCTTGAGAACCACTGCCTTAATGTGAATAGACTCCTTGATTTTCTTGCAAGATTTTTACTCTTTTAAAACATTCTTGCATCATTTTTAATCCATTAACCAAATAAACTTACTAAGCATTTCATAATAAATATAATGTTAAAATGGGAATGGCCATTTAGAACTTGGAACAGTTTTATTTTGGTTTTCGGTGTAATTGGATCTGGCAATTATAATTTGATTTTTAAATTAGCTTTTAAGTCTAATTAGTAAATTCTTAGAGATTCTAGCGAGTTTTCACCAGTTCATTATATGCCTTTTACAAACTGAGTGTTTCACTTGAATTTCATTGAGTAAAACAGCAAATAAGTTTAATTAAATAATCTGCTATCCATATATTTCAGTCAGTAATGAGAGAACCAATTTAGTTGTTAATAGCTTAAAGGTTCCTGGTCATGTAAGTTAATGTTGATTGAATTATTAGATAAGGTTTATGACTTGATGCTTTTGAGATATTACTGAAAGATTGATTTCCATGTGTGGTTACCTTCCACTGATGTTAAAATAGAAAAATTCAACTTGCTTTATGAAAGACTATTAACATTCTTAGACTTCCTTACTATTGATATAAGGATTTAAGTAATATTTAAACTTGAAGTGGAATATTTTATATGCCTAAGTCTTCTTTTTTTTTTATTACCTGGTTTAATAATGTTTTATAATAACGGGGAAATCAATAGTTTGGCATATTTCGAAGTTGAATTTGCTTTTTCATACTTAATAATAGCTTACTTTATTGTATCTTTGAAATGTATAATTCAGAATAAATTTAAATCTAGAATATAAATATTTGCTCAAGTTTTGTTCAGACCTTTTTTCTCTAGTAGTTTCCTTTTTCTCTCTTCTTTTTAATCCAGGTCTCTTCTTGTTTCCTCATTAAACTTTTCACCACCATTTCTCATTTTTTTCCTTTTTGTGCAATGAAATTCCTTGATGATAATTAAAATTTTACTTTACAAATCTATTTAAGCCAAAAGAGTTTTCAATAAGATTTGTACATTCTTCGTATGGCATGTGTGTATGTATTCAGTTAGATTTGTGTTTGTGATTAGAAGTAGAGTTTGCCCTCAAAGATGCAGAGGATAAGAAAGATAGTCACGTCTGTATGTTTTATATAGCTGCTAAAATTAGCTTGGAATATGACTTGAATTTTTCATTGAAATTCTTAAATTTCACCATTTGGGTGTTAAAACTGTATTTTTTCCTTTATTCAATGATTAGCATTTGTTTTTACATGTTCCCACTGTTGGGCAATATTTAATGATACATTGTTTTTGTGATTTCATTTTCTCTAGGTTGAAATTCTTGAAAATGAGATTATTCAAGAAAAGCAAAGTCTTCAGAATTGTCAGAATTTAAGCAAGGATCTAATGAAGGAGAAAGCTCAGCTTGAGAAAACAATTGAAACACTTAGAGAAAATTCAGAGAGACAGGTTCATAACTTTCCTATTATAAGTAACATATTTTTAAAATTTATTAACAAAAGTTATTCTATAGTTAAGATAATAAAATGTTCATAATAACATTAAGTGTAAATATTTTAGAACTTTTTAGATTTTAAAGTAACTATGGTGTTTCCTCATTTTCTATCCTATGCAAAATAGGATAGAAACAAAAAGTTGAAGGGAAAGCTTAGAAGTTTTTAAGTTGCCTGTGTGCTTAATAATTATCTGGTATAAAATGTTGTGGTACCTGTGTTTAAATTGCTCTCAAGTGTCTGTGGATTCGAGCTGCTGATTTTAAAGTCCCTGAATGAAGCTGGGGTGAAATACAGCTACACTCTGACCTCACTAAAGAGGGACAAGTGGTGGCAGCAACCATCTTGGGTATTTTCCTACTTGCTTTCAAGTGTTTTATTGGTCATTCTCATTTTATGCTTGAGGAAACTGAGAATTAAATACATTAAGTGGCTGGCTGTTTTAAAATTTCTACTTTTTTAGAAATAAAGTGATTTGTTTTATACTATCTAGGTATAGTTCTCAGGCCACCTATAAAAATGCAGATTTCCGTGGCTCTACAGAACAAAAATTCTAGAGCTAAGCATGGTTCTCAGGGGATTGTTTAACACACTAAATTTTTCGAGACCCATTACAGTAGGCCATGCTATAAATTGGATGTATTAGTTTTAAAATGTACTGGGGATTTTGTTACTTTGATATTGTTAAATTAGAATTCTTTTGTGGAATGAATTCACATAAATACACAGCAATATATATACACTTACAACACAGCAAATATTTACTGAGTATTCACTGTGTATATACATTGCAAAATTTATTGAATGAAAGTAAAAGCTTTATATCTTCAAGAAGAGGGGCAGTGGGTATAGCTCAGTGGTAGAGCACATGCTTAGCATGCAGGAGGTCTTGGGTTCAATTCCCAGCACCTCCATTTAAACACACACACACACACACACACACACACACACAAAACATAGAAGAAGATAATGTGTCTATTATGTTTCACCTGTACTCATCTTTGAATTTGAAACATGTAACCGTAAATAGCCTGAAGATCATTTTGATTAGTATTAAATATATCTGTCTTAATCATCTTATCATTCCTTTACATTATGAACTCTCTAAAGATAGGAACTTTAATGACCTGGCAGTACATGTACAGAGTGATCTCACAGTACACATTTGTGAGAATTAAAATTAAGATAGACAATTTTAGCACCTTTTTATGGTTTGATTTTCCTGTTAGCTTTTGAAAGGGAGAAGCTATGTAATTTTAAATATTTACTTATGCTCAGTCAACTTTTAAATTTCCTCCTTTCTTTTTGTTAGATTAAAATATTGGAACAGGAAAATGAACATCTGAATCAAACTGTGTCCTCCTTAAGGCAGCGCTCCCAGATAAGTGCTGAAGCAAGGGTGAAAGACATTGAAAAAGAAAATAAAATTCTCCATGAGTCTATCAAAGAAACAAGTAGTAAGCTAAGCAAGATTGAATTTGAAAAAAGACAAATTAGAAAAGAATTAGAACATTACAAAGAAAAAGGAGAACGAGCAGAAGAACTTGAAAATGAGTTGCATCATCTTGAAAAAGAAAATGAATTGTTACAGAAAAAGATTACCAATTTAAAAATTACTTGTGAAAAAATTGAAGCCTTAGAACAAGAAAATTCAGAGCTAGAAAGAGAAAATAGGAAGTTTAAAAAAACATTGGATAGCTTTAAAAACCTTACTTTTCAGTTAGAATCCCTAGAAAAAGAGAATACCCAGCTTGATGAGGAAAATTTAGAACTGCGAAGGAATGTGGAATCTTTGAAGTGTGCAAGCATGAAAATGGCACAGCTACAATTAGAAAATAAAGAACTGGAAAGTGAAAAAGAACAACTTAAGAAAGGGTTAGAGCTCATGAAAGCATCTTTCAAGAAAACAGAGCGCTTAGAAGTTAGCTACCAGGGTTTGGATACAGAAAATCAGAGACTACAGAAAGCTCTAGAAAACAGCAATAAAAAAATTCAGCAATTGGAAAGTGAACTACAAGACTTAGAGATGGAAAACCAAACGTTGCAAAAAAATCTGGAAGAGTTAAAAATATCTAGCAAAAGACTAGAACAGCTAGAAAAAGAAAATAAATCATTAGAGCAAGAGACTTCTCAACTAGAAAAGGATAAGAAACAACTGGAGAAGGAAAATAAGAGACTCCGACAACAAGCAGAAATAAAAGATACCACATTAGAGGAAAATAATGTGAAAATTGGAAATTTGGAAAAAGAAAACAAAACCCTTTCCAAAGAGATTGGTATTTATAAAGAATCCTGCATTCGTCTGAAAGAATTAGAGAAAGAAAATAAGGAGCTTGTGAAAAGAGCAACTATTGATATAAAAACTTTGGTTACTTTAAGAGAGGTAAATATAGTTAAATTTCAAACAAATATTTTTTACGTTTTTAACTCAAGGCTTCTTTAAATTTTATTGCAGTAATTTGCATTATCTATTTATGGGTCAAAGTAGAAAATTGAAACTAGAAACAGTTTCCTACTTTTGTTAAAATAAGGAGTAAATGTAAATTGAATTTTTTAAGAAATTGTAGTAATAAGGTTTCCATGTGGTATCTGACTTGTTAAATTGTAACTTTATACATTTATTTCAGAATAGTATTAAAATATTTCATCAAAACTTACTGAACGTAAGTATAATAAGCATGATAGCAACTAGTTATTCAGTACTAACTATGTGCCAAGTACTGTGCCAAGGGCTTCATAAGTGGTATTTATGTATATTTATATAATTTTTATAACCAATCCTTTATGATCATCATCACCATTAGATTAGAAAACTGAGGTTCAGAGACATTAAGTAACTTACTCAGGATCACAATGGTGTATTTGGATTCCTGGATTCAAGTCCTGATCTTTCAGACTTAAGAGCCTCATGAATTTTGACTGCTAAGCTAGGAATGCAAATCAGGTTGAATTTAAAGGTCAACATCAAATAATTGGTATTTGGTTGGATCTGTGTGTCAAGAAGAATTCTTAAATTCACTGGAGTAGATTGACACTAGGTCTTGTGAAACGTGATTGGTGTAGCTCAAAAGATCACATGCTTGGCTCTTTTTTGCTATTCCTATGCTATACTATATATAATAACTTTCAGTTCAATTTAAAAGTAGCTTATCATTCTGACAGAAACTCACTTTGGGAAATCTGCCTTTCCACTAAAGAGGCATTGAGAGGGGACCATTATTATCTTTTCCTTTTTTTTTTCTTTCTCTTCTATAGTCTTAACAGACATGAGCAATTGGTTCCTTGTCCCTGAACCTCTAAGAATTCCCCCTAGTTATTCAGGTCAATGTCTTAGGCCTCTTCTACTGGGAGAGGAGTGCTTGTGGTGGGAGAAGGGTGTTGTATCCAAAATATATTCATAAAAGGAATATGCACTAAGTTTCTAGTTCATTATTAAAAAGTTAATGAATGTGTGTTTTACCCACAGTTTTCAGACCTAAGGTGTGTGTATTCAAAAGCACGAGTTTCTCCTTTCAGTTTTTAAAGCTAAAAAGTTAAAAAGAAGTTTTAGCAAGATGAAGGAAAAAAATCACTTTTTGAGCTAGGTTATAATTTTGTTGTTTAACTGGTTTTTTTTTGATCAGTGAAGGAAAAGCTCAGCAACAGCATTTCTATCTTTCCTGTTTTGAATGTGTGTTTCTGGATGATGGTGGTACTTGGAATCTTGGCTGAATTTCTTAAATGTTTATGTTCATAACACTTATGTGAGTTTTGTATTACTTTTAAAATAAGGATTTGGTGAGTGAAAAATTGAAGACTCAACAAATGAATAATGATCTTGAAAAATTAACTCATGAGCTTGAGAAGATAGGGTTAAATAAAGAGCGACTCTTACACGATGAGCAGAGTACCGACGACAGGTGAGTATTAAGTCTATTTGATACTGCTTCTTGGCCTTTTGGCTAAGATGAGGTGTGAGTCTATTTGAGAATAAACAGTTGAAATTATTGTTGATTCTTTCCTATTCTAGCTACAGGATACGTTTATGTATTTCACCCTGTTCTGGTTCTTTTCTAACCTTAGAGAAAGTTCTATAAGAAAAAAAATTAAAAATCAAATAAAAACTATCTAACATTGATATAAGGGGAAAAACCAAAATGGTTTTATATAAATACCATTACATAATAGGAAAACAGGATGTCTCCCAGGTAACAGAAGATCAGAGGCTGTCATTGCCTTTGAAAGTAGAATGAGACATTACCAACAAAGTCCTGTGTCATGAAATACACAGTCAATTTAAGCAAATTATTCTTTATTTGAATGATGTGTTTACATGCCTCAATTCTCCATTTATTTTGTGTGCTAAAATGTGAACTTTAAAGAGAAATGGAGGAAATCTTTGAAACAAAGGAAAATACACTGAGAAGCCATTAAGATATAAAAATAATCTGAAAAACTAGGCTTGACAAACAGTAAAAAATTAACTTACACACTTGAATTTGAGAATGTTCAGTACATACTTAAAGAGGATTTTTGTTCTCTATAGTCTGTCAAACAGTTAATTGGATTTTCATGTAGTTAGCTTAGCATCTAGCTGGCCACTAGTTCCAGCTAGAATAGAAGTGTGTATTGTTAATATTGTTTTATATAGATTAGACTTTAATTCAGTGGAATTTTTGTAGTTATATAATTTGTATTTTGTCATCTACCCATATTAATGTTCTAGTACGTGTCTGTATTCTGTATAAAATAAATGAATATAGGAAAATTGATGCTGATTATATGGGATTTATTTTTGTAATTTTGAAAATATTCAAAGTTAATAGAATAGATTGATACCTTTAAAGGTTAGTTGTATAATAACAAATAGAAGTAATTTGAGGCATTTTTTTCTAGCAGTCAATTCAAATAACCTTAACTGAATTACTATACAGATATTTCACGAGAAAATATTTTTTGAGTTAGACATACAATTAAGGGCCAATTTAGTTGACTATCTTTTGATATAGATACTAAATATATACCACTGCTTTATTCAGAGTTTTTGCCTGCCATGTGTAAGACATTTAAAAAGTAGAGCAAAAAAAAAGTAAGCCATGTATCTGCCTTAACTGTCCCTGTTTTAAATTTATTAGCCCATCTCTAGAGGGTCCCTTCACCTTGTGGCACCTCTTCCCAAGCCTTACTTCATGCAGTTAGTCAGTGTCAATTAAGCTTTCATTATCTGCTGATCATCAGCATCAAATAAATGATAATGTTTCAACTGAACCTTGAAGAATGATAGAAATTTGCAAGGTAGAAATGGGGAAGGGCATTCTATGCAAATAAAGCACAAAGGTGTGTTTAGCAATTCTGAGTAATATTAAATATATATTAGAAAAGGGCAAATTTGGAGGCATGGAGACGAGTTAGGAAGTTATTGTAATAGTCTGGACAAGATATAAGTGTGTTCATTAGTTGGCACATTTTCATTTTATAATGAAAACATTAGACATAGAGATAAGGGTGTGTATATTGAACTAAGACTTTCAGGAAAAGGAATTGAGAATAGTTAATAACTATGATTGAATCTGGGGATCAGGAAAAGAAGTGTGTTAAGACACTAAACCTGCTTCTTTCTCAGCCAGTAAGTTAGCCTTAGCGTCACAAAGAAAATTAGTTTATAGACATAAATTTCTTTAACATTCCATCCCCTCCATCTTGGAATTATGTATATCTGCATCTGTCTTTACCTCTAATCTCAGATGGTATCCCTAATTCCTTTGTTAGTCTGACCTCTTCATCTTTCCAGTTGATTTTGTTCCCTCTAACCCCCTTTGAAAATACAATTATATTATTAAGATATTTATTCTTGCCATCAAGGACTATATAGTCTAGTTATGGAATTGAATGTGTTAATAAAATCAAAAAAGTAAGTTTAGTGGTGGAGTTGCAAACAGTGCTATGTGATCACTCTTGTTTTTCTCTTTTAACAGCTCTTTTCCTGTGTCTTCTCTGTCAATATAGTTTCCTAGGGTTATGTTCTTAGGCTTCTTATCCACTTACTCTAAATGCTGAGCATGCCCATCCATCACCTCACCTGATGTCTATATTATTCTCTGCTTACTGGACATCTGTATTTGGACAGTCCAGAACTCAAGCATCACAAATTTAATATATCCAAAGTCACACTCATTAAATGCTTTAAAATTGCTTGTTGATTCAAGCTGTTACCAGAATGAGTGAGATTTGTTCTCTGTTTCAATGAACTTAAAATCTGGTTGAACAAAAAACAGATACATGGAGTATGTGTATGCACATTTGACTGTCCTTTATGATTGGATTGTTGCATTCTGTTGATTCTTATTTTGTAGTTAGCTTTATTCCTTTGATAACTATGTGAGTTTAAAAAGCTAAAGCTCTAATCTGTTCTTAGAAACAATAATCAGTACATATATGTAAACTTAAAAAAAGTGCAATATACTGTATATATGTATTTACGTGAAATACAATGTATATGTACAGTTGAACTGTAATAATTCTACCTAATAAAACTGAAAAAGAAAAAATAGATACATATAAGTTAATTACAGTAAAAGGCAGAATATGATAAAATTTCTCATATATATACACTTCAAGTTTTTATTTGGTTTAGTCATCAGGGTTCTCAGGTATAAGAAATAGATTAATCTATAACTCCTAGTTTATGATTCATCCTCAAAAACTGTGTTCATGAACTATCTTTTTTGTTAAAAAAAAAATTAAGACTAATATAAATATTCGTGAGCCCACCCTTCAAAAATATGACAAATACTGACACTCAAATCTGTCTTCCTCTTCCCGTTGTGTATATTTGTGTCTTTAGTATATCATTCTCTTTTTTAATATTCTGCAAGTACTCTGTGCCCTGAAAACAAAGTTTTCAGTGAATTTTAAGTCTTAACTATTCATATATGTTTGTATAAAAATGTTACACATTAATATCATAGACAAATACTTAATAATATGATAAATCTATCCACCTCCTCTTTCTGTAGATTCTTATTATACAACTAAGAGGACTATTTTGAGACTCAGATTTCTAGATGCCTTTTTGAGTATTAATTTTTGCTTTTGACAACCTAGACTGTAATCTGGAGCTCTCTTTTACTCAGTGAGTTTTTTGCTCATTACCAGGAATAGTTTAAAAGGGGGAGTCAGCAGTAAGAGAAGGATAATTTAATTTGAAAGACTATCTTATAAGATCTATTTATACTACCAAAGTCTGTGGTCATAAACTATCCTTAAAAAGAATTTTATGACCTTCAGTAATGAACTAATTATTTTAATACTTGGATAGTAGGTACAAACTTTTGGAATCAAAGTTAGAATCCACTCTAAAAAAGTCCCTTGAAATAAAAGAAGAAAAGATTGCTGCATTAGAAGCTCGATTGGAAGAATCAACAAACTATAACCAGCAATTGCGCCAGGAGCTTAAAACAGTAAGTAACTTCCTTGGAAAGCATTTCAGTTGTTAACTATTTGGACAGAAAAGTGTAAAGTAGAAAATAAAAAGGCAATATGTGGGGAAGGGTATAACTCAGTGGTAGAGTGCGTGCTTAGCATGGATGAGGTCCTGGGTTCAATCCTCAGTACCTCCATTAAATCAGTCAATCAAATTACCCCCCCAAAAGGCAATATAATTTTATTAATAATTTGTCTATTTCTTCCTGTTTCTTAAATTTGAGAGTATTAAACAGATTTTTGTCAGAGAGTCTGTAATAAACTATTTTGTCTATGCACTATAATTTATTCTATCCTATTTCATGTGTGATTGTCCCCCATGCAGTTAGGGACATAACAAAATTGTGAGCATGGGATGGGAAAGAGGCAGGCATATTTCATTGGGAAAAGCTGTCAGTGTGGTACTTACACTTCACTTTGACACTTTTCCTATTGAGAATCCAGGCAAAAGTTTGATAGGCAAAGATACGGATGTGAGGATACAAGTAAAGGGAAATAGTATGTGTGGTGTAAGAAAGCACTCAATCTCATAAATTTGACGTCTTTTCTAGGTCTGTTTTCTTGTGATACTTGGAATTATTCAATGAAGTTTTTGAAGTAGGGGCAGCTGTCTTTTTCCCCTACATGAATAAATTAAAATTGAAGGGGATTGCCCATTCCATAGGGTTAGTGTTTGGTAGATTGGTAGAATCATATTATGATTTATTCTTCCTTTTAGCATCTCTGTAGTTACACCCAGAGTGGTTTTATAGTCAAACATTCAGACTAACAGATTTACTAAGGGCCACATTTAGAACCATTTGATTAGGAACACTATAGAAAATATAAGTTGATATTTATATAATATAGTAGGTCACTATCAGGTGTTCCTCTTCACATAATTGTCTGAGAGTCATCCTCTCACCAGATGACTGTTCAGGTGCAAGAAGACAAAATTCACATTGAGTATGTTGCGGAGCTGCCCTGGCTTTGAGGCTTCATGTTCCACAGCAGTCATCATCTCTTGCAACCACTCCAAAGGCATGGATTTAAGATCTTCACAGTCTTAAGATCTTAAGATTTAAGAGAGGGGAGGGTATAGCTCAGTGATAGAGCATATGCTTAGCATGCACAAAGTCCTAGGTTCAATCCCCAGTACCTCCATTATTTGTTTGTTTGTTTTATATAAATAATTTATTTAAAATAAATACTTCCCCACCAAAAAAAAAAAGATTAAAGAGTTGCTGTACTCAGAGAAGTTCAAAGATAGAACTTCCTACTAGATATTTATAGTTCTCCCAGTACAACTGTAATTTACCAATCAAGGGTCTTTTTTCACATAAGCAATCTTGCCTGGCGACATAGAACATTCCAGTTTTATCGGGTTTCCAGAGAAACAGCTACCCCAAGGTGTTGTTTTCATGCAGAAAGGGGAAAAGGTTTTGTTTTCCATTTGCCCATACCATCACTGCTGCTGTTTGTCTCAGACATAAACATGGAACATAATTTGTTAGAGAAGAAATTATTGAACTTTGCTTAGTTAACATAAAGGATTATCCAAAAAATAAAGTAAAAATTTTTGCCCTATTAAGCAGTAACACTATGGTGCAAATAAAGTCAACTTCATGAAGCTACTAAGCCAGAAAATGAATGGGTTTTGAGTATGGGTTGATAATATGTGTATTTCAAGTCTGAAAGATTCTGATTAATGATACATAAGGTAAAGGAACCATTTTTGAAACTTAGTTGTGAGAACAATGGGCTAACATGAGAAGTTTTGAGTTTTAGTCTCAGCTCCCCTTCTTAATAGTGACAGATGTTTATAATCTTTATAAGCCTAGAAAAAAGATCCTGTGGGAAATTAATATAAAATAGGAGACTGGAAATAACATCACTCATCTGTTTTATTAGGGTGTTGAAAATTAAAAATGGAAAATCAGAATCACAGAACACCTATTAGATCACTTGCCAAGCTTTAAATTACATTCTGTCGTGGCATCTTTTTTCTTTAGTCTCACGTCATTATTTTCTAACTCAGTAGTAGGAAAGGTTGAGCCATAAGCTTTGTTGAGGTTGCATTAGACACTGAATTATTTTGAGCATTTTTTTCCTGCCTTAATAGAAAGTTTGGAGTTAATTTAGAAATTAATGATAATTGTTTCCTAGGATAAACTAGCGATTTGAGGTAAGGATAATAATAATCCATTTAAATTGAAGAGAGCAGTTAAGTTAATCAGTAAAATCTGCTAATGTAGGATGATGACCAAGTTGTTAGTTTTGAGTTGGCTCACTTAAAGTAGGATTTGGTTGTAATCACACCAGAAACCCTGGCTAAGATACATCTTTGGATTGCTCACTGTTCATAAAATGAATTAAAGTAATTATATATGGATCAAGATTTGAAAAAAGAAGTCATTTATTTATTAACATAGATCATTCTGGGCAACATATCTTTCCTAGAAGGCAAGATATATATAGATACTTCCTCAACTTTAGGTGTCTTTTTTAAGAGGAATTATTACATGTGTCAAGTCTTTATTTGTTCTTTACATGGGAATCTTTGAAAATTCTGTATCAGCTATAGATAGCTCTAAAAACAGTTGCTAGTATTTAGCAACTTGTCCATGTCCAGTTAATCTAGCCTTCAGTGGCATTTTCATCATAAACAATAGGATCTGTAATTACAAAATATATTGTAGGAATATGGCACATAAGAGGAGCATATTTAATGTTTCTAAAGGAGAAGATTTGCATTTTTATAAAGCATAAAGTGTGATCATAATAGCAATGATAATTGTGCATATTGTTTATCACATTTTAAAATAAAGTGTCTCTCACATTCACCAGACCATTGTAGAGTCTAATTAATTGTGATAAATATAACCTTGGAGGTAATTTTTCTCCCCATTAAAATATTTTAAATAATATTTTAGGTGAAAAAGAATTATGAAGCTCTTAAACAGAGACAAGATGAGGAAAGGATGGTACAGAGTTCTCCTCCAACGTCTGGTGAAGATAACAAATGGGAGCGAGAAAGTCAAGAAACTACTAGAGAGCTTCTTAAAGTTAAAGACAGATTAATTGAAGTAGAAAGAAATGTAAGTATTTTAGTAGGAATAAGGCTTTTTAGAAGTAAAGGATCATTGAGTTTATAAAACTCAGAAAATATATCTGATCTGGTTTTATAGCTTTGATCATTTCATACTTTAACTGATTTATTTTATAATATTTAAAAAGACGAAAAACTAATAATTTAATATGCGTTTCTTTATCACCCTTGTATAAGTCCGACAGCGAGCTGTGTCAGCCCTGTCTTTAAATATAACCCACACTCGTCTACTTCTCCCTATTTCTGCTGCTGCCACTCTTAAGTTACCATCATCTTTCATCTGGACTATATAGAGTATCCTCCTAACTGGTCTGCCCCCTTTCACTCCTGACCCAATCTGACCCATTCTCAATGCAGTAACCTAGAGTAAATTTTTAAAACATAACTCAATTCACGTTACTTTCCTACTTAAAAACTTCAGTGGCTTCCCATTTCATTGAGAATAAAATCCAGACTCTTTACTGTATCCATGAGATCCTTCTTGACATTTCCCTGTCTCTATCTCTGACCTTATGCCATATTACTCTTCTACACACCATGTTTATTAATCTAGGGATATTATTATCTGTTAATATCTGGAAAACATGGAACAGAGCCTGGCATATAATAAGTAAATTAATTCTGGTCATAGTGGTCTTTTCTGTTTGCCCCTATCTCAGGGCCTTTCTGTTTGCTTCCCCTACCTGGAACACATGGCTGGCCTCCCTTAGCATTCAAATCTCATGTTAAATAACTCCTACAAGAGGTCTTTCCTGACCTCTTCTCCCAGTAAAGTAGCTATCCCCAAACTAAACCATTCACCATCACACCACTGCCTTGTTTAGTTTCTTCATAGCTTCTTTCACTGAAAAAATTATTTATTCATTTATTTATTGTCTACTGAAAACAAGCTCCTTGGAAGCAAGTAGCTTGTCTTTTGTTCACAGCACTGTGCCTTCAGTATGTAGAACAATGCTTGGTAGATAGCAGGTACTTAATAAATGTTTGCTGAATGAGTTTAGTAAATATTTGACAGTAGACGATTTTCAAATGAATTCAGCAACCATTTATCCTTCAAAGATGAATGAGCTTAAGAAACTTACATGGTAACAAGTAAAATAGTTGTGATTGTTATTATTGTTTTTTAAGTTAATATTAATTGAAAACTTTAAGCCATGAAGCCAGAAATTAATCTCCTACACTACGGATTCCTGCTTTCTTATCCAAAAATAATCACTGTAAACAGTTTATTTTTCCAGAAAATGTTTGTGATTTATCTGTGTTTAGAAATATATTTCTTTTACAGATTCACACTTGTGGGATCTTAATTGTATTTTTCAATTATATTATCTTAGAGATCTATTTTAGCAGATACAGATCTATATAGTTTTGTTTGATGACCACATATTATTCCATAGTGTGCATGTTACCATGATTTATTTAAATAAATCTTAAATCAGTGGAAATTTATTTTCAGATTTTGCTGCAGTGAAAATCCATGTATAACGTGTCCATAAGGTAGTAAATTGCTGACAGTAGAGCTGATAGGCCAAAGGGTTTCCATATATACATATTTCTGTGTGTGTGTTTAATTTTAGTTGATATCATTATACTAGCCTTTCAGAGAAACATCAATCTTTATTCCCACTAATAGAGTACCTATTTTTGCTGATTAACATTGGGTATGACCAGCCTTTTAATTTTTATTAAAATGATAGGAGAAAATGTTTTACTTTGTATATTTTAAATTGTTAGTGAGCTGTTTTTCATCTTTTTACATATTTATCAGCCATATATGAATACCTGTGTTTAGTTATTCGCAATATATATTTATATATATACACATACTTCACACATACATATATATATACACACACATGTATATATGTATATATACATGTGTGTGTATATATACATATATATACACACACATATATATATTTCAATCCTTTGGATTAATAATTACATTTCAGAAGAATTGGCGTATAAAGTTGTTTAAGATAAATCTCTTTTCTCATTAATTTCTGTATGAAGTTCTATGGAGGAGAAAAAATTTCTTGGTTCTCATATTTTAGCTATTATAGATAATGGGTTTATAAAGATGGCTACCCTACATTAGGCTGGTAATTTTTGTGCATTTGCCAGTAAATATATTTGCTAACCTCATATTTTTCAATTGTAAACTATTTCCTGCTCTGAGATACCCTTTCTACTCTCAGTTGTCTCTTCTATTCATTATAGACTATAGGAACTTTTCTTATTCCTGGAGATACCCAGACTCATCATTAGAGTTTGTACATTCTTTTTACTAAAGAGCTGAACTATAATAGTGCTTAACATATGTAAGTGAAAAATGGTTCACCTCTTTGGTGTGTCAAGATGGTATATAAATACCTCAGTAGTCCATAATTATTTTTGCATGTAATTTCTTTAATCCTTTGTATTTGATCAAATGATCAAAAGGCAAGTAATGCACCATCAGTACTTATTTTAAAGCGTTTTTCTTCCTCAGCTTTGATTTTATGGTATAAAATATAGGTTGAATCATGACTTGCCTTTTATACAGTGACATGTAGTATATATATCTTAAAAGCCTATAAAGTGAATGTTGTCTTTGTCCCATAATGTAGATATGATAAAAGTGATCTGTTGTGGTTCAGTTGTAACTTTTTTTGCATATTGCAACTATATATAAATTCTGGCCGTATTGTATATTGAAGTTTTATTTTGGTTTTCTAAGGGGTTCTTCCTTTATACTTTTTGATGCTAAATTTTTTATGAAATGTTATTTAGAAATAATCCTGAAAATGTAATATCCATAACAAACATTTTAATATCTGTCACATTAAATGTAATGATCTATAATTTGCATAGTAATTCAACTGTTTAACTGTAAAATTGAAATGTGGCCATATATACTGGAAAAATTGAAAATAATGTGTTTTGTTTGGATTTGCTCCAGAAGTCCTATAGATGGAATAAAGTTTTAGTCAGTGTTTTATACCATGAAAAAATCACTTAAGAAAATATGTAACATCTGTTATGTCTATTATGGACTGAATTTTTTAAACAGATGGTTAGATTGTTCCTGCTTCTCTTCCAAATATTTGTGTCTATAAAATACTTAATAGTTTTGCTGCTACTCCTGGGACCACCACACATATAATATGTATATATACACATACATCATACGTACATATCTACATATATGTATATTGCCTTTGGGCAGTTAGAAAATGTACACTGCATTGGCTAGACACATGGCCCCATGCCCTCTGGACACTTGAACAGCATAAAAACCATACAGTTGACAATCCCATTCTAGTTTTTTGTGTTAAATACATTTAGAATGGATATGTTATTTTTCAGACATTATAGAGCAGACAGGACAGAGGCACGTTAGTAAATTAAGGTTTTAGTAATATTACTTTCTTTTCCTTAGGTTAAATATCTTTTTACAGTTTGGGATGGGGGAAATGTTTTGTCTTTTCTCTTTTAAGATTGTTGGTATATTTTTGGATTATAATGGTAATAAATACTTGTACAACATTCTGGTATCTGTTAGACAGAAATATATTTGATACTGCTTTTGTTTTTAATATGTGTTTTCTTTATTAAGAATGCTACACTGCAAGCAGAGAAGCAAGCATTGAAAACTCAGCTGAAGCAACTTGAGACCCAGAACAATAATTTGCAGGCTCAGATTCTTGCACTTCAGAGGCAGACAGTGTCGTTGCAAGAGCAGAATACTACTCTTCAAACACAGAATGCCAAGCTTCAGGTAGAAATGTAATACTATGAGGTTATGCAACCAAACTCTTGAATTATGCTGTTATGCTATCAAAATAAGGATGACTAGACATGGTAACATTGTTGCTTAGTGAGTGAATTTAACAATTAGTTTAAGAAAAGCTGCTATGCCAAATTTTCAGATATCAGTATTTTTTAAAAGTCAGAGCCTCTAAATTAATAAATTCCTTCAACAAATGAAAAAATAAAGATAATTTTAGTTATATTTGCTTTATTGCCAGTTCAACAAGTTGATTATAATTAATCAGTTAGAAACTCTTGTTTTAAGACCATCATTGCAAGATACCCATCAGTTATTGGAAAACAACGCAGCGTGAGAGTTTTGTCTTTAGACTTGCGCTTAGTTCAAAGGAGCCATCTTACACTTAACACTGCCAGTGTCTTTTCAAATAGAATAGTCAGGTAGGAGAAAGTGCAACTCTGAAACCTCTTTAAAAAGCTGGGAAAAGAAGTTGCCTCTCTGATGCTAAAAGTTCTCTCTATAACTCTTTTCCAAACGATAAAGCAAATACTAATTTAATTTAGACTCGAGAAAATTTCCAGTTGAATTTCACAAGTAATTTTTTAGTTCTATCAACTTTAAACTTCTAGGAAATTATAAACTGGCATTTTCAGTTCTGTACCTTTTATGGAGTTGTTGCTAATCATCTTCATTTAAAATAATTCAACCCAAAACATATATATGATATATATCTTACACTGTGTATGTCTCATAATATATGTATTATGAGATGTATATAACACCTACCAAAAGTAAAAAATTAATGGTAGCCTTATTCTTCAGGATGCTAAAAATTCAGATATTCTTTGTATAATATGAATATATCTGCTGTGGTTTATTTAGCACTTGCTAAAGTTAACATCTTTTATTTTAAAAGAAAGAACAATATAAGCTATTTTTCTTATGTCTAATACAATATACATTCTTACAGGTTGAAAATTCCACCCTTAATTCCCAAAGTACCTCACTTATGAACCAGAATGCACAACTCCTAATCCAGCAGTCTTCCTTAGAAAATGAAAATGAATCTGTAATCAAAGAGCGAGAAGACCTGAAATCTCTCTACGACTCTCTGATCAAAGATCATGAAAAGCTGGAACTTCTACATGAACGGCAGGCTTCAGAGTATGAGTCTCTCATTGCTAAACATGGAACTCTAAAGTCTGCTCACAAAAATCTTGAAGTGGAACATAAAGACCTTGAGGACCGGTAATTTATTATCTTTTCTTATGTTATTAATTTAAAACCAGTTTTATTTGGGTAATATAATAAATTTTATGTATGAACAGATCTGAGATAGTTTATGTAGGAAACTTATATGAATTAACATGTTTTATGTGATTACTTATTAATAAATGACTCCCATTTCCTTTATTTCTATAATATTTTTTTCTAAGGAAATATAAACCAAATACATAACTTTTTTTTTTCCAGTTACAATCAGTTACTAAAACAGAAAGGACAATTGGAAGATTTGGAAAAAACGCTGAAAGTAGAACAAGAAAAAATGCTGCTTAAAAACAAAAACCATGAGACTGTGGCTGCCGAATACAAGAAACTTTGTGGTGAAAATGATAGGTAATAAATATTTATATATTTTAGTTTTGTATTATTCATTATATCCAAAGTGTGTATTGCCCCTTTGTGGTACCATTCATAACTTAGAATTTTTTGAAAAGACCCCAGACCTGTAAGTAAATTAGCCAGCAAAATCATGTAGCTAGTTATAGAATCACTCAGACAAAAACCTGAATGTCCTGTTTTCTCTCGTTGTTTCTCTCTTGATTTATTCAACTAATTAAGTTTTTAAGCCACTTTATATAACAAAATTTGTGTACGTTGTTAGTCTTTTGAAGTTGGTACAAGTGAGCAGTCTCATGATTTCCTAGCTGATTGATTTGTACTTTTATTTTTGACTTAGGTATTAATGGTCTCATATTGCTATGGGGTAACTTTTTAAAATTTGAAGCCTTGGAAAGATCAAAACTTACTAACTGGTAATCAGCCTACTTCATGAGGATATATTTTCAAAAAATTTTTAGAAACCTTTGAAAAATGTAAACAGCCTAAAAACATTTGTATTGCATTTACATTGCCATAGCTGAAGTGCTGAAAGACAGCACACAAAATTTAAATGGGGATCATTCATTGAGTATTTGTCCTATTATGAATATGATACATTCTGTTTTTAGAATTAAATATCTATTTCTTTTCCTTCCCCCAAAAACCTCCCTAAGCTTCTAGAGCCATTTTCATTTGTATGCTCCATAGTTTTTAATTCAGTAATTGTTACAACTAGAAATTCTGTGCTGAGCGATTTGAACTTTAACAGTCTCAACAGCAGGCTAGGATCAAAGAGGTTGTATTTGTGCAGTATAAATAATAGAAGACCAAATTGTGATAAGTTAGGATAGGATTAGGACAGGGTTTTTATTACATACCTAACATTGCCAGATGCATTTAGTGTGGAAGTCCCATCTTGAACCTAACTGGGATTCAAACCAAATTTGGACGTTTGGGAACTTGAGTAGATCTTCCAGAAATCTAATTGTATACATTACTGAGGAGTCTTTAGAGAAAAAACTTGGCCCAAATGTTAAGAAGAAATTGAGCATGGTGAACTTGAACCAGAAGATTATGTAGACTTGGAAGGGAAGAATGGTCCTGAGTAGAGTATTTTCTGTCTCTCTAAGGTGTTCTTGCCCAGCTTTTATGCACTCGTGCCAGTGTTCTAAGGGAAGTAAAGACTTTAAAGTAAAACCCGAAAGAGCTCTTTCACAAACAAGATTACACTGTATATAGCACAGGGAAATATACACAAAATGTTATGATAAATCACAGAGAAAAAAATGTGACAATGAGTGTGTATATGTCCATGTATGACTGAAAAATTGTACTGAACACTGGAATTTGACACAACAAAAAATAAATAAATAAAATAAAAACTATTTATGAAAACTTGTCAAACAAGCAATATCCATTCCTCTAGATAGCCTAAGTTTTAATCTTAGATAATGCCAAACCAAGAAAGTTTCTTACATGAGCAAGGTTGTCTTGCCTTTTTAGAGTTATGTTCACTGAATTGTGCGTTGGTGTTAATGTTCTCAGCTTTGAGGGACGGTGTAAAAAACTCTCCTAAAGAGATGATTTTAGTATTCGCCGTTGAGATGCTATTGAGAACATTGTATATTATATCTCTATATCCCACACCCCATGAAGCATCAGTAGGAAAATCTTTGATCTCCATGGGTATTGATATACTATGTTGGTGTCTGTATGTGTCAGTGAGGTTTGACCAACTGTTAAATTCAGGCATGTATTCATTCCTAGATTCAACCTATTTATGGAGCATTTATTGTTTGTTTTGATCTTGCCATTTTATTGTTTTGTACCAAGTCTTGATTTTTAGAATGTTTATTTTATTACTTATAATTCTTGTAAATTGATTCAAATTCTTTGGGAAGTGAGTTGAAGTAAATTATTGGATGTTCTGAGAAAATACTGTACTGAGCAAAAGTTTGCTTTGTTTGGCTGCCTTCTCCTTTTCTGGGTTCCTGATCTTAATGCCATTAGGTGAAGGTTGGTAAACTACAGACAGCTCAGCAGGCCAGATCCAGCCTGCAGCCTGTTTTGGTACAGCTCCGAAACAAAGAACAACTTTTACATTTTGAAAGGTGGTTTAGGAAAAACAAAAAGAAGAATGTGATCTAGATTGCATGCAACCTACAAAGCCTAAAGTATCTATTCTGGTCCTTTACAGAAAGAATTTACTGATCTCCCTTTTAAAGGTCAGTGGACCTTGTTCTAAAGGTATAATAGTAGAAAGAAAGAAAAGGCTATCATTTGGGTTTTTTAAAAAAAACAAAAATTTATCATTAATAACTGAAGACTACATAACTATGAATAATTTACCACAACTGCAGAAATCTCATAACTAAAATTTTCATCTAAGCGTGTATCTCTCAGTTATCCGACAATAGATTGATAGATTGCTATGTCTCATACTAGATTGATTAATTCACTTGATCTGATTTTTCTTTAGTTTTCCTGTTAAATTTTAGAATTATTGAATTCTCTAGGTTAATCAAAACTAGATTGGTAATTTTCTGTTTTGTTTTTTAAACATTTTCTAATTAAAAACTTGTCATCTAGTTTTTACAGACTAGAAACTGATTCTTGGTAAGTTTAGTCACTGGCAAAAGAATCTTACATTTTCTAAGTATGTCTGAATGTGATTTACAGCGTTTTCACATTGTATAAATCACAGTGAAAACTATTAAGAGAATCTAACGTGATTTCTAATTATAGGTTGAATCATACATATAATCAGCTTTTAAAAGAGACTGAAGTTTTACAAACTGACCATAAAAACTTGAAAAGTCTTCTAAATAATTCCAAACTGGAACAAACAAGATTAGAAGCTGAATTTTCAAAGTTAAAGGAGCAATACCAGCAGCTGGACATCACATCCACCAAGCTAAATAACCAGTGTGAGGTAAGCTTTAACAAGGTTAGTCGCTGTTCGCTGCCTTTAGGCATCATTGCCTAAAAAGTAAATAATCAGATTATAATGACAATAGCAGTGTATGTTTAGTATTTCTAAAAGAATTGGTCAGGGATAATTGAAATTCACAAGTAATTCAGAAAAACTTTCTTTATGATTAATTTCAACTTTTACTATCAGTTTAAACTTATATGTTCAGATACTTTGAAAATTTTTATCCTTGTTTAATGAAAAAAAAGTTTACTGACCACCTGGCATGCATTGATAAACCAAAAAGGTAAAAACTTCATCCCTTGTGGAACTTATATTCTGGTGGAAAGAAATAGACAATAAACATAACAAGTAAGTTTCAGTGTTTTGTTACATATGGCTGTATAGCAGTTTACCCCAAACATAGTGGTATAAAATAACCACTTATGCTCACAGATTTTGTTGTTCAGAATTTGAACAGGGACAGTGGGGCCAGTTTATTTCTGCTCCGCTTCCAGATGGGCCCTTAGCTGGAAGATTGAAAGGCTAAGTGCATGTTTGGTGGCTGATGCTGGCTGTCAGCTGTAGGCCATCAGTTTTCTCTTCACGTAGTCTCTCCCCATAGACTGATTTGGGTTTTCTCACAATATGGTGAGAACCAAACAGAAGCCATTTCTACTCTAATGATCAAGCCTCAGAAGTCATACAGCATCATTTCCCCTGCATTCTACTCATTGAGCAAGTCAAAGTCCCATCCAGGTTCAAGGAAAAGAGAAATAGATTCAGTCTCTTGATGGAGAATGGCATGATTCTGGAAGGCTACATGGACTGCAAATACGGTTGTAACCATTTTGAAAATTAGTCTGCAGCATATGGTATGTTAAAATATAAGTTATATACAAGTAAAAATGGAGTAGGGTAAAGGGGAATAAGGACTGCTAGGGTGGGTGAGAGAGTGTAGATTGAAACTGTAACTAGACATGATTGAAAAAAGATTTGAAGGAGATTAGTGTATTATTATGTGGATATCTGGGGAAAGAATATTCCAGGCCACCAGCTGATGCAGTGACCATAAGGCCAGGGGAATCCTGGTGTGTTTGAGGAACACTCAAGGAAGCTAGTGTGCCTGGAGTGGAATGAGAAGGGGGGAGTAGCAGGAGATGCACTCAGAGATAAGCCTGTGCCAGATGTGTTGCCTTATAGACCATTGTAAAGCACTTTTCTGAATAAAACAGGGGAGCCATTAGAGGGTTTTGAACAGAAATGACATCTGCCTTATGTGTGCAGTTTTATTCTTAACATTATTCCATGCCTTCCTCCATGATTATTTGATGCAGTGGTAAAAGTTTTGAAGTATAAAAAGGATCCTGAAAGCCTTAAATAATCCTTAAATTTTGTGATTGGTCCCTAAATCATTAAAGTTTGAATATAGCTTAACATTTCTTGGAACTTTTAGGAAACCAGCACTTAAGCAAACCCTTAAGTAGAATTAGGAATAGACTATAAGAAAAGTAATATTTAAAGGCTTTTTGTCTGAAATTATAAACCAACATAAAGGAAAATTAGTTTGAAATCATATATATTTAATTACCCAACAAAGTTCAGAAAGTATAGAACATTCATTCTGCCTGTGATTTATAATAAGTCTAAATAAAATATAATTGAATTAATGGATTACAAAATGGTACGTTGAGGAACATGACAGATCAACTCCAGAAATAATAAGATTGGACAAAACTATCAAAAATAACAATTTTAGGACTCTGGAATTCAAGCAAAGACATACAACAAATTGAGAAGCATTTATTAAAGAAAAACTACTCAACTTTGGTTAGGACTGTGGTTGTCTGAGACATTTTATCATGTGACTTCTCCCATTCTTAGTCCCTCCCCTTTTTCCAATACCTGGTAGTTCAGGTGAGGGGCAAGCCATGAAAACCAGCAACTCTGCTACTGGAGGGGACTGGCTTGATTGCAGCAAAGAACAGAAGAGTCCCACACCCAGGAAGGTTGTCAAAGGCCAACTCTCAGATACCTGAGGTTGGAATATTGGATGGGGCAAGTAACATACCAGCAAACTAGTCAGAAATTTAACTGGGAGATCTGAAGAATGAGACAGCCAGCCATAATGAATCTTGATAAGGCCCTTCATGTTGCTGGTAGTCTAAAGGCTACTCAGAAGAGATCAGAAAGGGCCCTAGCTACCTACTTATCCCAGGCTAATTCTCCTAACTTGAGTCAAATGCTAACTTTTGGCTAAGGGCGAAGTCATTATGATTTGAAGGGAGTGTAAAAATGAATCCACAGTGTAGGAGGTTGAAATAGTAGTTAATCTTTGTAGGGATGGGTGGTAGTTGGAAGAGAGCATGACAAGTGTTTCTGGAATACAAATGTGCTGTTTCTTGATCTGGATGCTGGTTTCACACATGTTCACTTTGTGATAATTGAGCTGTATATACACTTAAAATTTGTTTTCTGTGTATATGTTTTATCAGTTGTCTGTTGACATAGTAATGCTATGTAACAATCATAGAACCTCAGTGGTAAGGGACAGTAAACATATATTTTTGCTCATGAGTCTATGAGTTGGCTGAGCAGATGTGCTGATCTGCATTGATGTGTAGGCCAAGATTAGCTGATCTTAGTAGGGCTTGCTCCTGTGTCTGCAACTAGCCAGTACATACCCTGAGAGCTGACTGGACTAGGGTGACCCCAACTGGTATAATTTCTCTGTGCCCTGTGGTCTCTCATTCTCCAGTAGGATTCCAAGAGACTGAGTGCACCACATAAGCCTTTTGAGGCCTAGACTTGGAACTATCACACCATCACTTCCACCTCCTTCTCTTGGTCAAAGGTGTACCAAATTCAAGAGGGGAAGTAGATTCCACTTCTTGATAGGAAAAGTGAGAAGTCACAGCACAAGAGAATATAGGGAGGAAAACTATATTCAGGGTTTTTTTGCAGTGGATCTACCACATACGTTATATTTCAATTTAACAATATATAGATAAAACAAATATAGCACAGTATTTACAGTTGTTAGATCTAGATGGCTGTTTATGGATATTAATACCTGCTTTTTTCTACCTTCTGAGAATTTTTGAAATTTGGGGGGGGTGATGAAGGAGAGGAGAAGGGGTTGTTACTGGCATTTTTTAAAAATACAGATCTCTGGGCTCTACTTCAGACCTGCTGAATTCAAATGCTAGAACCCAGGCATCTACATTTTAAAAATGTATTCTACAAGTGATGCTAAATTTTGAGAATTAAAATTTTGGGCTTTCTGAGTTCTGCTGGAACCTCTGGTTCTAAGGCATCCTTCTAAGTTCTGCTGACTGCAGAGAAGAAGCAGCTCAATGATGCTAGCAGCCCAGCTACCAGTAATAATCAGTAGTAATACCACCCATTGATAAGATTACTTGACTCCCTTGGATCAAGCCATAAAAATTATACATAAACATTAAAGGTTCCTTGAAAACAGTGGTTGGGGGAAGAATGAGGTCTATGAAGTACCTACTGTGTGCCATAGATAAGACACCAGGTACTTTACATATATTATTTAATCCTTGCAACAGTCTTGGCGGGAGTGGGAGTTGTTATCCTCAATTTGTAGATGGGGCCATTAAAGCTCAAAGAATTACTAACTTGTTTAGCATTTCATAGCTTGCTTAAACAGAAGTCCAGAGATACGAATCTAGCTTTGGGCTCTAAGTTAAAGTTTTGAAGAAAGAAGTGTTTTTGGAACTAGATAATTTATTATGTGTTAAACCCAATGTCTGTGAGAATTAAGAAAATATATATGTCCAGCACATAATCCAGTACTTTAGCTGTCATTATTACTAAATAATCACTCATGTTCTAATCAAAGTAAAACTATCTAATTGTTCAAATAGCAGAAGACTTAAGTCTTTGTGAAGTTAAGTTGCTAAGTCTTGGTGAAAATGTTAAATGTAAATGTTGATATTTTAAAAAATAAATGTTTGTGTTTAAACAGTTGCTAAGCCAACTTAAAGGAAATTTAGAAGAAGAAAATCGACATCTACTAGATCAAATTCAGACACTAATGCTACAGAACAGAACACTATTGGAGCAGAATATGGAAAGCAAGGATCTTTTTCATGTTGAACAAAGACAGTACATGTAGGTACCAAATAATTTTGCACTCCAAAATATCAGTCATGATTTTATCATTGCCGTATCTGGTGGCAGAGTAAACAATGCTAATTTTTCTTAATTTTTGGCATTATTATTTCAAATTACATTTTTTGAATGCTTATATTCTGGGCATAATAACCAGAAATACTAACATGAAAACACATGAGTCCTGCTCTTAATAAACTATTAATATAAGCAAGAAATACAAATATTTGCTATAATAGAGGTATGTATAGGAAGCCATAGAAATACAGCAAATAGAGGGGAAGGAGTATCTTAGTCTGCAAAAGAAGGTAGACTTCCTAAAGACGGAAACTTGAGCTGAGAGTTAAAGGTTCAGTAGGAGTTCACCTGAGGAGTCACACGAGGCCAAGAGAGGAGCAAATGCAAAAATATGGGCATATGATGAAAGTGTATTATTATTATAATATAAGGTCTAAAAATTAATTCTTCTTGTTAGAGCAAAATTGAGGAAGAAGGAGTAGCAGAGAAGTGGCTAAACACTCAGGGGTCACTTTACAAAGGTTTTTCTATGCCATACAAGGATAGCTGAAAAATTTGAGCAGGGAGAAATGTGATCGGATTTGTTGTTGGGTTTTTTTTGTTTGTTTTTTTTTTAACACTGATGACATTAGAGTATACATTGGAGACTAGAGACAAGGAATAAGTTTTAAAAAGGTTGTTGCAATACTCTAGTGAAACTAATTCAGAAGCAGTGGTAGCTGAGATCAAATACAAGAGAAATGTGAGAGATAGAATTGACAGGGCTTAATTGTTAGTAAATTGTATCTTTGTTGAGAGTGGAGGAATCTGGTAAAATAAGAGGTTTTGGCCTGGGCAGCTCAGTGGATGACCTTTTATTATACTATGATTCACCTTTACTAAATTCTTCTCTTCCTCTTGTTGCCTAAATGAGAAGCTCTGTCGTATAATAGAAAGAGCACACATGTTGAAGTCAGACAGCTCTTAGCTTAAATCCCAATTCTTCCAATCACTAGTTATATGACTGTAGGTGAGTTACCTCATTTCTTTGATCTTTGGTTTCTTTTTCTCTAAAACAGAGATATAACACCTACTTCCAGGACTATCCTAAGGAGTAAATGAAATAATATGTGACTTTCAAACATGTACATAATGGTGAACCCCACGGCACATACGAAACCAGGATACACCATACATTTTTTTGAAGTATCAATTTTATTATAAAACCTGGGGCAGGGAACATTATTTTTATATTAATACACAGGAATATCATGATATACCTGTGCAGAAGGTAAAGTTTGCATGAACTTTTAAGGTAAATGTAAAGCTTCAGAGAAGTTTCACATTTGTGGCTGGCCAGTTTGGATCTTCAGTCCTTTCCATGACTACTTGTATGCCTTTACTCTCTGCCATAAGAGGTATTTTAGCTTAAGAAGCAGTGAGTGTTTCTAAAGCTCTTGGCATTTGAGTTTCCTGCTCTTTAAGCAGAGGCATTATCCAGCACTTTATCATGTTAATATTCTGACCCTTGATGAATAATCCATTTCCAAGGTTTCAGTGATTGTATCTATACCATTGGCTTATAAATATTAGTATCTATTCTGACTTTTTGTGTTTAAATTTAGAATACCAATTTTATGTGTCAGACTCATTTCTAGCTGAATGCCTCTGTCACATGGTCCTAGCAGGAGTGACAGTGAATGGGTGGTACTGAGAATTTGGTGGTCCCTGATGATATTTAGAGGCCATGTGCTATTTGCACTGTGATATAACTAATAGCAACCTCTAATCACAAAGCATCTTCTTCCGTAGAAACTCTCAGATCAGTTCCTCCTGTTTCCCGGTACCCTAATTTCTCTCTCCCATGAACTATACTACCCCATTAGCCTCCTGAATGTTTTCTTTGCCCCATCCTTTCTGATATATCCTATTTCATTATTGAGTTAAGGTATTAAACATAGATTTCATGTCACTTTGTAATGAAACCTTCAGTATTTCTGCTGTTCAGCAAAATCTAAACCTGAAACTTCACTACTTCCTCTCAGCTAAACTGTTTAATTTAGCATTCTTATTTTTTCTTTTCAGTCTATCTAATATGGCCTTTTTCTTCAGGAGACTTTCTTTGGTCATCCAAGATAGAAATATTTTTCCTTTTATAAGTTCCTATGATACTTCCACAGTACTTTTATTTTGGCATCCCTACTATCTTGGATTATAATAGTCATTTATGTATATATCTTCTCTCTCCTACCGTACTCTAAACAGCTGGGCTACTTCTTACTCATCTTTATATACACCTCATGCACTCCTCATTGTAAATGATCACTAAATGTTTAATAAATAGTATTCTTTAGGATCACAGTGTTTTTAGATCATTTTACTTTTGTCTGTGGTCTTTGATGTTTCCCTATGTAATACATACTGTTAACAATATAAAAATGAAACTAACATGTAGTCAAGCTTAGTATATTCATGCATTGCTGGAGACAGGAAATTCTCTACAAATAAATTAAGCCTACATAATTCTACCATAAAGGAAAAAATCTGTTTGCAGGAAGATGTGGTTGCAAGATTATTTATTGTTTCTGTAATTATAAACAAACTATCCAGCAATTTAATATCTTGCCTATATAAATTATAATAAATCACTATTCCAAAAAATGATTTGAGATACCAAAGATCCAAGAATAGGGGACTTGTCAGTGTTGAATATAATGTTTAATAGCTGAAAAAGATGTTGAGGGAATTCTTTTGTCATGATGAGATTGTAATATGGAAAATTTTCTTCAAACAAATAAATCCTGTTGGAGAATTGAAACTTAGATCATAGTCCCCAAATAATTTAATATCATTCATAACTGTATAAAATATGTTGCATGTCCTAAAATGTAATTTTTATTTTTATAGTGATAAGTTAAATGAATTAAGACGACAAAAGGAGAAATTAGAAGAGAAAATTATGGATCAATACAAATTTTATGACCCATCTCCTCCTAGAAGGTACTATTTAACTTTTTTTGTTTGTTTTTATTTTGAAAAAAATGAAAAACTTCTGATTTTGAGAGGGACTTATATGTTGAATTTTAGACTGATAAGAATTTTTAATTATTTTATTAGGAGAGGCAACTGGATTACTCTAAAAATGAGAAAATTGATAAAATCTAAGAAAGATATTAATCGGGAACGTCAGAAATCTCTAACACTAACACCAACCCGCTCAGACTCCAGTGAAGGATTTCTTCAGCTTCCCCATCAAGATAGTCAAGATAGTTCTTCAGTAGGTTCAAACTCTTTAGAAGATGGCCAGACTCTGGGGACCAAGAAAAGCAGCAGTGAGTGCTTAAACTCTTTAAACATTTGTGATCTCTAGTATTGATTTAGAATCCTTTCTAAAGGTTTCTTTTAAATAACTTCAACAGTTCTTTGGGATAATAGTCTGATGAATGCATTTCTTTTTAACTATATATGACTTTAAAATTCACTGCATACTGCAGTACTGCATAACTACATGATTTTCTCTATTTTGTGTTTAGAGAAATACCATACACAGAAGCACCATCATTTGGCCAGGGAGGTAAAATAGTATAGAAAGAACAGTGAAATGAGAGCCAGAATACCTCTGCCACTTGCTAGTTCTGTTAATATGGGCAACCTTTTACCTTTGCATCATACTTCATAAGGCGATTTTGAGGAGCAAATGAGAAATTTTAAGAGCTCATTTTCATAGTTATTTATAACTAAATAGAATAATAAGGCTTTTTATAATAAGGTTTTATTCATACTTTGGTGTCAAATTGGAGCAAAGTTACATTGTAGGAAGCAAAGAAAAATAGATATGAATTTGAAGAGAATGTTATTCAATTATTTAGAAATAATTGAAGGTTATAAGAGTTATTGAGAGATTGCTTATAAAAGCTTCATTTAAAGTAAAGTAGATGTGGAGATATAAGTCTATGTATAAACTTGTGATTTAATTTTTAAATTACAAATGTAGAAGTATCACATCATAACGTGCCCTGTACAATTCATACTCTCTTCATTTCATTACTAGTGTGCTTAGCCGAATAGCAAGAGCAAAGTAAAAGCCTAAAGAAATGTATTTTAAGAGAAAGAAAAGAATCCAGTGGTAGGCCTTTTGAAGATATCTGAAAAGTTGACTGCTAGCAATGTTCTTATAAAATATGTAAAGAGGATACTTTGAATCCACTCACACTATCACCAGAGTTACTAAGTTTAAAAATATACATGTATATATTTATATATGTATATAAATGTACAACCATATTATATATAATGTATTTCATTACTATTCTTTTGAAGTAAATAGGCAGAAACAGCTACTACCCAGGGTAGATTCTCCATATGGGCAGCTATCAAAACACTTGTTTTGTCTTCAGGAGAATTATCTCTGAAAAGACAGTATTTTAGGATATAAGAGATTAGACCTTCATTATAGGCTTTATTTCAGACTGCAACCACAGCACCCTAGAAACTAGAATCCATAAGTAAGCAACCAAAAACATAATACACATAAATGAATACGTATTCATACATACATCCATACATATGTGTCTGTGTATTAGTCTCAAGAGAGTGGTTTAATCTTATATATCCACATAAGATTAGTCTTGTCAGCCAAATCTACATGAAACCTCTGAGTATTATAGAGAGATCATCAAGTTTTCCTTAAAAAGGTGCCAGATGATCAATTTTATCTGCTACCTTTAGATATAAAATACCTGACACCTTATTAAATGAGAAATGGTAATGGGTATACTTAGTTTTTTTAATTAAAGATATTTCAATTCAGATGTGAGAACATACGTAAGAAAGGCATGACAGTCTTTTCTGAGGTCATCGTGTTTGTTTTAAATACAAATCTGTCATACCTTCATACTCTATGCTAAACATCCAGAGTAAGAATCAGAAAAAAATGAATAGTCTCCTTTCTAGCAGTTGTTCAGTCTTAAAATTTTTAAAATAAACACAAAAGCCAGCAATTCTAACAATCCCTTAATTTCAGTATGGTTTGGGAAGAGAACATTGTATATCTACAAACTAATTGTCATGAGGATCACATTTCACCACTGACAAATGTGAAACTCAAAAATTCTATCCGTTTTGGAAGAGTGTCTGTCTGTCAGTAAAGCAGTCTATGGAAAACAGTTGAAAACAGAAGAAGTATCTAAACAAGACAACATGTGCATGCTGCAACCACTCAGCTTTGTTTTAGCTAAGTGTCCATTTTTACATTGCTTTCAGTTCATTTCTTTTTAATCATTGAAAACAGCTGTGTTTACCAAGCTAGATAAGAAATAAAAGCTTAAATGAATCATGACTATTCTTATTAGCAATCAGATAAATAAGTTAAAAAGCTGTATGTCCATTGCATTCTCCTTAATGAATGATACTTGTCAGTTTATCAAAAGAGCTTTGATTGTTTACAAGATGACAGCAAACTCTGAGAAAGAGCATAGTTATTAAGGCTGTATATAATATGCTCTTAAGTCTTTATGCAGATTATTTCCCTAGATCCTAAAATGTAGGCCAAAAACATGTAATAATTTTTTGTATTAAAATTTTATTAAAATGTAGCTTGAGAATGTTACTGACTCTTGTGAACACCGAATTTTTATGTTCATGACTCCTACTGTAGTTTTAACCCTAATTTTCATTTATAAAATTTTCATGCATAGTGCTACCTTTTATTTTTTTTAATAAAGTGACCCACAAAGCCCTTCAAAATATCTAAAAATGTTATAAATACATATTTTTCTGTCTTTTTTTTTTTTTTGCTTGCTTGCTTGCTTTAGGATACCTCCTTATCTTTTAGGCTTATCAGAGCTTAGTGCTAGCACTTATTACTACTATCAAAATACTCTTTTTTTCCTCTTTCTTGCAGTCAACCTTTTGCAAAATGATATTATCATGATTGCTTATGTCATCTCTTGAAAGACTTCCCTCAGAAGAATATGTATTTCCATGGTGCTGCTAAATAATGCACGAGAATTCAGTTTAAACCAAGAAGTAATTCCCTGTTTTATTTATTAAAGTTCAAGAAAATAATGAGTTTTTAATGAAGATCATAAAAGTTTTTTTTAGATTGTTTTAAATATCCCCTTGGGCACCCTAGTTTTTTGTTGAGGCATTTTACCCTCTTATAGGATGTATATTTTTCTAAATCACTTTTTTTCCAAAATAAAGCCTTATAATTTTAGGAAGTTAAAGAAAACAGAGGATTGAAAAGCCTTCTACATTTTCATCATGTATACTCTGTGGTCCACCAAGAGTGGCCCTAATTTTAAAGGTATATCATTACAACTTAATTAGGAAAATTGTTCCTTCTGTAAGTAGTTCTAATCAGTTCTTGTATTTATAGGACTTTAGTCATCAAGCTTTTAAAGTATATGTTCCTCATCATTGTCTTCAGTGCTTTTCCAAGTATTTTAAAGTATCAAAGTACATATTTCATATTTCATTATCACTCAGCAGCACGAGAATTATAGCTTTAGTTTAGCATACATAGCTGAAACTCAGACATTCATTTCTGTCCTTAATTTCAACATTTAACTCCCATCTGTTCTTCTCCCTTTTTTCTTTCATTTTTCTGTTTCTGTTTTTCCTCATGCTCTGACATTAAAGTGGTTGCACTGAAAAGACTGCCCTTTTTGAGGAACAGACCGAAGGATAAAGACAAAATGAAGGCCTGCTACCGTCGTTCCATGTGTAAGACTTTATGACAGTTCAGCTTCTTTCAAATGACTACACTGGCTTCCATTACTAATTTTTCACTAACCATTCTCTGGACTGCGCCAATTTTCTTATTTTGCAAAGTGCAGTCTTCCTCTAATACAAGGAGCTGGAAGAATTCTTTTTTTCAAAACTGGCACTGAATTTGCATGATATGTATGTTCACTTATACATATACATGCAGATATTTACTCATACATGTAATATATTTGTAAATTTCTAGTGCTTTCTAAAAGTTGCCAGAAAAAAAAATCTTTAATTTTATATGTCAGAGATTTTTTCCCAAAGAAATTTACTTAAAGAAAATATAACAGAACCTTTAGTATTAGGAATTTATTTCCTCAATGAACTAGGATTAAATAAATAAATAAGTAAATAAATAAATAAAATGGCCTATAACCCTTGAAAATGTTTGTCATTTTTTATATAATAATACTTTTTTTTCTTTTTTAAGTGGAATGGGTAATTACATAATCACATTAAATATCTGTCACTTTGGATATCCTCTCTTTCAGGTTTTTATTGAATGGTATACTTATTTGATTCATAAAATGAATAATTCCTTCAGTAACCTGCTCTGACCAAGGACTCTTTATCATTTTCAATAGTGATGCTGTAAAGAACTGCTCTCCATCTTACCTTTATTCATTCCATTTTTGTCACCACCAAACCACATTATGAAGGCTTCTAATTATATTGCACATCACTGCTCAAAAGCATGGCAGTTGTAGAGTAAAATTCCTTTTCCTATCTTTAAAGGGGGTGGAGATGGGATAAAAATATTTACCAAAGTTTATCAGCCTTTGGCCTACTCATTTCATTTAGCTGAATGCATGTCATAATTCAAATGACCTTATGGTTATAGTTTTTAATGTTCACTTGCATTAATCCATAAACAAAAATCAGATCATTTATAATTCAAAATGGAAATAAGAGCAGATACATTAACCATGCTGATTCATTTGCTTTCATTTGCATCCCAGCCATGAATGACCTGGTGCAGTCCATGGTCCTAGCAGGAGGACAGTGGACAGGTAGTACTGAGAATTTGGAGGTTCCTGATGATATTTCAACGGGTAAAAGGAGAAAAGAATTGGGAGCTATGGCCTTCTCTACTACAGCCATCAACTTTTCAACTGTCAACTCTTCTACAGGCTTCAGATCCAAGCAGTTGGTTAATAATAAAGGTATAGGCCGTCTGCTATTTGCACTGTGGTGTAACAGGAATTTTAATTTGACTTTCCCATGTGTACTTTTTTGACAGCAACAACCTGAAATAATTATTAAGACAATCTGGATTTGATCTGAGGGAATTTTCAAATCATTTCAGAAATTTAAAACATCATACAAATAACTAAAATCTTTCCTAGACCTTTCATAATAAACAGTTAATGAATGAACAAGACATGGAAAAGTAAACCAAGAAAAGGAGAGAGTGATAGAAGCTTTAAAAAAAACAACTAAAAACCCTACAACATCAAACAGAGAGAGAACCATGTAGAACCACCCAGGCTCTTGCTTTGCTCTGCAGGGTCACAGGGAAATTGTTTCAGTGCTTCTGATATTTTCCCTAAGCGAGTCAACTTTCATAAGAGTTATTCTGTTTCTTACTCCTACTTTCAGTTTCTGGTTGAGTCTATCAAATATGTTAAATCAAGATGTATTATACATGATTGAAAAAGAATTTCCATATTCTGCATAAATAAAATTTTATGATTTTTCTTTGTTAAAAAATATTTTTATATCCATTTTGCTATTTTATGTAGATACTACATCCTTTGAAGATGTAAGTCCACAAGGTATTAGTGATGATTCTAGTACGGGATCAAGAGTTCATGGTAAGATATGAACTTTATTTAGAGAGTACATATTACATACAGAATGAGAATGCTAAGATTCTTGCATTGAACTGGTGAATGTGGCATTGCCAGCAAGCATGTTTTCGCTAACCTGCATCTCATAGCTACCTCTGCCATTTCTTCAAACCTAATACTTCCTTTTGCCTTTTTTAAGGTTATTGCTTCATCTAGTCTCTGTTCTAGTCAGGGTCATTTATAAAGTATGCCTGCACAATGCTTAAAGGTAATTTTGTTGCCATTTTGGTATAAAGTTAAAGTTATAAGAGAGAAATTTACCATTGATTTAAAAAATATTTACTTTGGTAAAGGATGAACTCTAAGAAACCACATTTTCTGCAGTGTTCATTTCAGATTTTTTAGTTTCTATCTGGAAATCACATCTTACCAAACTAAATTATTAACAAAAAATGGATAACATGTTAAAGGAATTTCATATGTAAGCAAGACTTTAAGAAGTAGGATAGGGCCATCTTAACTGTGCAATTGTTTCCCTTGTATGGATAGGAATACAGGATAGTAACTGTGCAGATGCTCGTATTCCTGCTGTTCGTGGCATCTCTGCAATGTGCAGGGTTCCTTGTCTGATCTGTTGTAAGTGACCCAATCATTAGCTTTTTATTTTTTCCCTTTTCTTTTTTGGGGCATGTCATTCTGTTCAACTAAAACAGCCTTGGTATCCATCTAGAAATCCATTTCTAAGTCTAATTATGCACTTTGCCTTCTTTTCTTTGACTCTCAGTTATTGTCTCAGAAATGTCCTGTTCTCAACTGTTTAAATGCCTTTGGTCTCTAATCTATAAGATTCAACTCTTTGTGGGCATGCTCAGTCTGTGAAAGTGCATGATTGCCTCCTCAGAGCATTCTGTGATCAGAATGTAAAGTTCAGTGTCTTCAGCTGGAAGTTTTATCACTGTCTCCTGATTTTCTCATTTAGCTTCGAGACCAGCCAGCCTTGATAGTGGCAGAACATCCACTAGCAATAGCAATAATAATGCTTCACTCCATGAAGTCAAAGGTATGCTGTAGGTGAATTTGTTAATATTTAACTCCATCCATTTCCAGATTTAAAAGTGGGAGATTGATGGAGTTTCTGGGTTAAAGTATGAAATCCAAATCAACTATGCTTTTGGACATAGTTCCTTGGAATACTTTATATTTCTCACATTGTAATACAAATGTACTTCAGTGTATACAGATGTAAAAACAGGAGCAGTCATTTTGGTTTCCATTTTTCATCTTCATAGAAAAAATATTTTTATTGTGATATTTATATTTCAAGAATATCTGTAGGTCCTTATTTTACTCATGTTTTGTCTTTATCATAAAAATGGTTGTCCTTAATTTTCTCATGATGCATGTACATTGAACTCAAGTGTTTTAGAAATACTTTTAGCTTAATTTATTCACAAAATGAGGGGGAATTTTTTTTTAATTTGAGAAGACAATTGTTTGTGGGTGAGTATGTGTAACAAGAGCCAAATGGACAACTATAGCTCATATAAAGAATTAGTTCAAGGTAGTTTTTCCCTTAATTTTTTAATATGCATTTCAAGGTGAAGTTTTTCCTGTATATATCAGGAAGCATTGACTAATACTTTTTTCCTTAAAGGTATACTGCCTACTCAGATTCTGAAATTGTTAAATAGATTATAAAAGTTTGTTAAAGTAGTTATTCTCTACAGTCCAGAATTGTTAATGAGTGCATTTGTTCTCTAGCTTTTAGTGTTATAAAATCATTTTGTGTCAGTTGTAATTTTATTTTATAACTAAAGCTATGACTTTTTTGCAGTGATCTAAAAAATCTGATTTCAAGGGGGGATTATTTTTTCATTTTTATAATCATGTTCTTTTATCCTATAGAAAAATACAGTCTGAAAATATTGTCTTTTCTGATTTGAAAATTAAAATTTTTTTTTTATAAAATGTTCCATATCTCGTGCCAAAATCTTTCATGACCCGCTTTATTCTCTGTGATTAGGGAACCATGGAAAGTTGCATTTTCTTTCTTCATGCTGTACCTATACCATTTGCTCTTGATCAAAATGAATAAGCACTCTTAAGGAAGTATAAACTTTAGGGGGCTTTTTTCGAAAGGTAATTATTTGTATTCTGTACAGTTGCTCAACCTCAACTGAGTCTTTTAAGGCTGTATAGACACTATACCATGGAAAGCAGGGAGAATCAGATGATTCAGACATTAAATAAATAATAAAATACTACATATCTGATTTTTTATTTTTACTGGAATTTTCTAAGTAATTAAATTATGTCTCCATTTGACTTTCCTTAGATGCCTGCTCTTTAAACAAAAATATGTATTTCTTTAGAGTTGTTCATTTAGGATGAACAGAGAAGCTTTTAAGTAGGAATAAAGACCTCATGGGAAGTCAAAGAATTAGAATTTTTAGCACTTAGAAGAGTTCGTGGTTTAAGATTCTTAATTTAAAATTTATATCATGCTTTGTTCTAAACTGTGAAGTGTTTTACAGTTATTTGAACCTGAATTTTTTAAATACATTATTCACTTATTTATTTATTTACTCATCAAATACATTGTGTGCTTGCTTTATATGTTTAGGTTCTGGGTATGGTGGTGAAAGCATATCTTTGCCGTCATGGAGCTTATTGTATTTGTCAATTTGACAAATAAGGAAGCAGGCTATGGTAGACAGTTGTTAGACTGATGAAAGATTAACATGGGTTACTAAGCATTTCTAAATAAAGTTTTGAAAGTCAGTTTGGCTATTCATAAAAATCCAGTCAACAAATATCAATACTTACACAATTTTAATTTTATTTCTATTATTGAACTCTTAACACATCATTTACTCCAAAAGCAGGTGCAGTTAATATCCAAAGCAGGCCACAGAGCCACAGCAGTGGAGAATTTAGCCTGCTTCATGAGCATGAGGCTTGGTCCAGCAGTGGCAGCAGTCCAATCCAGTACTTGAAAAGACAAGCCAGATCAAGTCCATTGCTCCAGCACAAGACAGTAGAGAGTCGTGCACATCACAAGATCAAAACTGGCTCCCCTGGAAGTGAAGTTGTTACTCTACAACAGTTTTTGGAAGAAAGCAACAAGCTTACCTCAATACAGGTTAGTTTTATACATGGTGACCTTAATTTAGACAGACACTACAAGTTAAATTTCTATGGTTGAACTTAAGAGAGCTTTTTTTTTTTGAGTTAAGGAGTGTTTAGAGACACTAGCAATTTTTTATTGTACCATCTTACATAGCAGGAAAATAAAAGCACAGCTGTATTTGTTAATCTGCTGCTTTTTTTTAAACAGATAAAGCCCTCAAGTCAAGAGAATCTTTTAGATGAAGTAATGAAAAGCTTGTCTGTCTCTTCTGACTTTTTGGGAAAAAACAAACCAGTTAGCTGTGGTCTGGCCAGGTCAGTAAGTGGAAAAACCCCAGGAGACTTCTATGATAGACGGACAACTAAGCCTGAACAATTTGTGAGACCTGGTCCTCAAAAGACTGAAGATACCTTTTTCATTAGTTCTTCAGGAAAATCTACACTAGGCACTCAAGGAAAGATAAAATTAGTAAAAGAAACTTCTCTTTCACGACAATCAAAAGATAGTAATCCTTATGCCACTTTACCTCGTGCAAGCAGTGTGATCTCTACTGCTGAAGGAACTACTCGAAGGACAAGCATCCATGATTTTTTGAGCAAGGACAGCAGACTACCTATGTCAGTTGATCCACCACCAGCTACTGCTGATAGCAACATCACTGCAGCATCTAGTGAGTACCGTTTACACCAGTGGTCCTCTCCTACACTTCACAGTCCCACATATGCTGTGGGTTCTCAAGCACAAAATGATTCAGACAAGCCCGAGTCTCTATATGCGCAGGCTAGAAACTCAAAAACAGGAAAGTCACATTTTCTAAACCAAACTTTTGCCACTATTAAGATATCTAAGGATATATTTGGAATATCAGCTAAAGATAGCGTAGGGTCCTTTACTGTGGCTCATCCATCTCAGCCATTTTTATCCCTGAATACAGAATTAGTTAGTAACATAAGTGGGTTACCTCCCAGGCCAGTCACCAGAGTAACTGACCAGGCTTCAGCCTCTTTGAATAAAGTTGCACAGAAAGATAATGAACAGTTTTTTGGTAATCAGAATCATAGTAACAGTAACCCACAGTCTTCTGTAGATAGCAGTAATCTTACCACTCCTGCATGCCTCTATCCAGATGACACAGAAGCTGCATTGTTGGTTTCTGAGGATAATCAAACTGTTTGGTATGAATATGGTTGTGTGTGATCAAAACTGCACAGTGATGATGTCATATGATATGCATTATGCTTCTCTAATTTGATTCGAAAAGCTGCTGTTGAAAACTATCATTTAGCTAGGTTTATATTTTTATTTTTAAACTGGCATAATGTTCAAGTGTACATTATGGCATGTATATAAATGTGATTGTGTAACCACAACAAAGCTTGCATGAAATATTAATTGCATTGTACATTTTCTGCATGACTTTAAAAACCTTAACAATAATGCTTCTCTTTGACACTTCTTGTCATCTAGTGAAAGATCATTACTTTGATATCTAGAAGCATGTTAAAATGGTTGCATGCTATAATTACCAAGGAGACATTTCCATGACATATTTACTTTGTTACTTCCAAAAAACAATGCTCATTTTCTCCCTCCCTCTTTTGCTCCCCTTTCCTGCTCTCCCTCCCTCTCCTCCTCTCCTTTCTTTTTTTCCCAGAATGTGCACTTCATATTGCACATGTACAGTGATAGTAAGGAAAATATTTTTAAAAGATGTCATTTTCTTTTGCCATTTAATTATACCTTCTGCCCTGTTTTCTTTTCAAAGAAATAGTTAATAATTCAACACTTTATGTAGCAAATATTAACTACTGCCCATATTTATAAAATTGTTGAGATTTAAAGCTTTGTTAATATTCATATATTTAGTGTAATTCTTTTTTATAAAAAGAAACATCAAATTTAAATGTGACTGATACAGTGACTAGGAGCATTTGTATTCTATTTCTTCTCTGCACTTTTCTTCATCTGATAAATATAAGAGCTCAAGTACTATCTTTCCTTCAAGATTACTTTTTTACTTGGAATCAGTTAATAGTTTTTTCAGTTCTTCTTTTATATAGAGCCAAAGAGAAATAAAGCAAATCATGCTCAATGTGTTGGAAATTTGCATTTTTACGTCTGTTCAAAAAGGGTAGCAAGTTTACAAAGTTGTGAAGACGGTTACTTACATAATTCTGTAATTCATTTATTATTATTATTATTATTATACATGTCTGTCCTTAAAACAATTTTCTAAAATGAGTACACTGAGCTAAAATAAAATGTAAAATTAGTATTTGTAACAATTTAAACAAACAAGTATGTTTTTAGTAGAACAGATTTTAGAACTAAGAATAAATGTAAACTCTTAGCTAGAAAATAATTATAAAAGATAGAGAAAATATTTGCTAACTCTGACTCATGTCATAAACTTTAAAATTATCTTGCTGTGGTCACAGAATCAGTTTACTTTGAATCTCTAACTCCCAGAATAAAACAAACAAAAAAAACAAACCCATAACCCTAATTCACTTACTTCCAGAGAAGTATAGCTTAGCTCTGTCTCTGGAATGTTTTTACCATCTTTTTTTTTCATTGCATCTATTTTTTTCTTTTTCTTTTTTTTTCTTAGTTCAAGTATAGTCAATTATAATGTGTCAATCTCCAGTTTTTGCCATCTTGATTCAGCCTAAATATTACTGACAGTAACTCAGACTGGCATCTAAAAGAAATGATTTGAAATGTAACTTTACACATGGGGAGGAAATTGTTATTTTATACATGTTGTTATGCTAAATTATTATTGTTATTAATTGGGCTAAAGAAAACAAAATGTACAGAGAAATCTTTGCTCAATGCAATTTATAGCCATAGTAAATTAAGCTATCCTCTTGTACTTATACAAGAGGGCTAGGCCTGTTCCATTTATTTCTTTGACCCTACTTTTTTTCTTATAGCCAGCTCTTACTGAAAATGGTTCTAGTGCAGGTAATCAGATGAACATAATCAGAAATTTTTCATATTTTTTAGTACCATCTTAAAATATATCTTACACATGAATATATGAATACATCAGTCTGTTTTATTGTTAGTTGTTTTAGTTAGTCCTAACATTTCAAATGTTTTTGGGAAGCCTTTTCTTTTTTCAAAACTTAATGGTAAATATAGGTGGGATTGGATGGGGCCATATGTGGTACAGATGTAATTTTTTTCCACATTGAGTCAAGGATTATTTCACAACCATTTCAACCTTTTAGATATTATAAATCTAGCCTTAAGCTTTAAGTTTAAAATATTAACTTTATGCAGAATATACTGAGAAATCATATGCTATTATAGCAAAAACTGTGATTATTTTACAAATAGACCTATAGGAAAGAAGTATTTCTAACTCAAGTGGCTATAGTTATACATACAGCATGTTTACAAAAAGAACTTAATACTGTGCATGTAAGACAGATAGATACATACCATGTCCACATGTCTTAAAGACTGGCTGAGAAGACTTAGACTTCCTCCATAAACTGTCACTAGCTGTAGAGTCATAACATTTACCCAAACACTAGTTTCTTTCCTATGTTTCTTGATAGCACTTGGGATCCATTAGCAGTAGGAAGAATCTTATAAATAATATAGCACCAGCATTTCCCAAACTTTAAAAAAATCAACATAATATTTTCTATAAATGAAATCTTACAAAGATGCCCTGATTTAAAAAAAAATTTTTAGAGATAAAAGTGAAGCAACTCTGACTCAGTTGAGCAGCTGCACTTTTTTCCTCTAAGATATCTCCATAAATATCCCACGTCTTTGTATCGTATTACAGGCATACCTCGTTTATTGCATCTTGCTTTATTGTATTTCGCTTAAAGTTTGTGGCAACCCTGTATCAAGCAAGTCTGTCTGTCAGTGCAATTTTCCCAACAGCATTTGCTCACTTCATGTTTGTCACATTTTGGTAATTCTCAAAATGTTTCAGACATTCTCATTATATTTGTTATGGTGATCAGTGATCTTTGATGTTAGTATTGCAAAAAGATTGACTCACTGAAGGGCTCAGATGATGGTTAGTACTTCTTAGCATTAAGTATTTTTACTTAAGATATGTACATTGTTTGTAGACATAATGCTATTGCACACTTAATAGACTGTAGTGGGAACATAATTTTTATATGCACTGGGATACTTAAAATTCACGTGACTTGCTTTATTGCAATATTCACTTTATTGAAGTGCTCTAAAACCAAACCTGCAGTATCTCCGAGGTATGCCTGTATTAGTACCCTAATTTTAGATGAAATTGAATAGCTTTCATATTCCTGGCTTAGGTTTCTAGAAATTATACCCTTATTATTTGTGATATTGTAAGTTAATTTTGTTCTGCATCAAGTCCCCTTTGATCAAAGCAGTTTTTGCTATTACAGTGTAAGTAGGTATTTTATTTCGCTATAAAATCTCCAGCCCTGGTTTTCTTAGTAAATAATACAAGTATTTCATTGTGGGTGTTTCTGCAGGCGCATGCAAGGTTATTTTTTACTTTAAAACTAGATGTGACCAATTAGTAAATAAACATAGTAAGTAAACCTATCTGACACTGAAAGGGCATAAATATATTATTTATAGCTTTTAAAATATAAGAATCAGTCTTTAAGTAATGAGATTCTATCAGATTAGTAACATTTCAGAGTTAGATTCCTTCTCTTTGCCCTACTGAGTAAGAGCTTCTCATCTTCATGAATTGTGTTATGTTTAACCTTTGATTAAATAACATGAAATGCTTTTCTCCTGCAGATGTGGACAAAGTACAAGAAAGCAGAAATTCAAAAAGCAGGTCTAGGGAGCAACAAAGCTCCTAATTCTATTACCCACTACATGACAAGTGGGCCAAGTGGTGAGTTTCTTGCTTAAAATGTAAATGAGATTAGTCTCATTTATACAAACTAACTGCATTAAGTATAAGAACAAGTGCACATTGCATTAACAGATGTAAATATTGCTTGCTTAATTCATGACTTTCTGTCTTACTTACTAGTCAAGATTAGTTGATTCCCAAAAGTTTTTGCCTGTCAGTGCAGGAAACCAACCTTTAAAAATTATTTTTTTCCCCTTAAGTTCAATTTTGTTTTACTAATGAATGTTTTAGAAATTGCTTTTTCAGTTTGAAGTGTTTTTGTGTTAGGAATACAACTTCTGCAGTGTTCATGATAATTGAGAATAAACTAAATGCCTTTTCTGTGAAGAGCCACTTAAAAGTTGTCTCTGACTTTCTGTCACTTTCTTATTCCTATAGAAATATCTGGTGCATGCTGTTCTTTTAGTGGCTGCTCTGTATTTTATATCTCTCTTATCTTCATGCTTTTCTTATATTTTCTTTCTTCTTTCTACCTTCCAACTAAATACAGAGAGAAAAGTATCCTTCAGTTTCTCAGTATGAAGCCTTTATTTCTGAAGTAACAAGACACCCAACTATAGGAATCATTTTTTAAAAATCTATAAGGAGACTTTAAACAATCCTTCGTGACTAGAGCAGGCAACAAATACAAACCTTCATTCCTTCCTTGAATCAAGGAGCACTACTGGAGTCAACTGCCAAAATTTTTAGAAGGTTTTGTGACTTACTATATGTTTTACTGTTAAGCTCCACTGAATAAAGGATGTTCTCTCACTAAGGACCAAGTGTTTTAAAGTTTCAAGAAGTACTCCAAGAACAGTCTACTTCTTTACTTATTTGTTTATGAATTCATCCATGTTTGCTTAATGCTTCTGCTAAGTATTAGCCAAAATCTAGCCATTTATATTTAGTTGTGTAAATTTAAATTAAATGCTGTAGTATGTTGTGGAATGTACTATATGTCAAGATACAGAGAACATTGTTTTGGCATGTCAGAGCCTTATTTGGTTAGTAGACTGCATGTGTTGATATTCTTTTTTTTTTTAAGTCAATTATTTTGATGTATTGCAAAAGAAATTTGCTTTATGAGATAACTGAAAAATCCATAGTGAGATAGGAGTTATAAAAAATTTACAGTAATATTAATCTTTCTATATTCCCCATTAAGCAACACTAAGCAATTCACACTGGATCCAAGGTAATTAAAGTGTTTTTTCGAAACATTTTTTAGTAAGGTGGTTTTCTAGCAAATGGCATTCCCAAGATAAAGCTGTTGGGTTTTAACTCATTTCCCTTCTTTAGTATTGGGTTATGTATGTGTGTTTGTTTTTTTAACTTGAGAGCTGACTGTTGCTTAAGAAGTTTTCTTATGGCAAAAATACTGTAAATAATTTAGTATGATCTGCATTTTGCCAGGAGCTCATTTATTAGTAAGGTTATCACTTATTAATAAGAACTTTTCTGTTTTTGTCCTTTATAATATTACATTAAAGTTGGTAACTGTTACTAGTACTTTTCAAATATTTGTATGCATTTGTTACCTTAAACATTTGAAAGAAGCACAAAAAAGTAAATTTAGTTAACCCAGGGAAACATCCATTTTTTTGTAGTTCCAATTTTGTATCACAGTTTTATTTTCTTATGAAATCAAAAAATGCATTGATACTATAATATTTAATGCAAGTTCATTATCTGACATAAATATCAGAATAATCTTAAAGGTCTGAAATGAGAAAGATACTGACTTTTTTATTTTAATTAACAGTATACTTCTTAGGCTCTCATTACCAGCTCTAAAAACCTTTTTGGAATAATCCCATAGTGTGTCATTTCTGAACTGTGTGTTTCATCACTAACTTAGTAGCCATGAGAAATCTCTCCCTTTCTCTTCCCACACCTTTCTGTCTCTCTCTCTTTTTGGTATCCATTAACAGTGTTATGTTCATAGTCTACTTCCACAAAGACCATTAATGAAAAGAAATACAGCATGTACAATTGAAAAGAAACTGAAGTGGAAGTTAGAGAACCTGGACTTAATTAATGCCACCATTAACTTAGGTTTTGCCACCTAATAATGTTGTAAAGTTAAATCACTTTTAAACCCTTGGATGAAAGGTGCTATATAAATGTAAATACAAAGGATTCTTACAAAATACAAATATTGCACAACAGACATATTTAAAACCTATTCTCTAGACTTTGAAACATCTTTCTCCATCATGACTCCCTAGATTCAAGTATCAGATTGATAATGGGCATTGTGGCAGTCTAGAGACACTTGCATGTAAAAAATGTAAATTCATTTCTAGGTGAATAAATTGAAAGTAAATATAGAAATTATGTTTTAGGCAAATACAGTAAGTGGGTAACTTAGAGTTTTATTAACTAGCATCTAATTTGCACAACTAGGACACATCCCAGGACATTTACTGTAAGTTAAAATTTAATGCGCAGAAGGTGGCCCATTGAGGGGAATGATATCACAGCTTGACCTCTCCAGGACAGTAATATCCTATAATAGAGAAACTGCTGACTGAAGCAGCACGTTATTGCTTCAAACAGAAAATGCTTAAGGGCAGCCTATAAAGTACTGAATCTGAGTAGGCTGTCCCTGAGAAAATACAGCAGGACAACCATGGAAACATTTGAAACTGCAAAAGTAGGAATATTCTTAATTATATTCATTGCCTTTTTCATACCATTTCAAGAAAGGACTAGATAACCACATGAATATTTGACTTTCTCCAAAAGATACTGTCAGAAGCAAAATTTGTACGAAGTCACACATTTCCCTTATATAGACGACTTCTGCCAAACATAGTATACCCAACTAGAAAATAACTGGAGCCACTTTCCTGACTGGGGTCTGACATGCTTTTAATTAACTGGCTCTATTCTAAATCAATACCTAAACCCCTAGGAAATTGAAGAATTTAAGTACAGGGTAATAGCGTCAACCCAGACCTCCAATAAAGTGCTTCAGATCTGGCAATGTGGAAATGTATGGTCTAAGCTTTTGAACTGGTGGTTACCAAAGAGTTCACAAACAGGTTTGTATGTAGCACCTTTCATGCGAGGCATGGTAAGAGCCTTTATAAAAATCACTGTGCATATTACAGAATTGCAGCCACCTCACAAATGAAGTATTACAGCCTGCACTGTCTTAACAGTTTTATGTCAGGAAGTGAAAAAGATACTGTACCAAATCTGGAGTTACAATGAGGAGTAATAATGTATGCTAAATGACTTGTATTTTAAGTTACTTTTGAGAAAATTGGTGAATTTTTGTGTTTTCTTTTCTGCTACACTTAGTCCTGAGATGTATTTTTTCTTTAAGCATTGAATGAATAATACAAAAGGACCCATTTTATAATATAAACCTTGATGTACATGTTGAGACATTTGGACAACAATGAAAATGCCTTAAAAGGAATGCATATGGATAAAGCTGCACTTACAACACCCTTTAACAAAATCTGGTTTTAAATTGTCTTTTTCTTTTCTACTAAGGGTTCTCTCTTTCAATATTTGCCATTGTACTTAAAACTGTTATTAAATACCAAATCAAATAATATAAAAGCTGTAACATTTCCTTTAAAAGTAATGCTACTGAGAGATTTGGAGTTGAATGGCAAAACGTTTATTACTTGGCTATACGTAATATAAGCAACATTTCATAACAGAAAAATCCAGTTCATAACAAAATAGACACCATTGGTTGATTTGTCTTTTTTAAAACATTCATTATTTTCATTTTAGTTTTTAACTTTATTTCTCCTAAAAAAACTAAGCTGGTTTAATATTCACTTGTCAAACTGATATAAAAAAAAACAAAGAGGGGGTATTTATAGCAAGTGGCTAGCAATCACACATATATTTTAGTCAAGTATTCTCTTTCCCGTTGTCCTGGAAAACTTATTTTCAGAAATAACTCATAATCTTATTTAGATGATTCTGTCCTAATCATTTTAGGATGAGTATTGGAGGTTTTGGAAAGAAAAAGTCGGGGAACCTATCAGCTTTCTCAATCCCAAAATATGTTTAAATACAGTAATAGATTGTACAGATCAGTCTCTCATTTTGATTTGTAGACTTTGGGAGGCAGACTGTTAGAGATGGCAACCAGCCTCGTGTCCTTGGGCAGGTTGGACCTTCTGGGCCTATTTTCACCACGTGAGGAAGGTAGTTAGACCAGTTATCTGAGGTCCTCAGTGTGTTTGATTCTATTCATTAAGCCTTCATTTTATGTGCAAAGCAACCTAAAATTTCGTCTTAGAGATACAGTACAGAGTAGGTAAAAACTAACATGGCACCTCAGAACAAGGTTATCATTTATGGGAAATATTTCTAACTCATCTCTTAAAACCACTCTATATTTTATGAAAATTCTGCTGAGCAGACTTGCAGTTTTTAATCATATATATCCAAAAATGGCAAGTTTTTACTTTTATTTTGCCTTTCAGTAACACAAATTGGTACAAATTAAGTACAGTATCTCTACCAGATGCAAATTATTTTTTGAGTGTTTAACTTTAGGAAAATAATGGTTATTTCACAGATAATTCCATTTGATTGTACTGGAGGAAATGAGAATTTTCTTGAAACCTCAGCTATTTTTTGTAGCTTAGTCTAGTCAGACCCTCAACTAGGGTTTTGTTTAAGTGAGGTGAAAAAATATGTCAATTTTCCTCATTCTGTTTTTGAACTACCTTCTATATGGCAATGACAATACATAATCCCGGGTTTTTATACTGTTTTAGACTCCATAGTTGAAAGGGGATGAGAAAAATTTAATATAGCCTAGAGGACAGAAGAAACTTTTTCAAGTGTGTTTACACGTCTACCCTCTAAACAAAAAAGACTAAGGAAATCCTTCTTAATAGCCTATGCATATTCTGCTGAGTTTTAAATTGTAACTTCATCAGTATAATGATTATGATGTAACATTTTCCATCTCTACTTGAATGTTTTTCTAGATTAAAATTTTCTAAAAATATAATTTAATAAAAGCTAATTAGCTTATTTTTCACTGAAAAAAAAAATCACTAGTTTAAAAACAAACAGTAATAGGATTGATTTACCCTTGCCCTCATGTTTGTTTTCATTATCTTGCTGGGGAGTTTTTATTCCTTAATCCTCATTCCCCAAAGATAATCACTATCAACAACTTAATATATTCCCATATTCCTCTAGATTTTTTGCCCTGTATGTACACTATCATATGTATAATTTTATATATGCTGTTTTTGCAACTTGTGTTTTTAAGTATTATAAACACCTTACATAAGATGTAAAATAGATGTAACCAATCTTAGTTTTGATGTTAATTTATTCTTAATTGTTGAAGGCATTCCTGTAATGTGTAATTATCATGGGGGTTGGAAGGGTGGAATCTGAGTTGACTAAAGCTATTACCTTAATACATCGTTCTAAAAACAACTCCTTTAAGAGGAAATATTCTTCCTAAAATCATTTTAGGTAATTACCAAACCAAGGTGTTACATGTATCTTACCACTTTTTTTGCTTTTTATAAATTACAAGTAAGAAAAACAACTTTCAGAAATAAATGTATTCTAAACATCAATTAGTTTTAATCAAAATTTAGTATTATGGGATCATGTCCTGTCTTCTTCACAAATGTGAGAAAGTCTTCAGGGCTCAATCCCATGGTCGCAGCATTAGTCATTGGATGAAAGTACACCTTTTCATGTCCACCATCCAAAAAAGCAGAATCCAAAACAAATTTCACATCTCCATCATCACAGAAGAGTGCCAGCGGTGTGGCACAACCTTGGCCAACTTTTAGTTTTTCTAGCATGGCTGTTTCATCAGCAAACCGCAGATTTCCACTCCCAACACCTAACTGCTTGGCAAGATCATTCAAATTAATTTGTCTATCATGAAGAACTGTCACCAGCCAATAGCCTTTTTTCTTTTTGTCTTTAAGAAATAAGTTCTTACTGTGTGCTCCTTTCAAATGTTGGATATGAGGCATCATTTCTTCAACTGTAAACACCTGTAAAATATGAGAAAATTTGAAATAATACACACACACACACACACACACATTTTGCTTGCTGTGTGAAAACAGCATGGTAGTACTCAGTGCCCCGAATTTTAGTGGGAGAGACCATTCCCAACCCACTGCTAAAACCCTATCTCATCTCAGGACCTCAAGTAGTTTCTCTTAGGCCAGTTCTCTATTCCAATGTGCTGGCCAAGCCCTCACATTCCTAAAATGCTCTTTTTCCTTTAAACTTTTTGTAAGGTTTATAGCAGCCCAGACTCCTTTTCCTTGGCATTACACATTACATCCAGACCATGTGACAACCTCCACTCTACAGATAACCAGTAGGATGAGAGGGCAGGGGATGAGACCGTGGACTACTGTATAAAAAACATCAGAAAAGGTGCCAATATGCACAGTAAAAAAGGAGTGTGGACTGGGGGTGAGTGGGGGAGACACAAAATGATAGTTTTTATGTATTTCTCTACCCTCTTAAGGTCACCTCTATATTTAGCTAATTATCATTAGCTAATACCCAAGCCTTGGGCAAAAAATTCTGTCCCTGAACCACTCAGGTTACAACATATTGGCCACATGAGACATTGCAGAAAATCTTCCCGTCAATGCACCAAACCAAGTTAAAAAAATACCAAACTTTCTAATCTTGCTGTCCCGTATGCACGACGCCTGATAACATCGTAGCCACTGCAAACACGGCTTACTGCTTGGCAACTTTACAAATAAAGTGGATACACTGACCGACATCCCACACCAGCTTAAGATGCACAAGTTCTCGATATGTTGCACCAGGTCTTAACATAAAATATCAAGTCACTCCAAAAGTAAAAACGAGTTTTTTTCACTATTACATCAGAGTCCCAAGTGGAGAGGCCTTTCGTGCTGCGTTCAGGGCCCTTTCGTACTCTGGATCCCGGGAAATGCCTTAGAACAACGTTTCTGCGGTACATTACCCCTGGGACATCTGTCTTGGCGGCTTCGCCCGACAGACTCTGCAGCAGAGCCCAACCCTTCCCGGGGCTGTCCCAGGGGCAGCGCCTCACCTCCGGGTGCTCCACGACCTCCGTGCGGATGGCCAGGGCGCTGAGCCGCTGCTCCAGCGCCGCCCGCAACTCGACGCCCGCCATGCTGCCGTCGTGGCGGTGCCGAGAGACCTGGCGGAGCAACTGGGCGTGGCCTCCCGCCGCCCGGGCGTCGGCCGGCCGAGACGGAAGTGCCTGGAGGAACTAGGGGCGGCGCCGGAAGCCCCCGACTGGAGACTTCCGGGGACGGGGCCGCTCCGTCTTTGCTAACCTCGGTGGATCGTTCTTGGAAGTCGCCTGTGTCCGCAGGAACGGCCTTGTCAGACCTGCAGGGTTCCTTCCCCGGCGGCCCATAAGAGGGAGGTGCCTGCAATCTCACAGTCCTTTCTAGCCCAGCTTCAGGTGTCCTAGATACAGCAAATCTTCCAGGTAAATAGAATCAGAGCCACCTGACAACTCAGCTTAAGGAGTATTGGGGGAGTAATCGATTGTATGTCATCATGGGTTGCCCCGGGAGGTGGACCAAGGCAGTCAGAGGCTCCTCACTCCTTCCTCTGTCCTTAGAATGTACTTTCCGCCTGCTATTCCTGTGCTGGGAGCTACTTGAAGGATGCAGCCTAGAGAGAGTAATGTGTTATTGAAACCATGTGGACTTTTAGGTGACTGAAACCAGTCCACCCCCTCCGCACCACCCTCCACCCCCGCCCAGATAGACTCTTAAGATTCTGACAGGTGAACACCCTAGACAAAACCACGTGTGTAAGTTCCCTTGCTTATTGAACCTGCCACCTACCAATCTGGAATGGTTTGCCTCTTCCGTCTTACCATGCCCTCCGTGTGTGGGTGTGTTGGGGGTGGGGAAGGGGGGTTCACCTGGGGAACTCCCTGAGGTTGTGAACCAACGGGGAGAGTGGAGGGGATCCAAATCCCTATCCTTTTAAATAGCTGTGGCACCCACAACTCACCTTTTTGAGAGGCACTTTGCCTACCCCTTGGTGGGATGTTTTCCTCATTTCCTACAAAACCCTCCCACCCTTGAATGAGGCCTGAAATTCCACATTAGAGTTTCACTTATGAATTTAGCAACTTGCTCAGGTCACATCTTTAGCGGTTGGTGAGATGGTCCCTTAAAATGATAGCAATTGAAATGCTTCAGTAGTTTTCAAGTTTGTGTGTTAGACTCATTAAAAAGATTTCCAGGACAGAGGTTTCCTTTCAGTCATTCAGCAACACTGATTACACGTTTGTGGTAGGCCCTGGGGAGACAAACAAAAAAGGGAAGAGGGCATGAGTCAGGAGGCCAGACTATGGGAGGGAGATAACTGGACCTAAATTCAAGTCTGTTTGATTCCAAGGCCATTTCTTAACTGCCGCCATAATTGAAGAAGTTGAATTAAAGATCATTAGGGTCCCAACCAGCTTTGAGATTTTGCCTTTTTTAACATAATGAATATAAGTATTTTTAACTTAAATTTGGTATTAATCTATACTACATGATATATGGTAAATATCTGTGTTTCTATTAGTATTGCAGCTGCTACCAAAACAATTCTCCATGTGGGAAACCGTAAGAGTAATAATCTTTTATATTTCTAGTGGGAAACATAGCATTAATCTCCAGTAACCTCTATACCAATGAAGAAATTTGCATTGAATTTTCATCAGCAATGATAAAACTGTTTCTGTCTATGTAGGTATGGCACTTTTAGACAAGAGAAACTTTCAAAGTCATTAAAAAGAATAAGGGGGTGGGGTGGGTATAGCTCAGTGGAAAAGCGTATGTGCAAGGTCCTAGTTTCAGTTCCCAGTACCTCCACCAAAACAAGAAAAAAAGAATGATATGGATCTGTGTTCATCAGCATGGAAGATGTCCATTATGTATTGTAGCAATAACAAGCAGCTTTTATAGCATTGATCTCATTTATATAAAATTATACGTATTTATACAGAGATAAATGAAATGATGTTCACCAAAAAAATTAAAGGTGTTTACCTTCAGAGAGGTGGGATCTAGGATTTGAGTCACTTTATTTTTTTAATAAAGTTTTAATTTTGAAATACATTTAGATTACAGAAATGTTGCAAAGATAGTGGAGAATTCCCAAATGTCCTTCACTTAGTCTCCTCTGATGTTAACATGTTAGATTCTTATGTTTGTGAAAATTAAGAAACTAACACTGGGGTATTACGGTTAACTGAACTACAAATTTTATTCAGATTTCACCAGTTTTTCGACTAATGTGCTTTTCTGTTCCAGGATTCTATACAGGATCCTACGTTGCATTCAATCATCACATTTCCTTCTATCTTCTGATCTGTGATAGTTTCTCTGTTCTTTTCTTTTTTTTTTATGTCCTTGACACTTTTGAAGAGTTCTTTTTTTTCACTTTTTTTTATTGAATTACAGTCATTTTACAATGTTGTGTCAAATTCCAGTGTAGAGCACAATTTTTCACTTATACATGAACATACATATATTTATTGTCACATTTTTTTTTCGCTGTGAGCTACCACAAGAGTTTTGAAGAGTTCTGCTCAGATATTTTGAATAATGTTCTTTAACTTGGGTTTGTCTTATGTTTTCGCCATGATTAGAGTAGGGTTTTGGGTTTGGGGGATGAATATTATAGGGATGAAATGCCCTCATCACATCATTTCAGGGGATACATGATATCAACGTGACATTGCTGGTGACGTTCAGCTTGATCAGTTGGTTAAGGTGGTATCTGCCAGGTTTCTCCACTGTGAAGTTACTATTTTTCCCTTTCCATATTCTGTTCTTTGGAAGCAAGTCACTAAGTTCCAGCCCACACTCAAGGGAAGGGAAATTAAGCTTTACCCCCTACTAGAGATTATATACATGTATCTATGGAATTCTTCTGTAAGGAGAATTTGTTCCTTCTCGCTGTTTAAGTACAGACACATGTACACTTATTTGGTATTTTGGGTTATAACTAATACTATGTTGTTTTGTTGCTCTACTGTTTCCAGCTTTGGCTTTTCCTGGTGGGTGCCTGTTCCTTTAACTGCCCTTAGCTTTTTTTTTTTTAAGCTACTTTATATATTTTGGGGTATTGCTTAAATTTTCTACATTAGCATCTGTTATCTTCATCAATAGAAAAGCATTGGTTATTTTCACTTTAATATTCAGGGGGAGAGATATGCCCACTTCTTTTATGTTCTTCCAACCAGTTTCTGCTTGTTTCCTTCTCAACTGCTTGGCAAGGCAAAGAGAGCAAAGAATAATTTCTTGCAGAAATTGCACTTCAGTGAGTGTAAGTAAAATGATAGCAACTGAAATGCTTCAGTAGTTTTCAAGTTTGTGTGTTAAATTGATTAAAAAGATTTCCAGGACAGAGGTTTCCATTCAGTCATTCAGCAACACTGATTACACATGTTTGTGGTAGGCCCTGGGGAGACAAACATAAAAAAGGGAAGGGGGCATGAGTCGGGAGGCCAGACTATGGGAGATAACTGTACGTATATTCCTGAGTAACTTTTCTGTATGTACCACATCATTAGCCTAAGATAGTGTTAGACCTTGAGGACAGAGATAAAACAATACTTAGACTCATGAGAATAGTTGTGGTCAAAAGAACGGGCCAAAAGACAATGTCCAATCAAGATGTGGAAATGCTAATTTCTGGGAGGAGGTTAATAAGCATAACAGCAAACACTTACGATCAACCATCTGCTTTATGAACTTTACCGCTACTGCTATTCTAAGTACTACTATCATTACCATATTGCAGAATAGAGGCATAGATAATTTATATAACGTCCCCAAGTCTACACAGCTGGGAACAAGCTGGGACTGGAGGCCACTGTGGCTTTACTACTTCAATCCTACCCTCTTGAGGCGACTTTTGAAAGACAAATTGCTCCCCGCTCTATACTAAGTGGGTCTATCACAAGTTTCCTTGCATTTTTCCCTTTTTTTTTTACTATGTCTTTTAAAGACATCTCATTTCTCCCACATTTCCCCGTTCAACTTTACTTTGAAAGGGAAAGGTGGGCACCGAGGTCGCTCACAGACACAGAGTAGCAGCAATTTACTTCTTAGAAAACGAAGGGATTTGCAGAAACGATTATCGACGCGAGGCTGACCCCTTAACTCCCAGACGGCTCCGAGAACCCCACCCACAACAGCTACTGTTCACAAGTCCCACTTCTGAACTCCGAGTAGAACCGCTTCCGGCGACACCGGAAGCCTGACGGGGACCGTTTCGGGGACGGACTGGCTAACAGACCGTTTTCCCGGGGGCGGAAGGTGATCTCCGCCCGGCTTTAGAGTCTGGACGCCCTGGCCCTATGTAGGAGTTAAGTGAGTGGGGTCCCTTAGCTGGGTCGTCCCGGGTGGTATATATTGTTTGGCCTAATGTGTTAGGGGCACAAATCATAAACACCATGCATTCGAGAGCCCTTCCATGATGCATTTAATTCCTGAGGGACCCTACTTTAGGCGTAACGAAAGCGTTGTTCAACCAGAAGCGGTAGGCTGCATCCGCTCCCCGCGCCCTGCGTCAGGTGTTCCCCACTCTCCGGCCTCCCCTCTGCCCAGGGCTTTCTGGGCTCGGGTTCGAAGTGAAGACAACCCAGATCAGTAATTTTTCTACAGTGACTTCTTTTTACCTTTCAGATAGCTTCCGAGGCTTCCAACTCCTTTATTCAGACTTCCACCAACGCAACTGCATTATTTCCAACATCCTTTTCCACATTCCATGACAAGAATATCCTAGCTGCGGAGGAACACAGAATTGGGAATCGGAAAGCCTCCTGTATTCTAGTCCTATCATTAACTAGCGGTATGACCTTGGAGAAGGCTTTTTGACCTCTCTCACTTCATTTTCCTTTTCTGTAAAATGAGAGTCTTGGAATAAGTACCAAATAAGGCTCCTTACAGTTTTGGTATTTGGTTTATTGCTCCCCAATGTATTTTTCGAATTCCTGCCTCGATGTATCTGTGCTTTAGTTAATCTCCTTGTCGGGCCTTATCTCGCATTCCGTTTATCTGTGTGTCTGTGAAATCTGGTTTCAGACTCCATTAAAAAAATTTTTTCTCAAGGAATTTTGCGCTTCCTGAGCATTCTTTATGTCTTAGTCCAGGGAAATGTACCTAAATAAGATTCTTTAAATGTGCCATTCTTGAGGTGTTTAAGAATTATTGTATCGGAACATTTTAAAGACTGAATTCTGAAGGAAGGTACTCCGGCTTATTAAACTTTCAGTCAACAACCTCAAATACAGTGCCTGGAAGATGGTACTCGGGAAATGTTTGCTGAGGAGAAAACACACTTCTTACAGCATTTAGTTGCTCTTTCCCTTAAACACTGAAAAGCAAAGCTGTAGAAATGTAGTCCTGAGGTCAGATGGAATAGAAGACTCAAGGAGAAAAAAACTATACTTCTTAGTTCTGAGCTATAGTGTTGAGTTCTTTGTGGTTTTCTCTCAATAAACTCTTCTTTCATCCCAAGGGTAGTATTCAAAAGGCATTATTCAATAGGTATTTATTGGCATTTTTCAATAGATATTTATTGGGTGCCTTCTTCCCACTCTGACTCATCTTTTTTGTTGAGGGGTTGGGAGGAGGGGAAAATGTTAAGGTTGAAAGACAATTCCAAGTAAAGGGAGCATACACAAAGGCTCAAAGAGTAGGTGAGAAACCACTGAAGATTACAGGTGGGACAGAATAACAAAAATTTGGGAGGGAGGAGTGAAAGGACTCAAAGAGTGAAAGAGATGAACTGAGAGATTAGCAGAGGGAGATAATGAGTTCTTATACAGCGTGTTTGAAGTTGTGCATAAAACTGGGGATAATGTGCTCCCTCCCCCACCCATCCAAGGGTGTTTAGCGAAGAGGTGAAAAAGAGGTTGACTTTTAAAAAATCTCTGTACTTGTGGTTTGGTTAGTTGATGTTTCAAGCATGAAAACAGTGCCCTTTATAAGTTTGTTATTGTATTTCAGTGTTGTTATGGTAGGAACATTAACAATAATAATAGTTAATATCAGGAGATAGTATGGAATCCCATCTCTCTGACTAGACTGAGCTCTTTTCAGGGCAGGAACCCAGTTTTACTCATTTACTCTAGCACAGTGCTTTGCATGTAGTAGATACCTAATTAATATTTGCTAACTTGATTTCAATATTAACCAAAATATTATTTTAAAACTTTTTTCCTAGGAAAAATATGAACCAGAAGTTACTGAAGTTGGAGAACTTGTTACGATTTCACATTGTTTGTAGGCATAGCCTGTGTCAAAGAAGAACATTAGCACAGTGGAGGCATATGTTTTCGTCTGCTTACCCGGTGTGGACCGCTCAGCTGTATGCCCGGCCCTGGCAAACAGATGCACTCATCAGGGCTGCTTTATCTCAACATAGGCTTCTGGTAACAAAGAAGGTAGTAATATATTTCTGTCAGTTTCTCTTTTATTTGATCTGAGGTGATAGTGCCTAGAGCCATGATTAGAAATCCATTTTGAGTATTTTGTCATTTATGAAGTGTTTATGCTGTAATGCTACACTCCAGGCAGTAGACCATTATGATAAATCTTTGTGAGGAAGGGAAGTTCTGGTTAGTTGTTCAGTAATGCTGATGAATTTGATTACTTGCAAATCACTGTATAACAGTAAATTAAAAATGCAGGATTTTAAATTTTACTCTAACGTTTAACTACTTATGGGAGTGTTGGTAGAACTAGGAGCCAAGACTGTGGTAGATATTCCAGAATAAATCTCAGTTGTCATTCAAAGTTTTATCTTCTTTATACATTCTGAATATTTAATAGGAAGAAAGTTCACAGAAATCTCAATTATCTTCAAGAAAATCTAAAAAGGAGGTGGAGGTATGGATTGGAATGACTGTTGAGGAGCTGGCCAGAGCAATGGAAAAAGACATAGGTAAGCCAGATAATTTTATGAGAAAAAATATGGAATTGTGGAATACCTGGTATTTCATTTGCAATGAAATTAAGACATTCAAGGATGCAAATTAGACTGGAGGTTTAAAAAGATGTTAAGTGATTCCAGTATTTATCACTTTCATTCACAAACCCTAATTAGTTTCTTGGCTCTTTGCCAAATATAGTTCACCAAGATTTTGCTTTTAATAAAAGTGGGAAAGAGTTTTTAATATGAACTAAGCTTTTTTTCTCAGAAATTTGGGGGGCCTTCAGAATGAGTTCGAAGAATGGTTTTAGACTGAGGGACCATATTTATACTCTTTTGTTTTTCTATAATTCCCTAATTTCCTTTTTTGCACTCATTTTGACAGTATCTGTAGTGTAATGCCAGCAGAAAAATATTCATAGTAATAACTACAACTTTTAATAATACTATTTTTTATTATAAATGTACAGCTTATTTGTTATTTTTTAATTCCTTAATTGCACCACTGATGTTGGTACTCTGTATCCATGGGTTCTGCATCTGTGGATTCAACAGACCACAAATCAAAAAAAAAAAAAAATTCCAGGAAGTTCCAGAAAGCAAAACTTGAATTTGCCACACATCAGAGACTATTTATATAGCATTATGTTGTATTAGATATTATAAGTAATGTAAAGATTATTTCAAGTGCATGGGAGGATATGTGTAGGTTATATGCAAATACTATGCCATTTTATGTAAGAGACTTATATATAAAGTCCGTGTACTTTGGTATGGAGGGTAGGGTGGAGGGAATGTCCTGGAACCAATCCCCTGTGGATAACAACAGACTGCTGTATTTATTACCAATTTAGGATTATTGGAAAAAAATTTGAGTTTTCATTATAAACTGACATTAAAATTTAGTAAAAAAGAAATAGCCTATTATTGTAGCAAAATAAAGTAACAAGTGAAGCAGACTCTTGGGAAAAAGAAAGAACTAGTAATAATAACTCATTTATTGAGCTGTTACTATATACTAGTACTTTATATGTATTAACTTATGTAATTCTCAGAATGTACTAGAAGCAGTTATGATTACTGTCCCCATTTATAGACTGAGAAACCTAGGCTTAGAGAGGATAAATAATTGCCCAGGATGTCACAGCTGGTATGTGGTAGAGCCAGAATTTGAACCTAGAGAGTGTGGCTCCAGAGCCAGTGCTCTTTCTTATTCACAGACCAAATTATGACTCAGCAATTGTTATTTTGTAAATCACAGCAGATCTAGAGTTTTAATGTGTTTCCTGCCTAAAAGTGTTACCACTATTTTGAATGTATATCCTTACAAAGAGTAGAAAATTAGCACTGTCTTGTGTTTTTTAACTTTGCAGTTGAATTATGTAATCATTTTGTGTCTTGAAAACTTAAAGAGAACAAATGGATATGGTCATATCATTCAGAATTTTCCCAGGGAAAACTGTAGCGATATGATTTTGTAAATGATATTAGTAACAGATTTGATTTTTTAGAACGTTTTATTGGCATTTTTCATATGTATGTGTGTGTGTGTGTGTGTATATATATATCTATGTATATATATATATGAAAGCAGAAAGAATGAAATAATAATAAACATAATGTATGCCTAAGCCAGTGACAATCATTAATATATAATTTAATCCATGAATACTTCTATATCACTGAAAGGTGAGGATTCTCTCTTTTTTAAACATTAGCACACACACACACATACCCAAAAAACCATAATTCCTTTGTATCACCAAATAAATACAATAATTAAAATATACGGATCAGTACTCTAAAACAAAAACTGTTTTGCTATGGTTTAAGTAAAAGTTATCTATTTGAAGCTTATTTAATATTATATTTATACCTCTTTTGAATTTAAGATAATTTTCATGTGTGAATATTTTTAACTATTATATATATAAGCAATGTACATGTATTTGCCCTGAGAGCAATGATTCAGTATTTGTTAATTAACTGTTCCCAGTGAGTTTATCGAACGTAAATACCTTGAATAATGAGAATCAACATGCAATTTAATGTTTTATTGACGGCTCACATGGTTCCTAAGGCACATAGTAAATATTCAAATATTTATGAATATGCAGAAATATCAGTTAATATAAATGTATCATATTTTAAAGTTTATTTTCTTTTCAGCTTTTTTTGTGATTTGTGAACATTAGAGAAACAGCTTAGATAGTTATTCTTCTCATCGAGTGTATCATTTATATAGACATTTATTAATAGAGGTCACTTTCTTGAACATTCAATTCATGATGCTAAAAGGTTTGATCTTATTTCACCTAGATTATATATATGAATCTTTAATGAACACTGCTGTTGACATAGATTCACTAGAAGCGGACTCACATTTAGATGAAGTCTGGATCAAAGAAGTGATAAAGATGGCAGGAATGAAGTTAAAATGGAGCAAATTAAAACAAGAAAAAGTCAGAGAAAATAAAGATGCAGTAAAAAGGTAAAACTTAACTGTATATATTGGGGGGAGGAGACCAAGGATTGTTTTACTCAAAATTTTTAATGGAAAGATTTCTCTTAAAATTTCTTCTGCAATTAAAATGATATGTGAATACAGGTTAAACTTTTCTTCAAAATGCTTAAAGCATCAGAATGTATATTTGGGTTATTATAAAACTTTTAAGAGTTGTTTTTCTTGGTTTGCCAAGTGTGTATATTGATTCTGAATTCTAAAACTTTATGCACTTCTGCTCATTGTTATGAAGATGCCAACATAGGTGGGCAGTCATTATATATTTTATCATAAGTCATTGTATGTGTAGAAGAGGAAAATAGGTGTATCTAATCAAAGCTGAATGTTGGGTTTTATTGTTAATGGCAGTTCACAGAAGTAACTGCAAACCAACTCACTGGCTATAAAGTATTTCTCATATTTAAGACATGAAACTCCTTTGCTGTTAATTGTAGGCCCCAGGCAGATCCAGCTTTATTAACCCCAAGGTTCCCAGTTGTTACTATAATGGGCCATGTTGATCATGGGAAAACGACGTTACTTGACAAACTGCGAAAAACTCAAGTGGCAGCAATGGAAGCTGGAGGCATCACTCAGCACATTGGTGCCTTTCTTGGTATGAACACAAATTACCTTACAATGTGCTTGGGAACCCTACGTATTACTTTCTTAAGCCAAGTGTTGTAGTATGAAATATACAAATTCAAAGTAAAAGGAAGGCTAAAGTTTAAAGTATTGGTTTGATGAAATGTAGAGCAGATGGTTAATAAAGTTTCCATAAGTAGATTATACCTTTTTTATTGTAGCCCATTCTTAGTTTGGTTTAATGAGCCTGAAGTTCTTCAGTACTGTGTTGTGATAATGTTACTACCAAAATTAAATAATAGCTACCATTTACTGAACACCTAACATGTGCCTAGCACCATGCTGAACACCTTATGTGCTTTATCTTTTATCTTCACAACAGCATCATGAGGTAGGTATTACGATTCCTACTTACAGATAAGGAGGCTGAGGCTTGTTTAGGTTGAGTTACTTGCTCAAGGTACACAACTAGTAAGTGCCAGGGTTAACCAAGGCTGTTGGACTCAGATCCTGAGCTTCTAACTGTGTACTAAATTGCCTTTGTTGCAGAAGGAAGTTGTGCAGCTGGTGTTTGCTAATGTAGGAGTGGCTGCCTATACAACTATCAATCTGTTCTTTCTCCAGAATAGATACCAGTCGGTACATTTGTGAAATTCTAGAAATAGAAAGAGTTTTAGTTTGAAATTGTTACTTGAAAAGAAAACCCTTAAAGTCTCCCTGGTATGTTACTGGAAAGAATAAAATTATTTGGAAGAATTATTGATTGTGTTGATAATGTTACATATATTCCTTTATATTAAGAAAGTACATATTTGAGTCCTTAGTGTTCTTGGATTTCTGTTTCTACAGTCTCTCTACCTTCTGGGGAAAAGATAACCTTTCTTGATACTCCAGGACACGCTGCTTTCTCAGCAATGAGAGCCAGAGGTGCTCAGGTCACTGACATTGTCATATTGGTTGTAGCTGCAGATGATGGAGTGATGAAACAAACTGTAGAATCCATTCAGCATGCCAAGGATGCTCAAGGTACTGTGTGGCTGACTTACATGTATCAGGAAGGAAGTTACTTTTTTTTTTTTAAAGGCTCTCCTACATAGAGTCGCTGTTTGGGGGCCATTTAACATCTTGCCCATTTAATCTTCCTGGCAATCCCAGGATTATCATACCTGTTTTACAAATAAGGCTGAAAGACAGTTGAATTGTTTTCCCGCAGACAGTGACTACTAGGAAGAATGTAGCAGGATTTAACTTGAGACTTGTGACCATAAGTACAGTCCTTCTACTGTTCACTTACTTGGGATGGTGTGACAGTCTTTCTAAAAAACTTTTTATCATGGAAATTTTAAACAGATATAAAAGTAAGACTAGAATAATGAACCCCTATGTACCCATCACCTAAATTCATTAGGAATTACAAAGTGCTTATACTCTTACTCCTTGTTCATTTATTATCTGGAATTCCCTAGAAAGAGACTTTTCCCTCATCTGCTTTAAACAAGTGTTTATTTGGTCAAAGGTATAAAATTGAAACTTTTGGAAAATCATTTGGCTATCTTCTCCCTTATTTCTCCATTTAAAATTTGTAATAATGAACACCACACACACATACTTTGTATATTCATTCTTTATTCTGATATGACCCTATACCCACTGAGAAAATACTGTTGTCTTGAGAAGGTACATCTGATGGAGTGTATCATATGGCAAGCAAAAAAAAAAAAAGATTGCGAATCATTGCTCTAGTCTAGTTTTTTTGTCTTTGTTTTGACTTTTTTTCATCTCACAACATGAAAACCAAGACCCAGAGGGTGGCAGAAACTCTCCCCCTCCTCCAAATTACAGTTAATTTGTGACATTTCTGCATTTGGATTCTGGCCTTTAGCTTCAGTGTTCCTCTCTTTACATTTTAATTCCTAAAATCTGCCTTTGTGGAATGGACTATGTTCTTAAGGTTTCTAGGAAACATAACAAAAATAATAGTAATAAATATGTCAGGGTCCCCGTAACAAAGCAGTTGGTTGAGATAAGATAAATTCCTTAACATTATGCTTTCTATACCTGTTCTCTTGGTCCCTTAAGTTCCAGCTCATTGATATAGAATATACTTTTTCATAAAAGGATTGCATAGCTTTTTTGTGTCTCTTTTCAATTTCTGTTCCTTTGATACCTGAGAAAATTGCAGAGTTGGTGGAACCCAGCCAGAGAATTATCTCTGAATTTTGTGTGAGTTCTCTAGTGAGAGGGTATGTTTAGTAATGACAAGTAGATTATAAGATTATTTGGTTCATTCATTAATAAACATTTATTGAGAATATACTATGTGTCAGTCACTGAGCTAAGTGTGTGAAGAAAGAGTTGCTATAAATCCTAAAAGAATGTTTACAATAATGATACTTAGTATTACCCCAGGGGGAGATGTTGGGTTTTAACAATGCGTTCATAGCTCCTGGAAAAAAAGAGACAAATGACCTAGTGGGATTAGAATTGAATTAGAATGTTCTCTTGATTTTTTTCTGGAGATTATCTCTAGTATAATTGCTGATCTTGCCTTCAGGTTTAAGGGTAGGCCTTTCTCTACCCCAAATACTGTAGTTTTTTTTTTTTAATCATCATAGATGTCTATTCTTAGTTCAGATCTGCTTATAATTGTAGTTTAGACATCCCTCATCTGGAATTCTTCTTTATGTGTAGAAAGCAGAGTAGGGTTGGTCTCAAGTGGGTCCTTTTAGGTCTTTGTTAGATACATATGTCCAGTGAGTTAAGAGAAAGCCAGAGAAAGCTGGTGTCTTTCACAATGAATACCTGGAATTGAAGTGTCATCCTCTGCACTCTTCTTAACTCTGTCTCTGTCAGTTCCTATTGTCCTTGCCATTAACAAATGTGACAAACCTGAGGCTGATCCTGAAAAAGTGAAAAAAGAACTGCTATCTTACGACGTGGTGTGTGAGGATTATGGAGGCGACGTTCAAGCAGTGCACGTTTCTGCACTCACGGTAAGTGCAGGCGCCTCTGAGACTGTGTTCACAAAGTGCATTACACCTAAGGAACATTTGATGTACATCATTTCCCTTGTTTAAAAATTCTCTGAGTGCTAGGTAAAGCTGGGATCACTATCCTCATTTGGCAGATTAGAAATTAGGCTCTGAAAGGTCAGCTGCCAATCCAGGGAAATCGTCTAAATCTAATGCTTTTCTTACTATGAGATACTTAGAATGAGGAGAATAAATGGTGAATGATGTGGGGATAGTATAATAATAGGCTAGAGACTTTTAATCAGAAATGAAATCCAGTTGGTAATAAAAAGTGCTTGTTTTTATAGTGAAAAAACTATAGAATACGTCTTAAGGCATTTAAGAGAGATTTAAACAAGTAAAAAGTTAATACAACGATGAAACACTTGGGTTTAGTTTGTTATTGATTGACACAATGTTTCTATGAATTAAATAGATGCAAGTTTTATAATGTTATTTATGATGAATTCTGTTTTCTTTTAAATTACCAATTACTCTTTTCTCGGCAAAAAATTCAAAGAAAGCTTAGTACCTGCTTTGTGACAGCATTTTCCAATACTGTTGTCCTATACAGGTTGCTGCTAAGTAACAATTTACTTTTTTGGTCCATTCTTATCATATTCCATGGTTTATTCATAATATAGACTTTTTTGGGGTTTTTTGTTTTCTTTTTTGTTTTTTGGGGAAAGGTAATTAGGTTTGTTTGTTTGTTTGTTTAATGGAGGTACTAGGGATTGAACCCAGGACGTCGTGCATGCTAGCATGAGCTCTACCACTGAGCTGTATCCTCCTACCCATAATGTGGACTTTTTTTCTTCTGATCATTCACTGAAGGGATAATAGTATATTTGGTCACCTTCCTCCAATTAAGTCTCACTTTACCTTTACTTTTTCTAAATTTGTTACCTCCAAGATGCTTAGCCTCCATTAAAAGTAAAAATTATGCCTCCATTAATAGTAAAACTATGGCCAGGGGGAAGGTATAGCTCAGTGGTAGAGTGTCTGCTTAGCATGCATAAGATCCTGGGTTCAATCCCCAGTACCTCCATTAAAAAATAAACAAACAAATAAATAAATAAACCTAGTTACCTCCTCCCAAAAAGGGGGGGGGATAAAACTATGCCTCTTTTTCTCTGAAACTCATAAAACACCATCTTTGTTATCATCTTGTTATTTTTCTACTATACCTTGATTGCTATTGCGCTCTGAAAGTCAGGTGGCAAGATTAGAACTTTTGAAGACATGGCCACCTTTTCTGCCCAGATACCATCAGATCAGTGGATAGATAGATATAGAACTGCTCAGGAAAATTTGCAGGCATGGCAGAGGTGGAGGAATGGAGGGAGTTGGGAGAGAGTGGCGGAGAAGTAAGATGAGGCCTCCTTTTCCAAGATAGATACAGAGGACTATCTCATGGAAAGATACAACCCCAGCTCTGCTTTTCAGAGCAGCATTTTGTAAATCGGAACAAATACTAGGAATAAGTGGATGGGTAGGCAAAGTGTTTATAGTCAGCTTTTTTAAATTGAAGTATAGTTGATTTACAATACTATTTTAGTTTCAGGTGTAAAGCAAAATGATTCAATTATACATATATATGTATTTTTTCTGATTCTTTTCTATTATAGGTTATTACAAGATATTGAATATAGTTGTATACAGTAAATTCTTGTTACTGATCTATTTTATATATAGTCATGCGTATCTGTTAATCTCATACTCATAATTTATCCCTCTCTGCCTTCCCCCTTTGGTAACCATGTTTGTTTTCTATGTCTGCAAGTCTGTTTCCGTTTTGTAAATAGGTTCATTTGTATTATTTTTTAGGTTCCACATGTAAGTAATATTATATATTTTTTGTCTTTCTCTGTCTGACTTCACTCAGTGTGATAATCTCTAGGTCCATCCATGTTGCTGCAAATGGCAATATTTCATTCTTTTTTTAAGGCTGTGTAATATTTTATATATATGTATATACACACATACACACTACATCTTTATCTATTCATCTGTTGATGGACACCTAGGTTGCTTCCATATCTTGGCTATTGTACATAGTACTGCTAGGAGTACTGAGGTACGTGTATCTTTTTGAATTAGAGTTTTCATTTTTTCCGGATATATGCCCAGGAGTGGGATTGCTGGATGTTATGGTAACTCTATTTTTAGTTTTTTAAAGAACCTCCATACTGTTTTCCACAGTGGCTGCACCAGTTTACATTCCCACCAACAGTGCAGGAAGGTTTCCTTTTCTCCACCCTCTCTCCAGTATTTATTATTTGTGGACTTTTTGATGATGGTCATTCTGACTGGTGTGAGGTGATACCTCATTGTAGTTTTGATTTGCATTTCTGTAATAATTAGCAATGTTGAGCATCTTTTCATATGAATGTTGGCCATCTATATGTCTTCTTTGGAGAAAGGTCTATTTAGGTCTTCTGCCCATTTTTGATTGAGTTGTTTGGGGTTTTTTTGATACTAAGCTGTATGAGCTGTTTGTATATTTTGGAAACTAACCCTTTGTTAGTTGCATCATTTGCAAATATTTTTTCCCCATCTGTAGGTTGTCTTCTTGTTTTGTTTATGGTTTCCTTTGCTATGCAGAAGCTATTAAGTTTGATTTGCTTTTCTTTCTTTTTTGGGAGGGGACTGATCTAGGAAAATATTGCTTTGATTAATGTCAGAGAATGTTTTGCCTATGTTCTCTTCTAAGAGTTTTATGGTATCATGTCTTATATGTGAGTCTTTAAGCTTTTTTGAGTTTATTTTTGTATATGGTGTGAGAGAGGAAAGTGTTCAGTCGATTTTGTTTACAGTTGTCTCTGTTTTATACTCTATAACAACTCTGAGCGATCTCTTAGCTAACATGGAGAATGGACAAGTCTCTTGTCCATCAGCTCCAGTTCCACCAGCAGTTAAGTGGCTGCATGATCTTGGAGCCCTAGAAAGCATAGTAAACACGGATTATTAAAGGGAAAGAATTATCTAGCTCCTTTGTTTTATAACTGAGGAAAGATGATCCAGGGAGGTGAAGTGATTTTCCATGGTTGCACAACTGGGTAGTTACAGAGGATAGCTTAGAGCCTGGGTCTAGTCAGTGCTTTTCTCCTTATTTATTTACTAAGAGTAAGTAGTGTTTGATTTACTTATTTTACAGGATTCTTGAGTGGATCAAATAAAATCAGTGAATGTTTGTTCAAGTGGATAGAACTTCAAATGTAAAATAGCACTGTAAAGAAAGTAAGAAATAAACACAATTATAGAGCCAAATGGAGGAGAGGAAGAAGCATGTTTATGAAAGGGTATTAACAAGCACTAGTGGCCATCCTTTAAAAAAAAATAGCCACTGTTCTGTGCGATACCTGTCTCTGGGTCAGTTTTTTTTGCTCCTTCCTCCCTCCTTCCCTTTCTTCCTTCTAATAATTCATGTTTTAATTCATGTTTTTAATGTTTAAGGAAGGATAACTGTCAAGGATTATTTAGCTTTCTGACCTAGGTATTTATGCTTACAGATAATATTTATTAATATATTAACACTTTTTTTTCTTATTAAAGGGAGATAATATGATGGCTTTGGCAGAGGCAACAGTCGCTCTTGCAGAAATGTTGGAATTGAAAGCAGACCCTACTGGTCCAGTTGAAGGAACAGTAATAGAATCTTTCACAGATAAAGGAAGAGGGTAGGACTGTTAAAATTCTTGTGTTTTAATCATTTTATTCCATTGTTTTTGTGACTTGATTATATGCCAATATATTATTTTTATTGCATGTTATTGTTAGTCCATGAATAATATTTTTGAAGCATTTGTTTTGAAAAGTATTTTATTGTACTAGCACACAGAACACAAAAATGCAGTTATCAGCAAGTCTTAGCAACTATATGTATACATTTAGTAGTCATATTAGATGACTTAAGAAGATCAATTTTTTTTTTCCCACTGACTTAACTGAATTGGTAAAGCCTCACAGACTAACATAAATTGGAATAAAATAGCAATTGTTGCATTTCAGTGTTTCTAAATTCTTTGTGTCCTTACCTATTAGTATAAATATAGTAAGATTGTTGGAATAGTGTTCTCTTCTTTAATTTCCCTCCCTGTCAACAAGAGGTCTTCTCAACTGCTTAACAAATTAGTTATACAAAGGGGATTAGGATTCTGTCAGAACACTTAGCTGTCTGCACCCTTCAGTATCCTAACCTTACAAGAAATGTTTTTTTTCTAATTGTGCTAAAAGGTGCATAACATATTTAGTATCTTAACTGTTTTTAAACTTACAGCTTAGTAGTATTAAGTATATTTATACTGTTGTGCATCAGATCTCTAGAACTTTTTCATCTTACAAAACAAACTCTTTGCTCTTGAAGCACTGATTTCTCTTCCCTCTTCCTCCCAGCCTTTGGAAACTACCTTTTAATAGTTGTTTCTATTATAATTTTGACTACTTTAGATACTTCATATGAGTGGAATCATACAGCATTGTCCTTTTTGACTGGCTTATTTCACTTAGCATAATGTTCATCCAGAAGATTCAGCCATGTTGTGGCATGTGACAGGATTTTCTTCTTTAAGATTGTATAATACTCCATTGTATGACCTTTTTTTTTTTTAAACTGCATTTTCTTTATCCATTCTCCCATTGGTGGACATTTAGGTTGCTGTTCTGAAGCAGTGTTTTTATAGTATTAAAAACTGCTTGAGAAGTTGAGAAGTGGTGGAATTAACTCCCTGTGTACTTATTATACATATATTTTTTAATCTCTTAAAACTATCTTTGCTCTACTTGAGAAAGTGCTGTGACATCTTGATTATGGCATTAAGAATATATACTTTTATTTTCTTATTAGTCCTGTTACTACAGCTATAATTCAAAGAGGAACTTTGAGAAAAGGCTCCATTCTGGTTGCTGGAAAGAGTTGGGCAAAAGTACGCTTAATGTTTGATGAAAATGGAAAAACAATCAACGAGGCCTATCCCAGCATGCCAGTGGGAATTGTAGGTTGGAGAGACCTCCCTTCTGCAGGAGATGAAATTCTTGAAGTAGAATCTGAGGTATATCAAGCTTAATTCCTATATATTAGATATGAGATAATGATTTAAAATATCAATCTATAATGTTATACCAAATAAGAATATTGTTAATAAATAATTCAGTACTATAAGGGCTATTAGGAATCCAGTGATGTCATTTTAGTTTGGCTATAGAATTTTTAATAATTTGAGAAAAGATTTTTAAATAATTTCAAATTTACACAAAGCCTCAATATTAAAGTTTTAGAAGCTTCTTGAAACTTTAAAATTAGTGGTTTTGTGTTTAACTTAAGCTAATTTCATAGTGGAGGAAAAATGCAAAGCTTTTAACCCAGTAGTTACTGGTTTTTATTTAGTTAAATAATTGTCTTTTTTTTTTTTTTCCACTAAAAAGCCAAGGGCACGTCAAGTTGTTGACTGGAGGAAGTATGAGCAAGAACAAGAGAAAAATAAAGAGGCTCTGAAATTAATAGAAGAAAAGCGAAAGGAACACCAGGAAGCACATCGGAAAGCCCGTGAGAAGTATGGCACTTTGCACTGGAAGGAGATATCACTTATAAAATACAAAGAAAAAAAACAGCAGCAACCCTTAAAGCTAAAAGAGAGAGTAGAAAGAGAGTCAAATGTACTTCCTGTAATTATTAAAGGTGAGTCTTAAAAGATTTTACTTTATAACTCATTTTAGGAATATATGTATTTTGTTATTGTCACAATTAATTTGGTCCATTAAATTTAAGCCAAAAAATTTTAAATTGAGATGTAAGATTACATTAGTTTTAGGTGTATAACATACTAATTTTGATATATGCATGTATGGTGAAATGATCACCACAGTAAGTCTAGTTAATGTCTGTCACCATACATAAAGGTTTTTTCTTATGATGAGCACTTTTAAGATTTACTTTCTTAGCAACTTTCAAATATGCAGTACAGTTTTATTAACTGTAGTCACCATGCTATGTACTATATCCCCATGACATACTCATTTTATAACTGGAATTTTGTACCTTTTGATGCCCTTTACCCCTTTTTGCCTATTTCCCATGGGGGGAGATTTTCTTAGTAAACATTTTTCTTGCTGATTTTTTGGTAAGTGTACATTTGGTTCATTATACTTTATTCAGTCAAGTAGATATTTATAATAATAAACCTAAATAAAAGTGGGTTTCATGGTAAATGTCATTCTTATTATTGCTTTCAATAGATTATTCTCATTTTTGTGTCTGTTAATGCCTAACTCTTAACATCAATAATTTTAAATTTTTGCTGCATTTAGGCGATGTTGATGGTTCCGTTGAGGCCCTTTTGGACATTATGGATACCTATGATGCTTCACATGAGTGTGAACTAGAATTAGTACATTTTGGTGTGGGTGATATTAGTGAAAATGATGTTAACCTTGCTGAAACATTTCATGGTAAGAAGTCTATTTCTTGTTTGTTTAACTGAGTTCCCTAGAACCATTTGCTTCTGGTTTTTGTTGTTTGGATAGTCACACCTGACATTTACCCCCCTTAGCATCCTCCTTCTTGATACAAAACAGTCTTAGCTAGCAATGGAGGGCAAAAGGGATGTGCGGTACTAAAGCCACAGCTCCACTTGTCATCGTTGTACTGAAACCTTGCAGAACTATTTCAAGCCCCAGTAGTGTTTCTTGATTGTTTTTTTCGATGTACCATTACTGCCCTTCCTCAGTTCTCCCAGTTCCCCACCAAACCCATGGTTGTCTTTCGTTTAGACTTGAATTCTCCTAAGCCTGCAGTCAGCCTATTCAGTACTTCACTTCATCTTCTACTTTTGGCTGCCTATTTTTGTTTACTTATAATTTTTTAAGTCCTATCTTTCTTAGACCAAAAGCTCCTTTTTGCTTTAAATGCCTAAAAGGCAGGGGTTGTTTATTAATCGAACTTATGATACACAGAAAGGAAATTCATGACTGCAGGACTATCATTTTAACTAGGTTTAACATCTAGGCAAAGCACCATCATTTTTGAGTGATTAATGAATCACTTAGGAGGAGGTACTTCATGACCTAACTTGATTAGAGTTGGATGTTATGTCTACTACTGAAAAGGTGTTTTCAGTAATGCTGGTTATCTCAAAGTATTTTATGGGCACTGACTATACTATGTAACGTAGGTAGTATCATGTATGGAATGATTTCATAATGACAAGACTTTCAAGATGGTGTGTTTTTCTCCTGATTAAGCTGTTTGCATAGATTTTTTTCACTTATTTAAGGCAAGAGTGTTTTGCTTTTGTTTCCCCTACCCTCAAGGTGTTTGTAGTTAAATACATTATTTATTCTTTGGTAAAATGGTCAGCTCCAAGGAACTTCTTTAATTTCTTAAATAACTCTTGGACTTTACCAATTAAGTAACTACAGTTGACCCTTGAACAACATGGGTTTGAAATGTGGGTCCACTTATAGATGGATTTTTTCCAGTAGTAAATGCTACAGTACTATACAATCCGAGATTGATTGAATTCATGGATGTGGAGGAACCCTGGTTATATGGAGGGCCAAATATAAATTATACTCGGATTTTCAACTACACAGAGAATCAGCGACCTTAACACCCATGTTGCTAAGGGATCAGCTGTATTTTTGAACATCTTTTGGCCAGCTGAACACCTAAGAGTAAACCACAAAAGCTGTAGACTATAAGATTATAATTAATTACAGAATTGTTATTAAAATAATTAATAATATTTCATCCCTAATCATTTTTTATTTCTCAGGTGTAAAAAGGTTCAGTTAGCATGTTACGGTGCACATTATGGACACTTAATGTTTCTTAAATGATTGGATTTTAAAATCATTAGGAAATTTTCCTTGTCTAACAAGCCATAATAGAATTCATAAAACCTTTTCATTAATTTGAAAATTAACTAGTTTTGTGAGAAAAAAAGATAGTTTCTCATCTTTCCTACCTGCTTTTAATTTATGTAAAAGGAAATAATTTCAATTTGAGTTTCTGCTTGAAAGAGTTTTATGCAATGTTTGTGCTATTTTATTGACTGTATTTCTGCTTGCCAGGTGTTATATATGGTTTCAATGTGAATGCAGCCAATGTTATACAGCAGTCAGCTGCAAAAAAAGGAGTAAAAATTAAACTTCACAAAATCATCTACCGTCTTATTGAAGATTTGCAGGAGGAACTGAGCAGCAGATTGCCCTGCAATGTGGAAGAGCACATAATAGGTGAGTGTTCACTGAATGTTACTTTTAAACATTCATATCTTACCTCCTGTAAATAACATTTGAAAGCAAAGTTTAAGGGAAATGTATTTCACTGTTCCAACACATGTCCCGTTTTCTACAAAAAATGACTACTATAGAGTTCACTGGAACTTCATATGAATTATAAACACCTGCCCTCCATAAGGTGTCGTGCTTTGGCTGTGAGGATACAAAGGCAAATAAGGCAGTAAGAACTTGCCCTCAAGTTTGAACATAAATAACTAATTGTAATAGAGTAGACTGGGGTGGAAGGCATAAAGATTATTACCAATGTTGTGGAATGAGCCATTGATTTTGTCATGTAGCTGGCAGAGAAATCCACCATGAGAAGAAAATTTACTTTAAATATCAAACATTTAAAAATTTTTTTCTAACATACCCCTTGGCTGTATTAAATGCTAATTTTTTTTTTTTAGATAGACTGAATCATTTTTTGTTTTTTCCTCCCCACATACAGATTTTTTGGTTAACTTTTAATTTTGATGATAGCTTTAAATTTCCAGAAAAATTACTAGAAAAGTGTAAGGAACTCCTACTCAGCTCACCAGTTGTTTGCATTTTGCTGTTTGTTTTAGTCCTCCCTCTCCCTCCACACATACACACAATTTTTCCTGGACCATTTGATAATAAATTTGAGATACTGTGTTCATTTGCTCTTAAATACATTTCCTAAAAACAAGGATGTTTGTTTATAAAGCCACAGAACAAGTATCAAACTCAGGAAATTTTACATTAATAATCTTATCTAAGCCACAATCCATATTCACATTTTGTCCGTAGTCTAAATAATGTACTTGATAGGTATTTGTCCCTCAGTGCAGGATCACAGATTACATTTAGATCTTGAGTCTTTTTGGATGTTTTTGAAGTGTATAGACCAGTGACTTTGTTGAATGTACTTTAATTTGGATTGGTCTGATGTTTCTTCATGATGAGATTCAGTATTTCCATTTTTGGTCCACAATATAAACTTACTTTAGGATTTTCTGACCTACTAAATATGATCGGAGATTTGCATATTCTTGTGCTAAGAGCAATTTAGAAAACTGTCATATGAGGGTTTCTAGGAGTAAGCACTAAAATAACACTAACCCTACAAAAAAATTGGTACATTATAGTGTCTAACAGTGTCATTATTGGAATTTAATTTTCGGTCACTAAAAAAATTAAGATGAGTCATAGAATTAGTTACTATTAAGTGGATATAAATTACCAGTGGTGAGATTAAAAATAAATCAAGGGGGGAGGGTATTGCTCAGGATGCATGCCTAGCATGCATGAGGTCCTGGGTTCAATCCCCGGTATCTCCATTAAAAAATAAATAAACCTGATTATCTCCCCCCACCAGGAAAAAAATAAAAATAAATCAGGTAATTCAACTTAAAAAAAGTACAAATGTAAAAATAGATTTCTATAAAAAAAATAAATCAGGTAACAACAGATCATCCATTCTAGAAAATATATTGAGGAACTGAAAACTAGTTTTTCATGGAGCAGACAGGAACTACACTTATCTTACCAACTGTTATCTTCTGTTGTATTTTATTTAAACAAAAAAGTAAAAATTCCACTTTTCTTTGTTCATTATTTTGGTAACCACATATATTTTTGATTTTCTTTTTCAAGAATACCCAAAGATTTTTTTTATTTCTAATAGTTTTCAGGAAAATAATGGAGTCAGAGAAAATCAGGACTTCTATGTATGAGTTACCTTTAATTCTTGCCCTGTAGAATGTCAGAAATTATGTATTTCTCAGAATTTTTTTTTCCTGTAAACTTCATGTTCTCTTCTTCCTACAGGTGAGGCTTCTATACTAGCTACCTTCTCTGTAACAGAAGGGAAGAAAAAAGTTCCTATAGCTGGCTGCAGAGTCCAAAAGGGACAGTTAGAAAAACAAAAAAAATTTAAATTAATCCGTAATGGACATGTTCTTTGGAAAGGTAAGCAACATAAAAATCTGTTGTTATCTTGTCCAGTCACGAAAATCTGATGACCCTGGGTAACCATCTGAACTCTTTCACTCCCATAATCCTAGTTCAGGCCATTCTTTGCTAACTCTTACCTGGTGGTCTCCAGTTGAACATCCTAGTCCCGATGACTCCTCCAGGATTTAGTCCAACTGATTTTCTAATGTTCTAAAAATTTGCCCCAAACTACCTTCCCAGATGAGCGGGAATCATCCTAGTGCGTAGGGAAGGGAGGCTGCTTCGGGTAGACAAGAGGATAAAGTGGGCAGGAGGAGCCTTTGGGGTCCAAGGTGTGGAGCAGTGATAGGCACCAGGGACCGGGCTCAGGTTGTGGGCCTCAGAAACTGTGTGGAGCAGGGTCTCCTACACTTGATCCACGTATTTTTTTCTATCCTTTCTTAATGACCCTTTGCCTGCAACATCTTTATCCCAGTTTATCTCATTCGAGTCCTGAATACAATCCTGTCCTCTGCAAGGGGGCATCACATCTTGTTTACTGCTAACTTCATTTTTTTGGTTTCCTTGGTACTTAGTCCCATCATTTAACAAGACAGGACTGTAAAATCTCTAAGAATTTCAGTGTAATTTTCAACATCAGACTGACTACAGTAGCACTTAGTGGGTCCTCATTATTTGTTGAGTATATGAACCTTGTTTTTTTTTTCTTTAAAGGCTCATTAATCTCACTGAAACACCATAAAGATGATATTTCAGTCAGCAAAACTGGAATGGACTGTGGTCTCAGTTTGGATGAAGAAAAGATAGAATTTAAAGTGGGGGATGATATTGTTTGTTATGAAGAAAAAGAAGTTGTAGCCAAGACGTCTTGGGATCCAGGATTTTAAAATTACATTAAAAATGTAAATATTTTGCTTTATAGAGCAACTAGTTTTGTTTCACTGAAGGTAGTAATTCACCACTACTGGTCAAAAAGTACCAAGCAGTTCTACCAAGTGTTAACATATACAACTGTCAAAATGCTTCAGAAATACGAAACCTTATTTAACGAAGTCTACAACTAGTAATCCTGAAATAAGTAAAAGAATGTGGTTAAAGGAACTTGTTAATTATCAGTGTACCATTAAATCTAATACTTAGAGACTGTAATAAACTTCAAGTGCTTGCTTTAGTTCAGTGATACGAAGAGAAGCAATCCCCTCTGAACTCTGCTCCATAGGCAAAATATGGTACCAGTCAAGTATTATGAAACCTTATTTCTCAGTGTCAGCAGTACCAAAGAGCAAACATTAGAATTTAAATTCCTGAGTTCACGCTCAACACTGAATAATAGTGTTCTGTTGCACTGCAGACTGTAAATGTCCAGCCAAACCACCCCAGAAATTCAGGCAATTTAGAGTTCAGCCTTTAAACTTCCTCCATATGAGGCAAGTTAATTGTAGCAGCTTTTCAGGCAAGGTTATAAGGCCAATTCACACAAATGAGGTTTTCTCAATCTCGGAGGGAGGGTAGTCCCCCACCCCATACCCCCAAAGGTCATTTAGATATTTTTGGTTGTGGGGAGGGGCGGTGTGCTACTGGCATTAAGTGGGTAAGAAGCCAGAGATGCTGTTCTATCATCCTGTGATGCAAGAGAGAGCCTCCACAAAAAGAGTTACCGGCCCAAATTGCTGAGGTCAAAAAACTAACAAACCAGCTTATATTCAGACAGCTACTATTAAATACAACATAATTCTGGCCAAGTGTAGTTTTATCAAAAAAATACTGTGATCAATTTGATGCCTAAAATCCATTCTTCAAATCATTAGAATAAAATTCCAGTTAAATGTTAGTTCATGTCTTTTTATTAACTGATAAACAATTACTTGTCTTCTGGTTTGTTGAAACAATAGGTCAGACAACATTTGCCACAATAATGTCTGTCAAAGTGGCTAGCCATAAAAACTCCAGCACCACATTCATCTGAAGGGCACTCCCGACGAAGGCGACTGATTTTGCCATTCTCATCCACCTAAAAAAGCATAAACTTGCTGTGAAGATAATTTTGCAACATATTCCAAAATCTAGTTTAAGTGACTCAAAATATTTAAACTTTTAATCACAGTAGTAGTTTTTAGTACTTATAAATGGAACGAAGCACCCCAAATCCTCACCAGTAGTACAACAAAAAACTTCAGCTTTCGTGCTCTCTCTTGCCTTCTGAGATGGCCTGCACCGTCTATGGTGTATCTAATTTTACTTTAAATACCCAAGCTCGAACCTCTTGGCCTTTCTCTTGGCTTTCTGAGACAGCGTGCATTCTGTCTATGGAGTGTCCATCTTTCTAAATAAACATTTTACTCAAAAAATTTGTTTTTTTAAACCAGACTTGTATGCAGTACAGTTAAACCCTGAACCCAGATCTGAATTCAAAATCAGAACCTCAGTTTGGAAAAAAGCAGCTAAAGGTGAATCCCATTATATAACTTTATACACATATATAACTTTTATATTAAGAATGTGAAAACAGATGCAAACAAAATTCATTACCTATAGGTAAAAACTAATAAATTGGCTCACCTTATAGTATTTCAGGACAGCCAGCTTTACCTTCTTTCTCTTATGCTTGTTCTTCTTGGGAGTTGTGTAAGACTTCTTCTTCCTTTTCTTAGCACCACCACGAAGTCGCAACACAAGATGGAGAGTGGACTCCTGTTAATCGAACAGAGGACAAAACAGGATTTAACGCTGGTTACATTAACGCTACTGATGTATTCCATATATGGCTGACAGTTAAATTTAACTCTTCCTTATATAATACCACTGTGCCATAGGTTTGTTTTAATGGTCACACCCATGCAAAATATATGTGTGATGTGTTTTAGTGCTCCACTGAGACTGGACACCCAGCATCATGAATCTTCTAACCAGATGTTATAGAAAGTACACAATACCACAGATGAGGAAGTCATACAGAAAAAAGAGGTATCTGATTTCTATATAAACCATGAGTTTACAGATTAAAGAACACATTAAATTACACCACAGGATGCAATCTGCAAAATCCAGAATGTGAGAAACCTATAGCAACACTCTCAAATGCTGGTGTAGGCATCACCTGCGAACCTATTGCTAATCTAATGCTATTCTCCCTGCTTTTGTGCATTTGTCAAAATTTCCCAGATAAGATTCATTTATACTTAAAGGGCTGCTCTTTCCTCCAAACAGACCTTTTGAATATTGTAATCAGACAAAGTACGTCCATCTTCCAGTTGCTTGCCAGCAAAGATCAGTCTTTGCTGGTCAGGAGGAATTCCTAAGGGAGGAGGGTGAACAAAAAACAAATTAAGTGACATCAGAACAAGTGTATCTGCTCAAGATTTACAATCCTGAGTCAAAGGAATGGTACTAATAGCTATCGATAAGTTCTTACTACAGCCAAGGTATAATTTTAAGTATGTACACATTTTACCGTATTTAACCTTAACTTAATATGTTTATGAGACCGTTTTACAAATGAGGAAACTAGTGTAAATTAAATTGCTCGTCCAAACTCATGTGAACTCCACCTCAGCGTGACTACACGCTGATTAACGTTTATCTGTTGTACTATTTCAAAAGCATTTGACAATCTGACCTCTTTCCACCCCACCACGAGCAGTTATGTCCAGCCCCTGAGCCTCTATAGATGAGTGTTTCTGAATTAGGAAGTATTAACTTGCCTTCCTTATCCTGGATCTTGGCCTTCACATTTTCTATTGTATCCGAGGGTTCAACCTATGAGTTTTAAAATGCAAACATATTGGTAACGTAAAAAACTAGAAAAAAAACCGCTCGGAATTCAACTTGAAGGTTTTCCAGGAACCGAGTCGGTGCGGGCTGAAGCCTGGCGGAAGGGAGCCTTCCGGGGCTGTACCCGGCGCAGGCTTCCTCCCCAGCACCGCCAGCTGCGGCCCGGCCCCACGTGCTCGCGCCCACCTGCCGGGAGCGCCTCCCTCCCAGCGCGCGACCGCCGCATTGGCTACCGGACTAAAATCACTAGAGACGACAGGCTCGGACTTCAGGCATCAAAAACCTGCCCTCAACCCCTGCTCAGTG